ATGGGACTTTGGCATCAGGCACATGAAACCTAGGAACTGCTGTCTCACCAGGATAGTAGGTATTGCGGCATTTGACATGCAATGCTTTAGCTGCCATAGAAATCGCTTGACAGTTCTAATGACAGTATGAATGTTATTAGCTTTGTTTGCTTAGGGAAAATCACGAGTTAACGTTCTAAGCTACGCAGGAATAAATTACCCGCATTCATGCAACGGAGACACCGAACCCAGATTGGCAAACCCAGAAGAACCCAATTGGTTAAACCTCCCCTGTTAATGTAGAGGTATGCTACAAGGTCATCTAAAGGCATTTAAAATCATGATTAAGGTAAGAAAGAGCGAAATCATAAAGTCTTAAAGCTTGATTTGAAGTTGCAGTATCGTTGAACCAGCAACGCCGGAGCACCGGAAGGAAATGGACTTTATTGATGCCATTATTGATCGCAATAGGTTTACCTGCTTGTTACGAAAAGTGCGATTTTATGGCAATATGAAAAGTAAAATAATACGCAGACACATCGATCACTCATAATAATGCACCTATTAAACCCCAAGATACGCGCGTTATTTAAAAGTCAAAAACTTAGCAATCTTTATATTTAAAATCCATAGAAACTTCTCGCCCTTGATTTAAGGCGTTGAACTACCCCTTTTGCTATGCAGAATTCGACTAATTTTTCCCTGTTTTTATTGGCCAACCAACCATGACAGCACCCACTTTGGTGTGTCTAGCGTGTGCCTTAGTTCTCTTGCACTTCGAATAGCTTATGGTGACATCCATAACCTTTTTGATCCCTTTAGCTAAAACACTCTTTATAATGCGTCTTGATAACAATGTCACCTATTTTCACTGGTACTTAAGTCTTTCCTTTTACCGTAATTTTTTTCTCCAGATTCTAACTCTTGTGTGCTACATGTTGCATTAATTTGTCCTAAAGTCTGTAATATTTGCTCGCTGAGTGAATTTGCATATTTTCAAGGTTCCGATCCACGCGTTTCCATATCTGTCCCTCTTACGCTGAATCATGTCAAAGAAGCGTCAAGTCGAGGTTGCGGAGGAAATAATTCGGCGCGCCTCCGCCTACATTCCCACCTTCGAGGACGTTTTCACAGAAGAAGGCTTCTACATATTCTTCTTCTGTCTCACAGTCACCACTTTCGTACTCGTCTTTACCTGCGCCTGGTTCTTCGACATCACCATCACCGACGCCGGTGACTTTGCTCCGCGCAGTCACCTAAAAAAACCGCGCAAGAAGAAGCTACCAACGTATAAGGGTTAAAGGTGAATTTCACCTACACCACTCCAAGTGCAATATCTCTTGTTTTCTGGCATTTCCCTCTAGCTACTGTGATTTTTAGAGAATAATTTTACTGTTTATCGGAGAGATGATTTTCTCAACCTGCGGGGTGGTGCGCTCCTTGTCACATCCAATCCTCTGCAAACACGTTTTATCTAAACACGATGCGAATTTTGTGAGTTGAAGGAGAATTGACTTTACCCTCGAATCTCGGAGTGAAGGAATGCTGTTAGGATGGTGAAATCAAGCTTGTCTTATGTCAGGCTTTAAACTAATGTAGGTGCTGATTGACTTTTTGAGTTGGGTGGCTCTCACATCGCGGCTCTATAAGGATCAGCAGAAAGGCGGGCAATACTGACTCGCCAACGTTACCCGCCAAATTGAGAGTTGTTTCTTCCCAGTAAACGGTGTTGTCAAATAAGCCTGTCTGTCTTTCGGCCCTGATGGGACTTAACACCCAAGGTGCTTGTTGTTCCACGAGCATGAATAGTTTTTGCAAAGATTGCTTTTCAAGGCATCGAAGGAATTGCTGTCTGGTGTCTATCGGGATTGGTGTTACCTACTGGGGATGCCTTGTTTGTTGTGACTGATCACGTACGTTGGGGTCCGTACTTTTGTGGCATTGACGACTTTGGTGCGCCCTAAACAGTCGTGTATCAGGTATTACCCAGGTAGAGTCGTTCTTCGACCATCATCGAGATAAACAGGCAAGTGGAGGTATAGCCCTAGGTACTAGAATCGTTTCTACCTTGCCCACATTGACGATTTCACCGTTGCTCAACACAATGCGATTGAGGGCTTTTCAAACGGGTCGCCTAGCCGATGTGGCCGTAGCTTTTTAAATACTGACCGCCTGTTACCCTAAAATTACGCCTCAGAATTGTCCGTAGTTTGTTTTATCACCGTCACATGAGTTATGGTGCAATGGTTTCATAATCAGTGAAAGGTAGGCTCGGTTAAATCCTCTGACAAGTCCTCCACTGTGTGAGGGAACGAAGACGACACAGAGTCAATTACGTATGATGAGGAAAGTGGCCAAACGCTTTCATCCGAAAGGCCGCCCAGTTTGCGTGGATTAGACATATCTCTGTTACAGAGACCCCTTCTTTTGAGCCTTGTTCCTAGATATTTCCTTGGTCATTCTTAGGCTTCTACCATCACAACGTAGTCGTTGCTTTGAAAACCGTTTAGAAGCTGTAGTTCTTTGTATTTCGATTTTCCATTCTTCGTGAACCACGAGGGCTAGGGCGGCTGCTCCAACCTCGTGGTGCCCAAGACTAAGCACTGCTCTTTAAGGAATACACTTTTCAGTCCCCAGTCGTGGGAAAATTTGCCCCAAAGTCAGATTATTTAATAAGACACAAGCTTTGGTTGTTTTGTAGAGTTGACGCCTCACATCGCTCTGCCTTGTCACCCCTGGGTCCACAAGAAGTGTATCACCTGATCGAATGTCCCACTGGTTCGGTTGTTAATTCCTCTATCACAGAACGCGAGTTTGGAGGGAGTGCCAAAAGTCTACGCGGTTTCATTAACCTCTTTCTCAACAGACAGCCACCCCTCACAGGTCCCTTCCTTCTGTGACATTGAAGTTTGGTAATCAGCCGTGAAAATAAGGATGCGTGACACTCTGTAGTGGATTCACATCCTGCTGCAGCCGAGGCAGCGCTTTGTACCCTACGGCGTGGAGAATTTCGCACTAAACCATGAAAGGGCTGAGAGGCTGTAGGCAAGATGGGGGGTACAGAACTTGGGTAGTTCAAACAAACATCAGTCATCAAAACGCAGAGGCGGTTCCCAATCTAAGTCATCAAATCTATAATTGGACTAGTTGAAACCAGGCTTAACCAGTCACGTAGAATGGTATCGAAGATGGAAAGGCATTCAACTATAGGACCGGTCCCACGATCTCTGGTGTGCGATCTCTATTGCTTCTCACCACCCATGTTAGAAATTCCTCTGGACCTTTTGCGCATATTAGAGCTACCTGCCCGATCATGGATCTGAGCTAACGTTATCCAAAGCCTGCAGACTTAGGAGGGCTCCTTGCACGGGAAATGAATGCCAATGAATATTTACAGGCTGTTATTTGTAGATTTACACGAACAAGAAAAATTTAAAGCAGCATAGCCCTAGGCTACTAGCAACTTCGAATCAAGCCAAACATAGTAAGATGGTGTATAACCACATTACCTAGCTGATAATATATTAAAAAGGCACGAGTTATGCTGTCTCTTCCCCAATCCTACCACCGTTTATCTAATGGAAGATGGTACGCGATATTTATGTGCACTTTTATATGAGACAGGTGGCGAAAAACCGAGCTTTGGGTGTGAATGCGCTCTGTTCGAAAGAGCTGGAAGGAAGGAGAGGACCAGTAGTAACTGTACAAAAGGAGAAGCGGTAAAGCGACATGTTGACCACAAAGTCACCTCTCACTAGTTGGTGAGGTGGCACTTTTCGGTCCAGAGAGGTTAAGCAAATCCTTTGTCAAATCCACTCCATTCTCCAACCCCCTTTCTCCTCCATCACGATCCCGTCTCGGAGTAGACGGCTTGCTTACAGACGACGTCGGTGGTCGCCGAATTACTCCAATATCCGAGGGCAATCGACGCGGTGTTGAGCCTAGTGGGGTTACTCGAACACTCGAATTCGGACATCCACCAAAAGCCAATTTACCGCCACTGCTACTGCCTGCAGTAGTGGATAGTAGACGCTTCGCTGCCGGCGAAAGCATCATTTTGGCCGCGTAAGGACTGAGGAGGAGACCACTCTTGGCCAATTTCATGGCTTCTGCACGACCTTTCGCTCGCTGCCGTCCCGCTTTGTCAGCCAATTGGTGCGCGAGAGCCTCGCGTTTCGAAGGCGAAGGAAGACGAAAAGAAGAGACGAGAGGTGTGTGCCCCGTCTCCTCATCCAAACGATAGGGCGTGGAGTCTACCTCACCCCAGGTTATGAGGGGTGTGCTGCCTGCACCGCCAAAAGCTGAGAGGACAGGTGAAGCTGAGGTATCCATGAATTTGTAGCCACCAGCTTGTGGTGTTGATAGTAGACTCTCAGTGCCTACAACTTCTTTCCCGTCGATACCAAAGCGGCCCTACAAAGTCCAGAAAGGAGGCGATAATTTTGACCATTTGGATGGTAAGGCTAATACTCTCGACTGGTTGATAAGGTAATTTCACACTTGATGATTTATGGGATCATAAATTAGTTAAGCATTTCAAAAAAAAAACAACCATGGCAACATCAACAAAGGAACACAGATTGGGGCACAAAAGGAAAAACGAATTATACAAGAACAGTGAAACACAAATGTATTAGAATACGCATAGTTTAACGATGTGAAATCACGTTTAATGACCCCATAAAGCAGCAACCAAACGATCCGGCGTCACAAGTACACCCTGACTTTTGGGCAATAAAAAAGTGTTAACTGGGTGTGAGGACACCGAAAATCAGTAAATGAACGCGGCAACTTGTAGCTGAACGTTAGAAAACCCACAAGTCGGAAATTCCACTATGCAAAATAGCCTACAATAATGCCATACACTCAAAGACTGATTTAAAGAACATTAAAGTGAAGAAATTTGAAAAGTCAATTTTCAAATTACCACATAAGGAGCATGCATTATACAAAACTGCGACAACACTCATATGAAAAACGGGAATACTAGTCTCGAAATACGGAGAGGAGGGAATGAGGAGCTTTCATTAGGCAAAGGCAAGTATCTGTAATTTTAAAATATCGCCGAAAAAACAGCTAATCGGAAGAGTAATAACGTTAACACTTTTAAAATGTCTTTTCAGAATTTCAAAGTGGAATACCAAAGCTGTACCGTATATAGGAAGATGGTTTTTCGGGTAAAATTCACGCATAAAAGCTTCATCACGGCCCTTATAAATAAAGGAAATATTACTTCAAATGTTACAATTGTGTTGTCTACCAGGGCCAATTATAGGAAGCGGATGTTTTGTATCATTTAATAGTAGCCGATAACGCCAAACCATGGCGCTGGCAATACGGATAACATGAATTTGAGGCACAAAAAGCGGTAGAGGATTTCTGGTGTGGAAGCAATTACCTAACACTGATTGTTTTGCATTAAAGGTATTAAATATTCGCTTTGCAATGAAAGAATTCCCATTGAAATTGGAGCAACGAATACGTTAAGACAGTTGGATATGTCCGAATACGACCTACAATTTGCTTAGATGTAAAATTCGCCTTAGAGCCGAGAGATCTAAGAACGTCGCAATTTACTACAAAAAGCTTCAGTTCGCATCGGCTAATAAGGAGGAAAGCGGACACTTACGGCCTTGAGTTGGCCCCCCATTCCGACCAATTTGCGTTTGTCCATTACCGGCGCCATGGGACGCTTGAAGCGGCTATTGGCAGGGCAGATGCGTCGCTCACGATCAAAGTGCTCAGTAAGTTCCTGCGTGGTTAACGGCGCGCCGTCGGGGATAAAGTGGACGGTGTTGTGACTGGTTATGCTTTCCACACTGGGAGGAGGCTCATGTTTTGCTGATTGCTCATTCTTGGACTGAGAAGTGATTTGAATTTCGGAGTGGGACAAACCTTCGATAGATAATGGAGCGTCTGATGTCCCTGCGGTAATCTAGAATCAAAAGGAAAGATTAATTTTCCACAAGCTTGAAAAAAAACCAAGTAACCCTTTATCCTAGCGTACCGACAAAGAGGAAGCAGGTGATCTAGAAGGAAAAAATTTAGCCAACTTGGCCTCCCGTTTTCGCTCAGATTCTTCGATAATTTCTATGAATGAGGCGTTGTCTTCAGTAGTATTGTTGGCAAGGTACGTGTCCAGCCTTACTGATGTGGCGTCTGAAAAAAGACGTGAAGCTGGTGATAAGACTGTGTAAAGAAAAACATTCTACTGCAAATAAGGCCTATTTAATTACCGCGTTGAGGATTCTGAGTGGGAGGACCAGGGGGAGTTTCAGAACCATCGACAACTTCATCAGCTGGGGCCTCGCCTTTGAGTTCAGCCAAATCAGGAAAAAAGTCACGTTGGATGATGCTGCCGATATGCTAAAAGTAAGGCGATAAGGTACAAAAAGTCAAAATACATTGTGAAACTGCCGAATCAAGTAAATTGTATAAAAACGGCACAAACGTACGACAAAATATCTTTCTGAATTGTATAAACCCAGGGTAATATGTGCTTCAAGCAACATAGTGTATATTCAACAAAGAAATATACATTTGAAGAAGTGCTGGTACACAAGTCATGAACGTCAGTAAAATAGATCATGGAAATTAGAATTGCTGAGAAAAATGCGTTCGCTGCAGGCATAAAGGTACAAAACTCACACTCAGATACTCATCTTCTGAACGGATATTTTGACGCACAACTTTTTGCTGAATCTTACTGAAGGTGACGAGTTGCTTTGATCCATCGCTGGTCGAAACAATATTTGGGTTGCTCATCCTTCATGAATAGTACACCCCCTTTGCAAATACCGCCCAATGACTGCTAGTATAAAAAGTAAATATGATTTTAGCCTTCCCCTATTTTGCTAATGTTTTATAGAATATTTTTGTACTTCTGTGCGCAAAAGCTTGCTACTTAAGATCTTGGAAAGTCATGCATAGGGTTTGATAGCCACTTCAACCTATTTAAGGTCGCGCAAATGTGTATGTTAGGGTAGTGAACACTTTGCTTCACTTTCGTGGCATAAGGCAGGAGCTCATCATCATCTTCTGTAATTCGTTTGGATCGTGGCAGCGCGGATTATTCCCTGCTTGATTTGTTTGGATTTTTGGTTTGGACACTCTAGCTCTTAAACAATGCTTACCCCGTTATTTTCTCTAACCCAAACACCTGATGAACTTATCCTGAAACTTCACATTCCTTTGGCTGATTTGAGTAATTCAGAATTCCTCATAGAGGATGGCATTGTGTATTTTTGTGCTCCACCTTACTACCTTCGGTATGCCCTTGCCTTGGTGATTCAATGACGAAACTCTGATAAGACTTGAACTTCCAGGATCAGTTGTGGAAGATGACGATCACATCCAGTTCCGGTTAGAATCTGGGGACATGTTCATCACAATGACAAAATCAACACCCGGGGAACATTTTGAAGACTTAGATCTGCTTTCTAGATTTGTAATTAACCCTGCATCCAAGTACACGGCTTCAAAAGCAGGAATTCAGGTTTTGGATTCAACCACAGTCCCGCCTGAAGGAAAGACTGATTATGATTGGTTTTTAGAACTACCAGAAGAAATAAACTCCAGTAACAATACTGCTGAGGATCACATGAATGTGGAAATAGTCAAGTATCCTTATGGATTTGCAGCTTCAAAGTCAGGGCTCTTCGTGGACAAAGTAGAACTTTAACTTCTAAATTCCCCACTTTTTTACTTCTAGCCAGAAACTTGTTTACCAATCGACCTGCCGAACCCCGACTTTTGTCCTCCTCTGAAACGCCATCAACTGCAGCTTCAGTCTGTTCGTGATCACTTTCAAGCAGAGCATTATGTGTATGCCTTATATATTATCATTCTCTCATATTTTTGTACTAATTACTGAACACTATGAAATTTGGCTCAACATAGTATTATGTGTTCAATTGACTTGATCTTGCCCTTTCTTATGTCTCCTATCATCCAAAATTACTAGGATGTCTTCGTTCTATGATATTATTGAAGTTTATCTTCCGAGATGTTTATTGGTATGATACAGAAACATAATAGTCTGAATGCAGCTTTATTGTAGGCGCATGAAAGCGTGAGGGAAAAGCTGCACGAACCCAGTTCCACTTAATCACTATGATGGTCGAATTTTGTGATTCCAGAGGAGCCAATTTTGTAAAATGTGGAAGCTGAATAAATATAGTTATAATTCACGGATCGATTTGCAGTCGATAGGTGGCATTTGTGTCACACTTTTCTAACATTACTTTCTCTACGCGAATGACTTGCTGCTTCATGTTGATGAATCCTAATAGATGTCAAAATCTTTATCTCTTTATCAGAGCTGACTACTATGAGACAGAGGTGTCCGCAAACGCATTGCGTCAGTCGATTCCCTGGGTTGAAAATAAGCATGGAGGTCCTGAATTTTCCGACGAGTATCGCTATCGCTTGACAGTCCTTTCTACACACACATTGCCTCTCCTACCACCTTCACCTTCAGACATCGATTCTACAGAGGAAGTGAAGGTGGAAGACACCAGGACCTTTGTCTATCTGGGACTTGTGGATCTGTTACTAGCCTACACTTACGACTACCGTGTCAGAGAGGGTGATGAGAACTGTGAATCCGGTTGGGTTATTGCCAAGATTGCGGCCACTTTATCCTGGCTTGAGGCAAGTTTCAGCCACTTCGAGTGTTTTTTTTTGTTTTAATGGTTTCTAAGATACCAAGTATTCTGTGAGAGGTTTCTGTCTGATGTAATTAATACCCCAAGATGTAAGACGGATCTATTATTGAATAATGCCAATTGCGGTGGTATTCACGGTGATCATTTCGTATAGTCACATATTTTAGTGCTTCACCTCTATCCCTTATACTAAGTGATTGTCAAAAATAACCAAAAGAAATGTGCACGATCAAATTCATCCAAATGTTCTACATAATCTCTGGAATTTAAATTCGCTAAAAATTTAGGCGTAATTTGTAGAATTTGCGTTCGCCCATTGCGATTTAAAGGTTTCCTGCCTCAATCTCAGCCAGTCTTCTTCATATGACTCAACTTTTGGCTAATACTAACATCCTCTGTCGGAATTGACAATTGTATGTTTTAAAATGGCACTTTTTTCATTTTTTCTATGCTTTTGGTGATGGCACACCTCAACAATGCCATGTGTGATGAATAGGGAAACTGCAAATGTGTTGGAATTCTCCTTGGCCCTCCGGCGAAATTTAGTCTGCTTTATTTTTTCATAACTGAACACTTCACTCATTGATTGACTTTCAGCTGTTTCCTAATCTTCCAACTCTTCTACGCTCCTTCTATGAACGTGCTCTTACCTACCCGCTGATTCGTAACTGGAAACTCTGCCGAAAAATTCAAGCCGACGTCGCCTCTCTGCTTCAACACGAAAATGGTATGACCCATTTTATCCATTCTACCTTCTTCCTCTTCTTTCCTAATTGCCTGTACAAATGAGTAGGCGGATGCGCTTTACTTCGGTGACTTCGAAAACCCCAATTGGCTATTCTAGCAAGCCACGGAAGTATCCCTTGTAATCCTCTTCCCTATTTGCAGCAAAGGCGTGGATTCTCTACATCCTGTTGGAGATTCGAAGAATTCTCATTGACTATCCGGGATACTATATCTTTGTTGACCTCTTTCTCGATGATTACATCGTTTGGCTCCAAAAGTCTGCTAGGTATAATTTTACATCGTCAATTCACCTTCCTCATTTTATGTCAACTGCTTTCGGTTTGCTCTTCAGAACGATTATAACATTCCTCCATTTCTATTCAGTGCCTACATCCTAAAGCACCTGGGTGAAGCAATTGCTTCAGTAGGTTTGCATTGCAACTTCTAATTTTTGTCATTTTATGCGAATATGCACCTCAAGTTTGCTTTTGCCTTTTCTTTAAAAGGTCAAAATGAAGAAGGCTGACGTAAATTTGCCGCTGAGGAAGATTGAGCAGATAGCCGCTGAGGCTCTAGAAGAAGAAGAAGCCCTAGTGGAAAATCTTGGAGGCATTTCTCTGAATTCGTGATTTGACGTTTCGCATTTTACAACTAATACTCCCGGTATCGCCAAATCCATACCCTTTCACTTTGTCACTGTTGATGAAGGAGTCGGAAAACCGATGTACTTAGCTTATGTGTGCAGGAAATGTGCTGCTTTTAGGCCACTTCCCAGGAAAATAGAATCGATGTGAATTTTCCGATTTGGATACACCAACAACAGACGGTAGTTGGTTTGCCATGCGAGGGGTAGTCTGCTACTGTGGAGGAAACAGTGGTTGGAGACCACTTCAAAGTGGGATCCAGAATTCTGGTGAGCTAAGTTGGTTTACAATAAATGATCGAAATTTCCGGATTTGAGGTGTCAATTGTTTGGTGACTTGGCCAGGTCACCGAAGGGGTCTCCACTCAGATTCACGAGGTATAGGCCTTCCATGGCAAGCCATAGGCCATCGTATTCGACTGAATTCATTTACATTCTGCTCTAGCGGGCGATAATGAGTAGTATTTCTGATGAAGAATACGGTATTGGGGCTACGCCGTCGGTATATTGTTTCTTCTGTTTACGACGGCAAGATGCTATGAGTAGTTACTAGGTCCATAATTTCGGCCTAGTCGGTTTTCTAATCATTTCATCCGACAGTGGATCACTCCAAGACATCACTCGCTTGATTTTTTGATTCCTACATTTCACTTACTCAAGTACAAACTAGGCAGCATAACGTTACGAATAGAAGTATTAATTATACCTTCTATATGGAAGCAGGGTAGTGTAATTTCTTAAATCAGTTTCTAAGATAATTTGGACGCATTTTGGGCCAAATATTTGCCATTAACGATAGCAGACACAAATGAATTGTGTTATCTATTACAATGTATTTAAACGGTGTACGTCGGCTTAAATTTTCTGATCATTTGAGCTCTCAATAAAATAAAATATGCGAAACCTTAAGATTCCAAGTATCGTCCAAGTCTGCGAATTCTGATCTCTGTAATCTATGGACAAGTCGTATTCTTCAGAATGAGTTTGTAGGTAGTCAATTCAAGCAAGTGTTTTTAAGTAGTTAGAGCCGTTGGCTTGAGATCAACCAGTGAATTCCGCATTGCAATGCCAACAAAAGTAAATCAATGACTTACGTACCTGGTTTGCTATCGAAAGCATGAGTTTGGAATTAAGGATTAAATGGTGGGTAACAATATGTGCAATATTCCCCCAGATTAATTTGCAGAGTGCATCATTTTAGCCTGGCTTACTTGTATTTCTTTAAGTATTTTACGCAAACGCTAATTAATGTGGACAACACATTAAAATACCTCTTAAAATGCGCCTGCTTCACATTTACTAGCATACCGAGAATGCATGAAATTTATTTTTGACTTACATAAATGATGTCAGCTATTAGCAGCTTTGAAGCATTTTTTAAAATGTTTGCAAACATCGAGGGCTCAATTTTGCGATTAGTCCGCGAAAATTGATGCAGTGTCTGCTTTAGGCAGAAGCGAAATGCGTCGTTCGGCTGCGCCCAGTGTTCGCAATCAGGCACGTTTTTGTGTATGCACAACTCAAATACTGTTAAATTGGCCTACCAAAACCACATAAATTCGCGTTGGTTCTTGGTCTTCTTTGTTTTTGTGCATATTTCTGCCTTCACGTCTTGCAATACCACCCTAAGGAGTGGGAAGGGCCTTCATTGTTCAAGTTTAAGGTCTGTAATGAACCACATCTCGACTGCATATGCAGTTGTTTCTAACTCTGTATTTCTCTAACTGTGTTACAATGGTGACTTGCGAAGCCTCGCTAGTTTGAAAATTGCTGTCTTTATTCACAGACAGCAATCATATTTGTCGCCACTTTTCTTTCCACAGAGTGACTTACCAATCAAAATAAACTCAAGCAAATCGTCCACTTTGTTTTGTATTGATGAGCGCAAACCAGCTATTCTCCAACGGCAAGCTTTACATCCAACCACCCCCAGTTTCGAATCGGTGGTCCATAACAGTGTTCGGAGATATGAAATCGTCTACGCAAAGCGCTCTACCAAGAAGGTACTCCATTTGCTCTATTGACTAAGATTAATTTACCATGCAGCACAAGAAGTGGGAAGAAGATGGTAATCAGAATTCAGACATCTTATTTGTTACTTCCTCTCTAGGTACTCTCTTCGTTTCAGGTCCTCACGTCAAAATTTGCTCAACCGAGGGCAAAGAGTAAGCCACTCTAATTACTCGTGTATTTGATCACCCATTTAGCATAGCATTTACCACTTTGAAAGCAGCTGTGCTAAGTGCTATGGAACTTGGAATGATATTACCTGTCGGTGGTTATGAGTGTCAACTGATATCTCTTCTGAATGAGTCGGAAGCTCCGGACATATCAGAGGCCGGTCACTTACCACAAAAACCACGTACACCTGTAAGAAACACTCTTAAGAAGGTAATTACATATGTGCGGTGCCAACTTTCCCATTTCTAGAGAAGGAGTAACCCTATTCAGCTCCAAAAACCTGACGAAAACTCTTTCAAACTACCGCCTCCTCCAAGCAGTCACATAGTAAGTCCCCTCTTCATCTTATCGCTGAGTTTTTCTAGTGGAAGCACAATTCCGAAGGACTTCAAATTTCCGAGGTTTTTCTCAGTGGTTATTTAGCCGCAAAACTTCATCCATATCAATTAGAGGGAATAAAGTTCCTCTACGAATGTGTGCTCGGTTATCGGAGCATCGAAAATCAGCAGTTTTTCCGTCGTGAAATTGTCAATAACAATGCTGGCGACGAATTCAGTGATATATATGGTGGAATTCTGGCGTAAGTTGCACTTCGCTTCTGTAAGTAATTTTCAGGGATGAAATGGGTCTTGGGAAGACGGTTCAAGTGATCGGTTTACTCTCTATTCTACTGAAACAGGGTCCTTATGGTGGGCAACCCGTGATAAGGCGTTGCCTCATTGTTACACCTGGTAGTCTTGTTGCAGTAAGTGGGAGTTAAGCAACCTCTCATCGTTCCTCTAGAACTGGCAGAAGGAATTCAGCAAATGGGTGGAACATGGTAACATTTCCACTTACTGTGTCAGTCAAGACAATCCGCTGAAAGCGTACTTTTCACAGATGAAACCCCCACCCGTAATAATCCTCTCCTATGAAATGCTCCTCCAACGTATTGATCGCATCGCTGAAATGACGTCCTTGGATCTGGTTGTCTGTGATGAGGGACATCGACTGAAGAATCTGGAAATAAAAACTACAACAGTTTGTCTCGTTTCCTACACTTTTCATGCCTTCTAGGCCCTGAAACGTTTGCCTGCTCGTCGTCGTATCATTCTCACTGGAACACCGATTCAAAATGACCTCAATGAATTCTGGTCCCTCGCTGAGTTTGTTGCCCCTGGCTGTCTAGCGTCTAGTCGAGAGGAGTACCGAACATGCATCGTGAATCCCCTTTGCAAATCTTTGCACTCCACAGAGCTGTTCAAAGCCATCGCGTCAACTGACGCGCAGGTGCCTGCGGAGATGGTGATGGAATCGGCGGAAATTGTTGAAGCTGTGCAACGGTTAAAAACCGCACTGAGAACGTTCATGTTGCGTAGGACTTCCGGTATGATTGCCAGAAGGCTTCCAGGTAAAGGTAAGAATTCGAAACCCGCTCATGTGGGACTTGATCTTACAACATTGTCATGGTATGCTCTTATGCTACGAAAGTAAGCTTGGATGTGGTTTTCGTCTTCTTTGATTAGTATGAAATCAAGCGTTTCACCTTGTTTAGCTTAGTTAGTCACTTTAATTTCACTTATCTTATTCGATTCATTTAATTTATTAGCACTTTTTTTAGTTGAGCAAATCGTATTCTGTGAGGCATCATTACTTCAGCGTGAACTGGGGGCTGTGCTACTGAATTGGATTCGAAATCAGTTGGATTGCAATGCGGAAGACGAGACGAACTTTATCGATATGGTTGAGGAAGACTCTTTCGAACTTCCGAGCTTTGAAAGTGGTGTAGATGTACTGGCTTGCATTATGGCCTTTCGAAAGCTCTACAATCATCCTTCTCTCCTCCTTCAAGCACTAAATCAACACAGTAAGAAGAGGTATGAATTGTCACCTGCTAAGAAAGTGAGTTGATCTTCCTGCTACTATTGGTGTCACTTTTAGCGCTTGTGTCGATCAGAGGTGTAAATACTACCTGGAATACTGTTGCTAATGCTTTCGTTCTTATTGTTACCAGTGGTGGTACAGCCAGTTAAACATTATCTTATACCTACTGAATAAATTTTAGTAAATTCTCCATTCATTTGTCTCGGTATACTGCATTCCATTCTTCGGTAGAGTCCAAGCTACACCGTTTTAAAGTTATTAAAATTGCGTCCTTTTTTTACTTCCATTGTTGCGGTAAAGATGCAAACGGAGCCCAAACCTTATTCATTTACACGTGCTGCTGTTAATGGCACGTAGTTTCAATCCCATCTCATCTGCCAGTTGTCCATTCTGACTCCCTCGAAATTGACTATTATGATATGGTCGTTATTGACGAATCCACCATTCTCCAGAATAGCTAAACAACTGATTGTAGTAATTGTGTAGGCTTTGTTATAGTTCTCTCTCCCAGCACATGGTAGAGGTGTTCGAAATATGCCTCAATTCTTTCAATCAGTGAATTCACATCGTTGCCTCATTTTCTGTCGGTTGGGCCGGCTTTAAACTCTGCCTCTCTATTAAGAAGACTAATAGGAACAACAACTAACCGCATTTCCAAGGTGATTCTTCCATTCATTGGACTCGTAGGTATGAATGAAGGACGTGTGCAAGCAGAAATGCTTATTGGAAGTGGCAGAGTGGAGCGACCAACTAGCAAAGACTTGGCTAAAGTGTTAGGCACGCATACACGCACATGCATTCGCCATTTGGTCTCACGAGATGCGGAGGAGTGCTTAATTCGGCAATTTATAGTTCGTTCCAACGGTTAGCTACCCTTCATACTCTCAATTCTTTTACAAACAGAGTTTCTGGGTTGTCGATCAGTCTTCTTTCTCAATTATTCTCATTTACCGTGTCATCTTTACATCACATTGATTTGGTGTGTGTATGCGTGTGAACCATGATTCTGGTGCCAAGTGAAGTACGACGGAGTGGAAAGGGTGTGGAATGTGTGACGCGTTGGACTCAGTGCTGCTTTTAGAAACGCTAGCCCCCAGTCGCTTGCTTTATTAATAAAATTGGTGTTATTCCTATCTTATAATGCCCTTTTTACTGGCTTAAAGTTGGTCGTTTTAGTTCCTTGACCTTCCGCAGATAATTTTCTGAAGGTCATGTTTTATCTTTTTTTCAGTTTATGAGTAAGAGCTTCCCTTGATTTTAGTCCCTGATAATTTCAAGTTTTTGTACTCAAATTTTTAAATATTTTCTGTCTTACAATCAGACCTCGTGATCTGCTTCGTACGACAGTATGTGAATATCCTCTGACATCAAATCCACCGTGCAAATGACTCATGCAACTTTTGAAATCTTTTTGTAAATTTTGACCCCAAACTTTACTTTTTGGCTGTCTGACAGATTTTGCTTGCTTGACTACTAAATGTTCTCTGAACTCGCCCCAAAGTCAGTAAGTACGGAATTGACTGGTATTGTGCGATCAGCATATCTAAATTAGCTGATCTTATTGTATCACATTTGAGTATTTTCCATGCATACTGCTACCTTTCAGTTGATCTATGCAAGATTTTCCTCATAATCTTCATTATTTAGCTCTTGAATTCTGATTATCAAACCCTTCTTTCGCGTTGCTTTTTTCGGTACTAGAAATATGCGTTCTCAATTATATCAGTCGTGTCAAAGGACTTGGCGTAATTTTGCAGGCAAAAAAAGTGACATTAAGAAGTTGAAATATCCCAACTCAGAGATTAATATCAACTTATATCAATGAAGTATGACAAAGATGCCGTTTTTATCAGATCTCGCTAACGAGAGTAACATTTCCCATTTTTGGTCCAACTTTGGATGTTTCTATTTTTGGAATTTTTTTTCATTTTCCTCAAAACTCAGTGATTGAGAAGGCTTCGCATTTCCATGGTACCTTGCTTGCTAAAATAGCTTGAATTTACACTCCGTTTCCCTGACCTTGAAAATACGCAATCATCTTAATAGATTCTAGCTCGTTACGCATCACGTCTATTGCCCCGTGTCTCCGGAAGGAATACGTTTCGCTCTTAAGTCTTTTCCAGATGATCTGGCAGACAGTCTCCTGGGTATTCTACAACACAATCTTCCACCGACCGAACGCAGTGGCTGTTCCTCCTCTTTCTGCCTCACGTCAGGAAAATTGGCAGTTCTGCAGCGTCTTCTTGTCTCAATTTCCCAAATTCCCTCCGATCCCCCCTCTCTGGGTGGCAGCCATCGTCTTGTTCTCGTCTCCAATTTCACACAAGTAGGGTCTAACGATAACCTTTCATATCTTTGCATTATCTACAGACATATGTGTGCTTTAAGTCGACGGGTGGTTTTAGCATTCAACAGCTTCTGTTGCGGCATTTTTACTCCCCCCCCCTACCCCTAATTGTGTGAAAATTGGTCGTACTCTGTTTCATTAGGACTTTTTGTTGGCTCCGTCCCTAGAGAGGGTTATATATGCCTCATTTTTTCTTCGCTTCTTTGCATTATTCACTTGACATTGTGTGCCCCTCTGTTTACTGACAGCTCACTGCTGAAGTGGCTCTCGGTGTGTGGGATACTATCGCGTGGTCGAGGTATTTGCCTTGTGGAAGTCAAATAAACATTTCCCTTTACAAGAATGAGAGAAAAACGTGGCTAATTTCCTTAATTATGTGTTAAAGTTGGCGATTTTCTTATTTGAATTTTTGAATATAAGTCTTTCGCCCCATATATTCGGAGCTAAGTGGCTGTCACTGACTTACCGCATTTGCAGTGGAAACGCCCTTATTTTGCTGTCTTTTTGAGTCTAGTCAAGTAGTGTAGTTAGGCAGAGGAAGTTTTACCATACCGTGTGATTGTTAAACGTCTCATCAAGATGAAAATCTCCATCCCTTCCCCCTGCTGAAACATGCGATGTAGCTTATCTTGATTCATCAAGTTGGAGTTTGGACTCATTATTCGTTGGCTTCAAGGTCAGAGGCAAGCCATTCTTATGACTCACCTTTTTTCGCTCTTATTTGTCTTTCTTACTTTAAGAGTCCGTGATAGGCCGCTTTCGAACATTTAGCATTTCGGGACTTTGTAAAAATTCAGATATTTGGATGGATTTCAATTCAGACTTAGATTCCGATGTGTTTCTTTGCAATGTTTTGCTTTTTACAGACGTTGGATCTCCTGGAACCAATTTGTCGTACCTTAACGAAGTCGCCTTGCCTACGCATCGACGGAAAGACACCCACGAAGCGGAGGATTGAGATCGTAGATCGGTTCAACTCGCCTACGTGTGTTGAAAGTGAGTTTGTCAACTGCTTTCGGTATTTATTACCTTGTGGTTAGTTCCCTTTGCTTGATAATTTGTACTTTTATTGTGCGGAAATCTCTTACTTGATTGGCTAGTTTATAAAGATCGTTGCGTTCCCACTTTTTAAGGGGTCCTTTTGCTCAGCTCCAAGGCCGGTGGAACCGGGCTCAACTTGATTGGTGCCAACTTTTTGGTGCTCTTTGATATTGACTGGAATCCAGCTACTGATGCTCAGGTAGGCCGTTTCACTGCATCTTGTACTTTTACTTGCAGCCTCGATTTGCACTGCCATTTCTCTCTCCTCCTCTTCTTGTCAATTTCACCCAACGTGATTTGGGATTAAATGATTAGTCCAGGATTGATTAGTTAAGTTTTGTCCGTTTTCTGCTCTTAAATAGGACTTTTCATTAGTTTTCTTCCTACCTTTTGCCTTTACGGCAAGTTGAGTTGTTACTCAAGATGATCAGTAATTGTTTGAAAATGTTGAAATGGCTGGTGTTTTGCCGGTCCTACTCGCTTCTTTTTGGTGTAAAGTGAATCTTTGTTCAGGTTTTTCTTCCCTCCTTATGTGTGTGCCTTTCCTTTTTGCTTTTCTTTTTTTTCTTATGAACCGAAGAGTAGCAACAACACTAATAGCTAGTTAGCTTCTACAACCTACATTTCACGCAACAAACGTGCATGATTATTATAAAAAGAGAACTGCCTTGTGCTTCATCCGTTTTAAGGCCTCCGGGGCGTGAATTTATTAACATTTAGAAGACTTAATATCATCATTTTCCTCTTGTAAGCTTCCTATCTATGTCTACAAATAGTTTTCGTCTCAAATGTCTTATTTTTTTCTAAATTAGCCCTTCGCCTTCACTTCTTCGTTGAATTTTGCTTGTTTAAGTGAGGTAAATTTTTCCCACTTCAGCTTAAAATTACCTGACTTGATTTTCCGGCACCGTCTTTTACATTACTTAAAAATCATAAGTAGTATCCTGACAGGTTCCACCCATTCTGAGAAGTTCCGCCAAAGTAGCATTGATCCATAATGGCTTTAATAGCGTTCATAGAAGTGTTGTTCCCGGTTAACTTTCAAGCTTCACTTCGAGTCTGGCTTAAGGTTTTAATGACGTCAGAACGGCTAGAACTAAGCCTTTTGGTAAAAAAAAGCGCTTTGGCGGCATATCTGATTAAGAATTTGTACCGACATATTTCCTGCAAAAGTCATCTTTGCTTTAGTTAAATTAGCCTCCACTTTTGCGAAGTTTGCTCCAATATGGCATTAATCGTCAAGGCGGATGATGAGACTCATGAAATCGTTAATCCCTCTGATCCCTCATTCGGTTCAAAATCGTCCAATCTACTTAAAGTGAACTCCCCAATGGAATTTACCTCCCCTTTTTTCATTGTTAAAAAAATTGAAATCCTTTATGTCGCCTTTTTCACCGCCTAATGTGTAAAAGTTGACTTGCTGTGCCCGTTTTAAGTCTTAGATAGATTCAATGCATCTTTTGGAATGTAATTTTTAGGTCGATTATAAGTTGTAGAAGTGGAAAAAAATCATCACTTTTAGTTGAATGAAACTTGGCGCTCATGCCAGTGACTCAAATGATATCGAGCAGTAATGGTTGTGGTGTTAATGGCCACGTTAATGGTGCTAAATTTTAAGACCGTCTGAAACACTTAGCTTCAACCTTGCTCTTAAGGCTTGTTGAGAAAGTAGGGGCACTTTTCTTCCTAAACAGAGTGGACTACGCTCATCGTGGTGACAGTCTCAACAGTGGAGAGATGTTAGTTTCTTACTCAGCATCGCTTCAGTTTTACTTTTCCTCTGCACGCTAAGTTTAACCTAAATGTCACAAATCAGTACGGGCGATAACGCAAATTGAACCTTTAGGCTTTAGCCCGCGTCTGGCGCGAAGGTCAGAAACGTCGAGTCAACTTGATTCGCCTAATCACAGCTGGCAGTCTGGAGGAGCGCATTTTGCAGCGTCAAATTGCCAAGTCCTCATTGGTCACCACTGCTATGTCTTCTCTGTCCTCAACCGCGCCGAATTCTCTCAGCCTCTGTGAGTTGAAGGTATGTTGACTGCTGCTTCCCTATAAATACCGCATTAGTGATGAGGAATGCAGTCGTGTAGGCCATGGCTGTGCTTTTTGCAGTTACGTGACAATGTCATGTCCGTTAATCTGCGGCTTCAATTCGTACAATCGCTTTATATCCTATTACATGTTGCAAAAGATCGTGTGGGCATCAGCTGAATGGGTGTCCACATCTTTTGATCTTTTTGGTTAAAATTTGGACGCAATTCTCTATTGAAACAGGATTATACTGGTTCTTTCAGCAATAAGCATGTGGGTTGAGTTGTACATAAGTTTGATAATGGACAACCCTGGTATCTTTTAAGATCAAGCATTTGTTTGGGTCTTCATCAAAGCAGAACCACACTGAAGGTCTGAGCCATAAAATAGCTAACCGTAGTGTGGGGGAGTGGTACCAGTGCTTAAATCCCTTTGATTTCTTTTCTTTTGTTATGTCAAATCAGCACTCCTCTCTTTCCGTCTCAATGCCCCAGTACGAGGTCGCATGTCAACTATTGTTAGTGCTGAAATTTCTTCATTGAGTAAATTTGAATCCTCCAAAATACCTTCTATGATAAATACGTGTATTATTCCACGCTATCATGACGCAAACTGCGTAAATAAAGAGTCGTTGGATAGAGGTCGCTTAAGTGTAAAGTATATGCATAGACGCCATTGGTATTGTGTACGCGGGAATAAAAGTCCAAGCTGGTGAATGCGCCAAATCTTCTTTCCTCTCTCTCTCTCCGCCACTACGAATCAGAATTAGGTCTAAAGGGCAGCCAGCTTAATGGACTTTAATGCAAAGCGGTGCTGGCGGTGTCTGCCGTCATTATTTAAGTATTTAATGTACCATTCTTCTCAACACATTTCGTCCCGATGCCCAAAATGGAGCCAAAAATAAATGCATCTAGATCCGTATCCGTTAATTCGTCCTATGCTGCTTGTCAAACACATGAATTGTGTTTGTGTGTAGACGCGTCGGGCAAGCGTCTCGTCTGCGTGGAATGTTTTAATCGCGCTATGTTCACTTTGAAACTTTATTGGTCATCTCTAGGACATCGATATTGCTGGCATATTGAATGGACGAAAGATCTGTTTTTTTCTCTACTTGTTAAGGAGCTCTTCCAATCACCGCCCAGTGATTCCGACTGTTGGACGCACGACCTCCTAGACTGTCATTGTCAGAGTATTTCCAACGATGACGTCTGTAGCCCCCAACAGATGTCTTCCTTGTGTGATGAGGACGATATGCGAGCCTTTCAACTCGGCGGATCGGGACAACGAACCAAAGCGCAGGAAGAGATGGCGTCTGCGAGCAAAGGGCTCGGACAGATCAAAGCATGGAGACACTTCCTTAGCCCCGAAGCTGTTGCTGAGGCGGTGCCCATGATGGCAACATCGAGGTGTGTTAAAGCAGTCTTTCAGCATGTGGTAACTCCTTCAGATTAGCTGTTTTCTCACCCAACTGCATTCTTTCCAGTACCTCTTCTGCATTTGTGAATATGGCAATTATGAGGATGTTTCGTGTTTTTTCAAAGATATTGAATAGCTTATTCATATGTATCGTTTGTTTTAAATGGGCAGGGAAGTGGCGATAGAACTCGTTCTTTGGAAAGCTATTGGTAGTCTTGTGGAGTGGACGCTTCACTGGAAAAGTGCATTGGGCTTTTGTACAGTAAATTTTTCTGTTGTTCCAAATGATGCCAAGTTTTTAGTCTGTCAAACTTTCGAATCACGCCTTTTTAGTCTTCTATGGGGGTTTTCCCATATTTTACTTATTTTCTCCCATAATATCAAAGAAGATGGAAAGAATTAGGGCGACTTTTCCAGTATTTTGATACTCCCAGGAACATATTGCAGGGGGCCCCGCCCAACTGTTGTACGTGTTATTTTGTGTCAGATTTTGCAATTCCTCCTAATTCTCTAAAAGGAAGGCTTTTTTTCCTGTCTCGACTTCCTTTATGTTAGCCAATCAGCATGTGCCAAAAGCCTAGTGATAATTAAAAATCCCAAAACCGGTAAAATCGGTTATATTTCTCCTATTTAAGACAAGTTTACAAGTTTGACCCAATGGTTAGTAATTGTCAGACTTTTCAACCTCTGCCCATCGTCTGCACTAATAAGCCAAAAGTCGTATCCTACCAATACCTGAGGGCTCCCAGAAGTTTGCTAGCAAGTAATTAATTTTGTAATGATAACTAGTCACGAAGTCATGGAGTTCTCACACATGTGACACCAACTAAAATATGGTAGTGCCTCTCCCACGGCATTCAAGAGTGGGGAGAAAGGGAATATAAAGAAGGACATTGCAATCAAACTCCATAATTTTTTTATCAAAGCAAATCAAAACCTAAGGGCAGGAGATTTCACACCGCTAACTCTTCTACATCCTCCAAATTTATATACACGGGCCTTCTACTCGGTTCAACCCGGGAAATGGGACTGTTGGCAAGCGCAGAAAAGGAAATACTCTCCAGGTGATTAGCACTGCTGGTAATTTTTGTAGTCTGGCCACTTTTGACTCTCGATTGGCCGTGGCACATAGGGTCGTTGCAGAAGGCGAGAATACGGTTAAGACCGGTACTAAGAATTCGTCGCGATTTGGAGAAGCCTGCAATCACTGAAGTTGCTTTAGCCAACGCGAAGATGGGAAGAAGAAAACGGAGGGCAGTTTCGACGTCCTGAAGATGAGGTAGGAGGCTGGGATAGATTTGTCGAAAGGAAATGACCTTGGCAATTGCGGTCACGGTTTCGCCATCACCGAGTCGCTGATCATCTTCGCGGTGGAATACGAGTCCGACACGATTGTGATACCTTTCTGGAGGAGAAGTAAATACCCTCCTTCATTCTCTTTGTTTGAATAATCCTACCTTTTATTGCATTAAAAGAAATCCGTAGGAAATTTGATAGGTTCAATTTTTAGTGCCTAACAGATGGAATGGTGGTATTTTTTTAGACGAGTGCCTTCTTCTTTAGTTTCGATTTTGAGATCGTTTATGCCATTTCATTCTCGTAGTAGCTACGCACTTTTAAGTCACTCTGCCCCTTTTTCGTTGCAGCATTTGGCAAAGGTAGGAAAAGGTAGAATTCCTCTTTCTCCTTTTTTTATTCTTTTCCAAACAGGAATCTGCACTTGGGGTTTTGTTTCACGTACCAAATTGTGGTTTTATTTTGTTTGTGAAAAACGAGGATAATGAATTCTTCCCGTGAAATCATACACCACTTGGAAATGGTGGTATTTCTTTTTTGTCTTACTTCATCTCATTGCAGAAATTAGGTAAAGCTTGTGAATTGAGGTCAAATAATGCGCCTAAAGTTCTACTTGCTTAGATATTTCTATTATTTTCCTCAGATTACATATTTTTAAAAAAAATAAGTCGATTTACGAGCTTTATTTCAGAGGTGCCGTCGTCGTGTTGCCGTCTACATTTGCTAAGCAGCCTAGCCTGGTGTAAAAAGGTGGCGTTATGGAAACCGCTAGGTAAAATTTATGACGTTTATTTGTTACAAAAGCCTATTTTTATTTTTATTTTTTTTGTATCTGAATGCTGCAAATTTCTTTCCGAAGTAGCTACCAACACAGATGCACGCCTACAAACAAATTACTCGGTAAAAAGGGGTACTTCGGATCTTGGAATCGGAAAAAGGGTAATGTGTGCGCATGTTTCGTTCTCTTTTTTCACAAAATAAACACCCAATTCGACTGGTTCATTTGCAAATTACCGATCGGTGCAACGGACATAAGCGGAGAAAAATACATGTATAATTTTTAAGTGATTGGTTGATTTTCAGTCTGCTGCGTGTCGCAGATTTTACGTATTTCTTTTCCAAGGTTTTTTGAAAATTGCCAAACGGACGAGCCAGGAGGGGTATAAATCCAACCTTTGTGGTGGATGACTTGGAACAAGGGGTGAGTATTCCTAACTTCATCTTTTTTGAATCAGGCCAAGAAGTTACAGTTTTTTTTCTTTTAGATCCAGAGACAAAGTTAAAGTCAAATTTTGGCCTTTTTAAAAAGTGATCGCAGGTTTTTTTGCCGCAACCTAAAATCCCCATGCACTACTAGTTGTTTTCCGATGAGCTAGGAAATTCAAAAGGCCCTGTGTAATTACTAAACTAAGTGTAATGGGAAGGCACCGTTCCATTCATCTATCAATGCCAAAATCGCGCCTTACGGATCGCCATTTTACTGCATACCTGTTTTCACTTAGGAAGGAAATGCGGTCCAGGTGTTGTCTAATGTCAAGGCTGACTAACTTGGGGATAATCTACCATCAAGATCTCCTGAGGTCAGATTTATAAAAGTTATTCAATCATTTTTGTACATTCCCATGGGAGTCATCTCCAACGTCATTCGCTTCCATCAAGAAGTAGATTAATCCGGTGGCAAGATTAGAAGGGTAGGGATTTACCAAGCATTTGTCTAGGACATTTCCACCTACCTGAAAACAGGAGATATTTCAGCATATAAAACAGCATTCTTGGAAGGATGGAGAGTCCATGCAGGAGGAAAAGTACCGGTAAAATCCACATAAATTTATCCAAATCACCCGGACAATCTACATTCAAATCGCATCCATCTGTCTCCAAAGTGTTCCTTCGAGACGATAAAATTACAATTCCTGCAGCTAGAGGTAGAATGCATGGAAGCACATCTCCGATGAGGTGATCTAGCGTTGGCCAAATGAAGGAGACGAAGGCATGACTTAGTCCCCAGGAGGCGGAAAATCCACATATGTAAAGTGTGGGTTCTGCAAAAGTCCCACCTCCAAAAAGTGATTCACTCGGTGGAATTCGATTATCCACATGGAAGAGATCAAAAGTCCAAAAGAACTGACTGCTTGTGGTTGCCACAGTAGCGATTATGAGGATGAATGCATTGAAGGCCCATTCGGCCCGAAATCCTGCTATATGGTGCCTCAATTGTTTCAGAGAGATTAGGGAATCAATCGCAAGGCTTGTTATGAGGAGACCTTCCGTGTGCTTGAGACAAGTGTATCCCATCGCTAGAGTTTGACACGACCAACGTCCAAGGAATCCTATCACTGTAAGCATGGGTACTCCATGTGTTGCGTGCATCAGGGCATCATTCAGCTCGATAAACAGGTCAATAGATTCCAGAAAGGTGAGATAAAAGAGCAATCTAGCAATGCAAAGGCCTCCACTACCGGATAGTCGTCGAAGACAATGCCAAGAGAGGAGATTCAGAATGAAGCTGACGAGGAAGACTACACAAAGGATGATTGAACAGGTCTGTTGATTGGGATAGAGATTGAATGGCACTAAATCGGTCAGGAGGAGGGTGGTTTCGTTGGCACTTTTAGTCCAGCCTTGGCTACCAATTTTCCCAGTGAGAAAGGCTGGAATATTTGCCGGATTAGCGAATCGTATAAGCATTTCTGAATGGGTTTCCACTGGTCCTTTTATTTCTGTCGAGGTGGAGGCGTCATTTAGCATTGAGAATGGAGAAGTGGAATGAGCGGAAGACGCTAAAATTTAACACAAGATCTGATTGGATGGTACTTCCGGGAACAAGGAGGTAGAGAGAGGGAAGATTCTTTTGTTTAGGATTCCGGGTCAATTTGTAAAGGACTTGTTTTAAAGCTTGTGCGTAAAAAATATCCTGTTGATTTTGTGGCATAAATTCCAAAAGCAACTACCAAAGCGCTATCTGGCCTATCTGAGAATAAATAAAGGCGATTAGATCTTGGGCAGTAGGCATAAATTGAGAATAAGTTCAAGCGGTTAGCCATTTTTCCCAAAAAAAGGCGTCAGGTTGATTTTGAATCCCGTGTCAAGTAAGATAACGTGACAAGGACTTACAAAAATTTATTTTAATGGATGTGTGCGATACTTGTGAGGTCCCCTTGCGAACAAGATGGCTGCTATGAAACAGCTTTTTTTGTCATTAAGAGGTTGCTGACGGTGTCCAAGGCTAACCGCATCAGGTGTTATAAGATCTCTCCTTCTTCTAATTTTTAAAGCCAAAAGCATAAGGTTTTGGGAAAAGGAATCGCGTATCTCCCCAACTTCTGCGTCAGTCTATAAGAGGTTGGTGTTGCCCTTCGAAGTTCAGACCTCCCCAGTGATATGAACAAAGAGGTCATGGTCAGCCTACATTAAAAAGGGTCATGGCACGATGTGCTTCTGCAATTTTTATTGTCTCAAAAAATGATGATTTAATTATAAAATAACTTAAAGTGATTAGCCTACTAAAAACTGAAGCGTTGATCGCTTTTTCATCCTCTGGTTGGCTTGGACTAAACCAATATCGGCAGGTGTAGTCGCTGAGACGATTGGAGCAGTAGGAGAAGTAGTCCGATTCAAAATGACCTGAGAGAATGAATTCGATGAGTGTGGTATTCAAATCCACCGGTATAAAGGCAGCCTCAGCTTCAAAAGTAGTGCCCGTGGAACTGGCCTTACCACGGCCGCCGCCACGACCCATTGCAAATTGAAAGATCTCCTCTCCCTCTTACGATTCACCGATCTCACTACTCAAGTGCTTGTCAATTAATGTGACAGCAATGCAGCGCCAGCGGTAAAAGAGGCGCCTACCAAAAATGCAACCGAGATGAGGGAGATCTCTTCCCCCCACAAGGCCTCCAATCAGTGGTGAGAGCATTTTGATTGGTCAGCTAGGTCTTGGTGAATAGGCGAATGCCAATGCAAGGCCAAGCGGGTTTTTTGTGACGCAGGCGAGATGATTGACATGAAATTTATCTCAGCTTTTTTCCTTGCAGAGGCGAGTCTGCTGTGATTGCTTTTATAATTTAGTTAATTACTCCAAAAGCGTTGGGTTGTGAGGTAGTTAAAGCAATTGCAATTTCCCATACTTCCGTGTTTATTTTATTCCATTTCGCCTTTCTCAAGGTATTTTGAAGAATAAAACAATTTTTTTCAAGTAAATTGGCACAGTTGAGAAAAGTTTTAAGAATGTTTACAAAGGGGTTCTTTTTCGGTCATTGTAACGAAACTGGGAATTTTGGGTGATATTGGGCAGCCGTGACATTAGTGTCACAGGCATGCCTGTGTTAGGAGTAATAATTCACACTTCAGCAAAGTGGAAAAGCTTGAGCATGGAAACAGGAAGTTTACCTTTTTTTGTGAATCTGACCTTCACTTAAGGAGGTGAATGCTAGAAAAGAAAGGGTCGGAAAATTCAGATCTCGAACATACCCATGCTGAAAGTGATGCCTTTACAAAATTGTCAAATTTTAACTAGATTTCGCCAAAGTCTTACGAGTGGAGCTGATAGAAGGCGCAATTTTTCTGCAAATTTTTAGTTATTTTTTTTGAAGCCAGTGAAATTATAAAGCACAAATCCTACCCAAAAAGTGTCTTCGAGGCGTCAGTTCACTTGGTTAACAACGCAATCGCCGCTTGATTTACATGACAAATTGACGACCAGACGATACTAAATGTCACCTCTGTCTGTTGCAGTTGAGTATGTGACCGTCTTTCCCTTCCGTCTTCTCCTCCCAACAGTTGATGTGGTCATTTTGCGGTTGCATAAGTCAGTGGAGGTTTGACCTGTAAAAATTGGACGGGTTTCAAGTTTGACGTTCTTACTCCTTACGGTTGAAAGAATGCCATGGAAAAACCCAATCAATCTTCTGAAATATAGTGCCTCCCTTAACACTGATACTGCCCTCAGAGTTTATTGCATCATTAATCCAATTGTTTTGATCCTCCTTTATTGAAGTTGACATACACAACCTGGAATAAATCAATGATACTGCCAGAATTTTCTGCCTAAAAGGATTAGAAGAACACACGTCGAAGAAGAAGAAGATGAAGAAGATAAATAAAATTTGACAGTCGACTTGGCGTGTGCGTCATTTCTTGAGTGCTGAGACACGCACCTCCGCACGCGCTCAAGAACGCGGTGTCTTACTCACAGCGTCTTTCCGTAATTTGCTCGTAACCAATCTCCACTTGGATTTTGAGAGCAGAGTGCCGCTTAATAACGGTGGCCTTATTGAAGTCAGTCACTGCACCACGTTCGGCGTTTCGAAAAGCCCCATGGCACCGCTGTTAGTTACTACCGCTACTTGTGTGTGTCGTGACGCCCCACTGAAAGACAAATCGCTTCAGGAGGTGGCTGGAAATGGACTTCGAGAGGCTAACGATCCTCCTTCCTACAAAGTTAAAGTGACAAATTCCAAGGTTTCCTTCAAATCAACTAGTAAGGGAGCAAAAAAGCTGGAGCCTCTTGAATTTCAGAAGGTGAATGATATGTACGTCATTGAGGAATCGGATGTGATTGCCTTCTCTCTTTCACATAAAAAGGACCCCACTTGCTTAGCCTTGAAATTCAACGACACTAATTCGAGAAAAAAGTTTCAGACCCTGGCGAATACCAGCATTTCAAACACCAAAAAGTCGAAGTCAAAGGAGAAAAAGAACAAGAATAAGAAGGAGAAGAAAAAGAAGTCCAAGTCTAAAGAAGCGCAGCAGAACAAGGCGTCGGAAGAAAGTAAACCTGAAAGCACTTTGGAACCGCCACGTGAGAGGTCTGGCAATTCAACAGTCACTATGAGCGACGTGAAAGCATCGCAACGATCTCGCCGACCTTCATCATCTCGGACGATTAATGACGAAGGGAGACAATATCGCAGATCGCCGTCTGTAAAAGATGGATCTAGCGTGTGTTCTCATTGTCACCAGAAACTTCCCAACAGAATGATGGCCAGCAGGATAGAATACGATCCTCCTCATCATTTGCAGTCACATTCACCACGGTCACAAGCCAGATCCTACAACTTCAGTCGGAGTAGTAGTAACGGTAGTGTCTACTATATTGGACCACGAAAGATGTATCATAGATCTCACATCAGAGATTCGCCAAGTGATGCGTGGACCAATGAGAGTACTGAGAGTTTATCCACCTCCATAACAACTACCCCTACTGATGGGCACTTCGTGAAGGTTGACAAAGTACCTTATAGGACGCCAGTGTCCTATCGTAAATCGTCACCACGACTCAAGACGTCTGTTTTGGAACCCACCTCAAAGCGGCACAATTCTAAACGCAGTAAATCTCAACCAAATGTATTCTACCTATGGGATTCTAGCAGTGATGAAGGGGATGAAAGTGACGACTACCGATCTAACTCAACTTCCTCGGATGACAGTGTCAGTTCTTACAACAATGTCATTCCCAGCGTTGAATTTGCTCGATCAAAAAAAATTGATAAGCTTCTCCAAGAATTGGGCAAGCCTGGAGCTATTCGACTGTACTGAGACCAGTGACACGATTTTCCTTCTGCCTTGATGCAAGATTCCACTTTCTATTCCTGAAAGGATGTTTAACTTATTCTATAGTTTATATTGCCTTTTTTAAAAAAGATTTGACGAAATTTTTCAATATTTTGCAATTATTTGCCATCCAATGAGATTTAGAGAAGGTTTTCATTTAATTTTTTTTACAGTTTAGTTCCCATTTTCAATGAGAGTAACTCATGGAAGAGATGGACGTTTTGACTAAAGTGACTGAATTATTTAAACATATTACTGGAGAGAAATGTCAACTGTTGATCGTTAGGTATTTAGACCTATCACGCTGATTTAATGTTGTTCTTTTTTCAACCCTAATAAAATATTCCAACTCCACTTGGGGCAGAACCATCTAGGGTCGGATGAATGGTTGTCTAAACAATGTATTATTCTGCTTTTAAGAACAATGGAATTTGACCTTGGCGGGTCACTTGAAGGCTAACAAATTCGCCCCTTGATATGTTTCGGCAGTTGGTTGGAAATTGTGGAAGAGTTGCAAATTCGCTGGTTTGATCAATCGAAAAGGCAAAATATCTAAGTTAAGCGGGTAAAGGTGGCTTTGATTTGCATCTAGCTGTCTAATAAGTGGCGCCATTGAGGGTGTGCAGTGCCTACTTCATCGGCACTGTGTAACTTAACTCGAAAATGTGTAATTTGAAAAATGGACCCTTTTAGCAAGGAATCCTCTCAAAATCCATCTAAATAAACCAGCTGTGGTGATTTTTGCAGGTTCTTGACATCCTTGGCAAATGATTGCTCGTGTTTTTTCTTCAATAGGCGGTGGCAATTTGTTTACGACCCAGAAACGGAATTGAAACGCATATTTTTACTGATTTGTTAAAAGTAGTATGTGGTATCGCCTAAACTGTTTGGCAATCAGATTGTCCTATTTTTGACGTTTTTGCATTCTCCTGTTTGAAGTATCCATCATTGCATTGCTCTAGTACCAAGGGCGCACTTTTAAATGCTTAACACAGTAGCAAGCCTTAGCACAAGTTGATTTTAGATCTAAAAGCTGATAAATCATTTACGACTGCAAAATCGTCTTCTTCACATACCTCACCTTGGGGATTGCTTTAAGATTTGTGCTCCAAGTCCTAACTGACTGTTAAACCAGTGTGCAAAAGCCGCAGGCTGGTGGTGTTACATTCTATGACACTTTTTTTCCTTCGATTTACCTTGTCAGCAGCAGGGATTGACAATTGGATGATAATTGTAACGCAAGATATTTTGCATCCATAGCAATTTGATTTATATTGTATCTTACGAGGCTAAAGTTATAATTCTTTTCACAAACTAGTCGGAATTTCAATTAACATCCTGCCTTTAAATCCATTAGATATTACACATTGAAAGTTGACGTGTAAGCAAAGTGTGGCACTTCCTCTGTTGTCACTCGATTACTGGAAAGCCTACCTGCTTGATATTTCCCAATTCCTCTAATTTTGAATTGTTGCCACTGATGCTGTTGGGTAAATAACAGTCAAAATTCCCTTAGCACATTTGTATGACCCAAACATGAAATCGTATGACGTGTCAGTAACGAAGTTACTGACATGCACTAATTATCACTAATTGATGTTCTTGTGCATACCTGCACAAGAACATGATTCCCTTTTGAATGAGCGTCTCCGTGTATTTGATTCGTCTAATTCTTCACCCTCTAAAATCCAAGCTGATTAAAACGAAACCGTTTATCAATGCTTCCACTCTACACTGCTTGGCGTGGTATTTAAAAAGTTTAAATGCTCCACATTTTGCTAAAGTCTGCCAGAAATACATAATAAAATACTAATTTTCTTTTCACAAAATGTCGAACAAAGGGTTGTTGAATTATGAATATTTTTACTCACGTAAATAATGCCAATTGAATCCCCGAGGGAAGTCTACAGTCAGCAAGGCACATTGACAAGACCTGGGGATGGGACTCATGTCACTGTCTAATTACAATTCAGCATAACACAATTCCTGTCATCTGATCACTCTGCCACGGTGACAGTCTGACAAGTGGTGAAATCACCTCCACTTTGTGACATTCACCTTGACTCCCTGTCAATTTCGTCATCGTGGTGGCAGGTTAAATATGCCCTGGGCCTTCCAATTATCGATAAAATGCAGGTTTACCTTGATCAGGGTTGTCAAATAATTGATGGTCATCTGCTCATCACCTTCTACAATTTCCTGAGCTTTAAGTTTAATTACTCATGGAAAAAAGTGCTTTGCCGTCTCAAAATGTCAAAACATGTGTCGATAGTTGCGACGGTTGCAAAATGGTTTTAAGATGTCACAGTGTGGAATCAAAACAGCATATCTACTTAATGTAGAGGAATAAAACCACAATAATGTGTAGCATTATTTCTAAATTTTACCTTTCAGGAATTCTTGTCCTTTTTCAGAAACCGTAACTCTGCAACTCGAATCGTACCAGTACGGGCATTGTTGATCCCATTCACTCTCTCCCCACATTCCTAGCGCTGCATACCCCGACAGACGGGCATCAGAGTAATGGCATTTATAGCAATTAGATTGCCTTGAAATGATAAGCAAATTAACTCGTAATTGTGCCAAGGCAAGGCATGGAAAAGACTGAATCGACATTGTCTCTTGTACTGGTGAGTTGCTACCTAATTTAACAGCTTTGCCATTCATCCTACCATTTACTTTTTGTGGTGAAAAAACTAGTTTATAGATCCTATTTACCTGAGTTTGTGTTCTTTTTCCTCGGTTCAGTTTATCTGTTATGCACACATATGAGCCTCGGCATCCAAAAGAGATCGCTTGGATGGTTATCGGTCCTGCGGAACTAACCTCAGCGTGCAAACAAATGAAGGGAGAGAGACGAGCTTGCCCTCCTCCCTCCTCCGAACGAATGTCATAATAGCGTAGTTAGGACCATCGGAGTAAAAAAAATTATAAAGGAAACCTCTATTTGACCTTAAACATTATTCTGCCAAAATAGGGGACAAGGACGCTACCTGATTGGTTGATTTTATATTTAACTAAGTCAATAAATAAAAATGCCTCAAGGTAGGGTTTTTATAGAAAATGTGGCTAATTTAGACGTTTTAAAGGACCCATCTTTTTGTGCTTTGCAATTTGTCTAACAGCACTCTTCCTGCTTCACATGACCTCTCTATTCATACATGCGGTCTTTCGGCCTTTCTATCAGCAGGCAGTAAAAATTTTGCCGTCTCCCAGGGGAAAACTTGATGCCAAACAATAGAATATAGCTCAAGTAAATGGCAGTTTTGTTATTAAATTTTGGTCGAATTACCTCACTCCTTATTCTAATGAAAAAAAATTAAGTAGTACTCCTAACCGTGCACGATTAACTACTTATAAGTCCTCGCAAAATCGGAGGTCTCTTTAAAAAATTATAACGTTCATTGAGATACATATGCTTATGGGCGACACATTCCAGAGCATGTATTCGATCGGTGGTGCCAGGATTTTTGGTGAAGAAGTGGCACTAAAAAGTGCAAAGCATTGAGTTGGTTGCTTTTATACTTGGCAAGCGCGTGATGGTATTCGCTGCCTACAAGCACAATAGCTTGATTCGCTACCACCGTCAGGAGGTGGAATGGTAGAGGTGCGTGAAGCCCTCTTTTACACACTTGCACAAAGCTTCTGCCAATCACAGAAAAATATATTTTTAATTCAATTACGCCATCGAAGAGGCATCCACTTAATTGGTAGTCCTTCGACTCGCCTGCTCATTATTCTTGCTTCGTCAATTTACCACGAAGCTCTCACTTTTGTCTAACTATTGCCAGGAGTGATGTCAGTTGTAGTCACTCATATTCCACGTTTTCACTCCCGTGATGGGTATACTGGTCCTAAATATCCTCCCGAGGGCACCTGTTCAGCGGTTCTTTTGGAGAGAAAGTTTGTTGCTTCCCATGGACCGCCGCCACGCATTGATGCTGCTCGCCTAGCTCGAACAATAACCGTTCAGAGGGGATCTCAACGAGACGTTAACATCTGTGTCTTTCGTGACCGTCTTCTGCTTAAAGTCACAGGCAGGGGCCCAGATTTGCCTGAAATATTCTTCGATGATATAGTACAAATTGAACTGCTCTCAAGCAAACGTAATATTCTCTTCATCCTCTGCGGACGACGTGGAGTTGGATGCTACTACTTCTTCAAGATTACTGACTACGGTATGGCGGAGAGGATCAAGGAGCTGGCTGATCATGTTAATCCCAACCTTATGCATGGTCAGCAGGACTATGGGGCCCCGATGCATAACTTCCATCATTACAGAATGCAAGAGAGACAACCCTTGAACGTCTACGCCTATGACAATCAACGGATAGATCGTGACTACAGCGCACCTCCCTCTGTCTCTAGCAAAGGCAGTAATACGGCTTCCGTCGTCTCTTTACAGCGCCAAAACTCTTTCATTGGCTGGGAAGGGTATAGGGGGAATCAAGACGCTCGCCGTGGTCGTTTTTTTCAGAGTAAACAGTCGTCGATTAACCCCTACCGAAGTTCCTCACGATCTAGATCACCTAGTCCACGAGAGAGCAATAAGACACTATACATTAAAGCTCAGGGAGGCGCAAGTCGAAGAAAGGCGGGTTCGATTAGACGGAAGCGTCAACCCTTACTGGGTACGGAGGATAATCGACCTCACTCAAAGCCTGTTAGTCGACCAGGCAATCGCAACGATAAACGCAAACATGGTCCACGATCTGCGATTGCTCCACGAAAATATAAGCCTTCTGAACGTCCTAAACCACGAACATTCATTCTAGACAGTAGAACTGGACGGAGTTACAGAGCAGCTACCACCGCGAGACGAGGCTATGATACTGAGACTAAGTCTGACTCGTCAGAATCTACATACGACCTTGCCGACAAAGTGCAGATTGGCCGACACCCTTATCCGCATGAGCCTCGGCTCAGAAATGTGGATTACCAAGTTAAAGAAATAGATGATTACGACTGGGAGAGTTTGGATAGTTGGGATCTTGAGGAGGGTAAGGCGTTTCGACCGTTTGAGGGTGAAACTTTCAATGCACCCCGTACTCAAGGCAGGCATCCTAGAAATGAGGACTTCACTAATGGTGAGGAGTCAAATTCCTCTGTCGACTCACTCTACCTGGAGCGTGATATGGAGCAAGGGACAAATTTTTACCAACATAATGTCAACTATCTACCCGAGTTGGAGAAGAAATTCCATCAGTTCAATCTCAAGTAGGCAGTAGACGTACCAATTTACAGAAGGTGTCGTGATGTTACTTTTGTGCTCCCCTCTCCCCTCCCTCCGCTCCTCACAACGACGATTTTGTAGCTTTCCTCCTACACATGTATATCTTGCATTTCCCCTCTACAAGGTTCCACTTTTCGCATTCCTTTTTTGCCTTATCTCTGCAAAGCCAGTTTGTAATTTTGGGATAGAATTGTAGGCTCAAGAAAGGGATTTAAGGGTAGTTTTATTTCAGGAATGTACTTTATTCCACTCATTCGGCCGTATAAATGTACTTTAGGACAAATTAATGATTTACCAATATTTATTTTTTCTGATTATATATTTTATTACCAACTAGATGGAAGCAAATAATCAAAGGAGTTGTTTGGACTTTAACCGACAAAGTTTCAACATCCTCCAAGTGTCAAAAGACTGACTCATATCCTGAGTTGAGAATACTTATATTTCATAACTTTTTAAGAAGCTTTTGAGTGAGTATGAGGGACTCATGACACTTGAAACCAATTCAGAAGTAGAGAAGAGAGGGAGGTTCTAAATTGTGGTGATCATCATTTTTTTTCCTCTGACACCTCAATTGTAGGTCTGGAGGAGGGTCTGTTTCTAGTTTTCGATGTAAATCACCTCCTGTATTTTTGCGGCCATTTGGGTTTGCTGATGGCGCTGGTAGAGTCAGGCAGTGTAGCCAATAAAAATTCTCAAAAACAGATCAATATATATTTTAGCCAATCAGCGTTGTTTATTCGGGGAGGGTGAAGCGGGCCTACACATTGCTCTCTACCATCTTCGTAAATTGACAAAAAAATCGTTTCAAAATTGATTTTTGCTTAATTTTTATGAACAAATCTGACGAAAAGACCTCTCAACTTTTGCTCCCTTATTTTGGGCACTAAAGAGGGTTGTCTTTGACCCCTAAACCATACAATTTCGTGGATACCTGCAATACTGTTCCTACGCTTGTTTTGCACGGTGTTATTGCACTTGCACCACCTTCATTCTCGGCAAGTGAGAGCTAAATGCATCTGTCGTAATCAGGTAGTTGGTTGTCAAAATCCCACTCCTCTGGGCATTTTACCAGCTAAAAAGTATTTTGTCCACCTGACTACGCATTGTTACCTCCGCGAGTTAAATGCTTGTGCTCATGAGTGCCTGCTAAAAAAATTTTCATTTTTGGCATCGTGACTAACACCCTCTGAGTTTGTGCACGCAGATTCCAAATTCACAGGCGACGTGGAATGAAATACAGTTTATTATCACACATCAATTGCGATGAGACCGATTGATACGCTATGTGGGAACTACGAAGACGGTGTAACAAGCGCTTAGTCACTTGAATGAAGCTGGAATCACAACTAATGCCAGCAGAACAGACTGAGACACTTTTTGCTTTGTCTAAGGCAATTGTTATGATTTGTATGAATAAGAGTAGATGAAAGGAGGGGGTGGGAGGAGGTCGATACCCTCACGTGAGCATAGTGGTAAAGAGGGTGTTATAACAGTGAAGTATTTCATTCAGAGCAATGATCAAAGTATTTCCTCATAATTGTTAAGGATATTAATTTGCAACCCCTTCTATCTATTTGCGGTCAGCTTAAACAAAACTTATCGTCGTATGAGACTTAAAAGTACAATTCAATGTATGCGCTTTGTAAATTCCATATAACAGTTTAAAAAGACGCTGCTTTTTGAGTGCCTCTTATCTACTCTAGAATATAAGTAGCATGGTGTAATTGGAGGTAAATAATGTTACTACAATACCGTACGGCGATGCCAGACCCGCCACTCACATTCAGCGTGCAAATGTCGGCTTCGTAGCTAGGTGGAGCCCTGTTGACAGCGAAATCTACGATGACTTGATTAAAGTTAAAGAAAGAAATGTACTCGGCCCGGACCACCCAACTCTTTTTCGTTCACAATCTGTTTCCATTTCCCTGTTCAACTTGCAACAATGAGCAAACGAAAACACCACTAGTTATCTCTATCACCCACCTCATGGAGTACCGTAGACGGAATCATGTACAATAAAAATTTCTTGCTGGAGGCCAAAGTACATCTGGTAATGCGGCCTTCATTCAAAGCGTCATCGTACAAGGGGAAAGAAAAAACTCCTCCAAGGTGGAACCCAGGATAGGCAAGACTGGAAAATCAGTCAAAAGTGTGGCCTTAACTTTCAAGACTTCAAACACGAGATGCTATTCCACTACAGAAGATTCACACCCTAGGATAAGATGGGAGAGAAGGCGCAGATTTAGCCCGTGATCCCATAAGAATCTTCCTCCTGGTAGTGATCATAACCTTTTGGGGTTTGAAAACCCCTAAAAACCATTAAAAGTGTCTGGCAACCGTGGAAGTGCCTATAACAAGGCTGTTCTTTTTTCTGTGAACGAGTTCATGCCACATTTTGGGAATGATTACAAACTTATAAAACAACAAATTTGAATTTCCTTGGCACAATTGCACAGAAGTGCAAAATTCTTGTACAAAATCACCTGGTTTTTAAATATTTCGGAACAAGTTTCTGGAAACTTAATCAATTACTCCAAATGCTACCTCATTGTCTTTAACGGAATGGTCAAATTCAACCTGCTGGCCGGCCCCATTAAGTGGCTGGTGATATTTTCAAGAACTTTACACGTGATTTCGCACTCGATGTCCTGAGTTATTTCACTCACCACCACCTGCTAATCCGCGATCTTGAAAAATCCACACATAGAAGGCGTTTATTAACCATACTGACTACATAAATAATACCAAACCAGTAATTCTCCAGACGAAACTTTACTTATTGTATTCATAATCAACCGACTTCTCCTTTTGGGATCATTTACTTCTTTTAAATGTATAGGTTAAGAAACCTCCGCCTCCTACTGAAAAGCCCAGTTATTAAAAAGTGCGCCGAAGCTATTGACCGGCCGAATGCTTCGTGTAAATAAAATGATGAATTAAGAAAGGTGGCAGATGCAAAAGATAGGTAACTACTCATTGTCAACATTAAAGTTCAATGAATCGAAGCATTTGTGTTGATCTTAGTGTTGCCTATTTTGTGGCTCTTACTTGTGATCTCGGGAAAATAATTTTCATTCAATTCACTCTTTATTAACGGAATCGATTTCGACATTTTCAAGAGTTGCGCACACAGATGGCAACAACGTAGCCCCTTATTTTAAAAATTATTCACTCCATATTATTTTACTACATTTTGAACTTTACAAATGCTTACTTTTGCTGGGCCTAGCATAAGAGCCTTGGTGACTCCGTCTGATGTGCTAGATGTGGTCATATCACCCACCTCCACCTTTTTAACTGGCATTTTGTTCTACCTTCGTAAATAACTACTTACTCCAATTTGAGTGCATGACTTGAAATTTAATATGCTATTTCACGTGGCAAAATTATGCGCAACTCTAATCAGACAGTCGAATGTCGATAATTCACCAGACATTGCTTAAATACTCACTTAAGAGTAACCCATAATTTATAACGCCTTTGGCATGAAGTAAGCAATTTTAGTCCTTCTTTTTCAATTGTCTTTTAAAATGCTTGTTTCATGCCGGGGTGGTGGCACGCCAAAAGTGGTTTCATACATGCAGTAAGAGAAAATCTGCTGTCACTTACCTATGACATTGAGGCGAAGAAATGATGATTCCTTGCTTGTAGAAGATTTTAAACATATTTTAGGGATGAAGAAATTTAAATCCAGTCATACATTATTGTGATGTATTTGCAAATATTTTACACAGAATGTCAAAGTCGATTGCAGAAAATTAGCAGAAAAAAGTATGTAAATTTAAATCCAAACCTCTAGAGAGAAGTAGATAACTGTGTTGACATTACTCATAAGCCGCGTGGTTTATATAGCGCATGAAGTAGACGTTCATTGTATCGAGATGTGGGGGACATTCTGTCCGGTTCCATATAGGATGGATAAATGGTTACTACCTCTCTGCCATGCATGTCGACCAAATCAGCCGTACTCGATGTGGTGAATGAGGATGTGCTGGAAGCAGGAGTTATGTTTGCAATCCTGCGTTCTACGCCTTTTGGATGGTTAAAAGCTCGTGGTTTAGACGCCTTCCTTTTTTTTATACTCTTCGGTGGGGGCCAATCTCTAAGTGTAGGCTCAATGATGGTATAGCTGCCTGGTTTCCAGTGTAATTTCAATTCTGAGGCTTCGGATGTCTCATCGTCTCGTGGCCAAGAAGCTGAAGAATTTCTTTTTCGATGCGGCAGAGCCTTCTCCACCTTTTTTGGTGTTGGTTGTGAGTGATTCCTTTTCTTGATAGCGGTAGTGGCTCTTTTTACCTCAACAGGAGAGCTCTTTTTGGTGTAAATAAGATTGCTATGACCTACACCTGTAGCTTTATTTGAAGTAGACATCTTGACACTGGTTTGAGTGCCTTCCGTTTTCTGATTTTTTGCGGCATTTTCACGGCTAGGACGGGGATTCTTACTCTTTTGACCATTCGCGATGTGATTGAGACGGTGTACTATCACAGGAGGTTGGTTACCTTTCTTCTTATCCGACTGTAAACCCTTGCTGTTTTTTGGAGGAGGCGTTTCCGATGAAGAGTTCACACTTTCTTCCGTGTCGCTAACATTTGCATCACTCCAGGTGCAAATATATTTAGCCACCTTGGAGATATAGTTTGCTTTTTTAAACCGAAGTATCACATACATTCCATAGGTGCTTCGTCGAAATTGAATGAAGCAGACGTCAGAAAAGTTGGGAAGTACAATCAAATGTAGAATGCTAGCAAAAGGGATCTCCGGAAAGGAGGATTCATCTTCATTCTTCTCAAATCGAATCGCGTCATCATAGAGGAGCATTTTATAGTCCAAAAAGCCATCATTCGACTTCAACGCACTAAAGGCAATGAGTCGATGTATCTCCTCGATTGACAATTTTTCGCGGGGCTCTAATTTAACTTTGGCCAGCCCCTTGACAGTTGTCTTGAACAGAGGGTTATATCCACGTGATATTTCCATCCCGAGGTGATCTTAACTGTGGTGTGTATGTGGTTTGCTGGTTGCCAATGTTATTAATCACACACAAGCTTTTATCAGCCAATCGGGTGGATTGTTAAAAGTCTTCACTATCTGCCGAAGTGTATGAGTACATGGAGCGGTTTTAAAAAGGCGTGAAGAGATGAACGATGCAAGTTAACAAATTGCATTAATTGTGACATGCTAACAAGTGAATAGGTTTTAGCGAACATTGATATGTTTTACTTTGAACCAGACAGCCACGCACAAACGCGAATTGTAGTGGTAGCCCATGATGATAATTGGCGTACGATGGGAATTAAATCTTCTTTCACACTTCATAATATATGTATGTGTATAATTAATTTTGACGTGACTATTTTAGCATTAGCAGCAACATTAATTACGATATCATGTAATGCCGATAGAGGCAATAAATAATCAGCCAGAGGTGAGAGCAAATTCATCTAAAGTGGAAGCCTGAATCAGACCTCTTGTCATGCGGCATTTTTAAGAGCACTCAAGTGACGTGAAGAACAAAGCGCCTCAGTAATGCCGTCATATACTTCTCCGTTTCACCTCACCAATTTCTCATCGTGATGGAGACAGATTTGGAAATGAAGACTACGGAAATATTTCAATAACTTCAACGTCTTTACTAAATTAAAATAAAATGTCTAGTATCTTATTATAAAAGTGAGCCAAGTCAACCACGAATATTTGCCACAAATAATACATATTACCTACCGTAAATGCTCTTTGATCAAATGAAGATCATAACTAAACTTTTGGGTTTTTCTTATTGACTTCTTTTGATTTATTGCTGTCATTTTGTTCGAGAAGTTTAAGTGATCCTACTTATGTATCTGTTTCCGCGTAGAGGTCATTGCCGTTAAAGCATAAAACAAGGGAGAGACGAGTTTACGACAGTGTTTGCTAGACGAGTGGGTAAGAGCGAGCAGGAGAAAAGGGGAGCGTAGGCTGCATTCAAGGCTTCGTCAAGATAGATCAAGACGTCTCATGGACTCTCATCTCACCTGGAGGTATTCAGTGTCATGAATGAGAATTTTTGCGTATCTATGCCTGGTCTAGCGTTAAACCCGTGAATTAAGTATTTAAAACTACGGGGGTTTAAACCGCTTAAAGGGCTGATAGCTTTGACAGGATTATGTACAACGGTTGGAGAAAATTAAATTGGATTTGCTGTAAATCACAATAATACATCACTTTTATACGAAGTAATGTAGTTACCGTGTTTTTTTGAGCAAGCTCGTGTGATTCCTCCCCCCCCCCCCCCCCAAACCCCCGGTTGATACAATCTCAACGAAGGTTAAAAGTAACCGTTGGATTAAAAAAAACGAGTTTTTAGGTTTTTCTTGTGAACACAGCTGAGGAACGCAAAGATTAAATCCATGAAAAGACTAACAAATCGCAAGAAATCGACCGCGCCTTCCAAGACCAGGTGTGAATCATAAACAAGGCGACTACTGCTACTTATACTTTATTAGTAAAAATTATAAGTGCACAATCTCTGATAAGACGAAATGACTTGAATACTTTTTTCACAAAATCTATGTTTATACGAACTTGAAGAACCAATTCGTCATAGATCTAATCGAGTTAGTAAAAAACCTACATTCTGGCGACGATAAAGAAGTAATCAAAAAACCTGATTCTATTGACAGCGCACCAATCAACGAAGAGTCCCACTCACCCCAGAGGCGACATATCCAAACCACGACATCCTCACCGACCAGCTTGCTTTCTGCAAACGCGAATACAAATCGCAAAGTACAAACACAAAGCTGAAAGTTTGCTCTAGTCCCCTTCTAATTAGAGCTAACCACCGCCTCACTTATGAAGCACTGGCGTACGACAAAACTACATTCCCAGCGTTTAGCCCATCTGGAGACTATAACATTTCACCCATCCCACTTATGCTAACATCCCAATGGTTTTAATCAAATACATCATCCTGAAATCCTGTCAGAGTGGATGGGATGATACAGAATGACCTACGCCGATATGCTCTAATCTGATTGGACAGCCCGCCTGTCGACAGCAGACCAATTCCAACCAATCACCACCAAGAAAGCATCCTCTACTTACATATATATAATTTGCTTGAATTTACAAAGATGTCGGGAACCAAGATGGCCTAGATACAAGTGCACACGAGCACGTACACCAGATGATACTAAAACGGACTGACAAAGGCGGAGGGGGGAGGCAGGAGTGGGAAAAGGAGGGGTAGAGAATGAAAGACATCAGTATTATCATCATCCCAATCACCGCAGCGCCTGACCAGCAGACTCAGGCACGAACGGAGATCGCGAGAGTCGGTGCTGCAAACCAGGAGAGAGAGCGTGATGACGTAATTGGTGGTTGCTGTTGGTAGGTGTGGCGATAGTACTACTCGTCGCCGAGGCATTCGACAACGAACCACGTATGTGGGCTGGTGATACCTCGACATCGTCGTTCACATCGTCCACTACCTCAACACAATCCACATCAACTCCACCTTCGTCGACGTCAACATCGTCGTCATCGACTTCAACGGCTCCACTGTCATCAACGAGATGGGAGGTGTCAAAGATGCTCAAATCACCGGCAGCTACTGCTGCTGAGCAGCTCTCCATCTGCTGTAAAGCAAGAAAATGGTCTGTCTGTCCATGCTGACTCATTTATCACTTAGGCAAACAGAATAAGAGCTCCTATTTCCTCTTAAGCAAGGGGAAATGGATAAACCCCGTCGTCTTCGAAAAGGAGATAGATACACAGCTTCCAAAATCGGAGCTGAACGGAGTGGTAAACCCTTACTCGTGGTTTGCAAGGACTGAAACTGCTTAGACTTGATAAAATTTTTTCTACTTACATCCGATTTGTATCGACATCTCAATCACGACTGCTGTTTAGCCTTCAGAAGGAGATTCAAAGTGAGGCACTCCGTCCACAGTCCACCACACACACACATAGGTGCACAAACGAAGTATCGTCTTCCGGGGGTGAAATGTTATGGATCTTAGAAGGAGTATGGGATGGGTGGTGAGTAGATAGTTAGGGGGCAACCAATGGTGCGTTAGAATACAAAAGCCACTTTTCATCACAAGTGAGTCAGTCGGCGAGTCAATAAACCGCCTTCTCCCAATGCCACGATTGTTTATAACCTGTTTGAAAAAGTAAAGAACAAATTAAAGGTCCTTGAATGCCCTTGTCGCATGTGAAGACATGGTGCATGGCTTCCACCCCCTTCTCGGGTGTAAAGCGGACTGGCTCGGGACTGGGAGAACCATGAGTCGCCTTGAGTGCCGTACCTCAGTGAAACGATCTGCTAACATAACGTCTCCAAGACGAGAAGCTTCGACAATTAAATCCCCAACACGATAGATCCCTTCTCCCACCTTTCCAACAAGGTGCATGGAAGCCTGCACAAACATTTGTCACTTGGTAGCATCGCGTTACTAGGAGCGATGAGATTCTTCCTGCGGAATAAAGAATAAATCCACACTCTTTTCGATTAGAAATTTCAACTAAATATGACATTTGAACAAAGCAAATCTGCCTTCTGATTCAGTGGCCTTTAGAAGCAAACAATATGCATTTCTAGTGGGAAGGGGGAATGGATGTCTGCAGCCCCTAATAAAGGGCTCCACTTTCTTTTCCTGTTGAATTCCCTAACATTCTGCAACTTCTCGGACCTAGAGATGGCATCTACTTTCCATGATTGGTCAGGAGAGACGTTAGACGCACTTAGCAATTACCACTAGGTCAAGGTCAACCAAAATAGTACCACCGTGTGTCACGGAAGTCAAGCGGTGATCACGTACACACACACGCCGTACTTTGCGGGTTATGCAAACAGGTGGGTAAAAAAAGGGTACGGGTTGAAGTCTTTGCCTCTCCTGATTAACTTGACAGGATCCAACCTCACTCACCGACAAACTCCAGTTATTATACTTTCACTTCCCAGCCGTGACTTTGTAAGTAAACCCAAAGACTACGCAAAAGGGAGACGAAGAGGGAAAGTAGGAGGGGGGAGGGAGGGAAAGAGATTCGCTGAGTGAGACAATATGCATAATACACTCAAGTCACTGTATTTCAATAGCTTAATAAACAAGTTGCGTCTCCCATAGCAGCAAGCACAGTAGACTTAACTAGCTAAACAATAAAATATGGACATTTGTGCTTCAGCCTGTCTCAAACGGTCCATCTTGCTATAGCTGTGTTAATGTTATTGCATTATTTATGAAATCTCCGATTGCCTACCCGCCTGCCTATGACACTCACTTTAAATCACTGCCACCAACATCATCGCCATCACAGGTAAGCATTCAGCATAAACTCCATACAGATTGTGGAGAGCATTCAACTTAGCTCAACACTTTATTGACAAAGGAGCATCAACTACTTTTTCCTTACTTTTAACCCTAAATCCCCAGGGCTAAATTGATCATTTGGCTATGCTCTAGCAAATTCAGAACTACTTCAAACGAGTCGAAATTGTGTGACGAATGAAGAGCTGTTACACCCTCCATATGGCATAAAAAGATGAAAGAAAATTAGGAGAAAATGAAAAATAGGAAAGAAACGGTAGGAGGAAAGCCCATCAATAACAAAGGGAACGGTTAAGTTAAAAAGGCTGAAAAAACGTACGGGCCGAGTGTAGGTAAGAGTGACGCCCTGTTGAAAGGCGAGATTGATGCTGTCTTCTCGAAAGACCAGGTCCGTGATCAGGTCGCTGGTGATGCCGAATTTGGCAAAGGGTTCTAAAATCGGCACGTCCGACAAACGCGGACAATTCGGAGTTCCCAGGAGACTGGAAGGCAAAAAAATAGGAGAAAACGTAACAAATCCACAGCACTAAACTCAACAGAGTCAAACTAAGGTGTTTTGCAATCGCACTGGTGACGAGAAGGCTCGTTGTTTATGGAGAGATTGCTGAACACTTGCGGACTATTGATAACGACCACGTTCGCAATGAATTGTTTATGTGGAGAAAAGCTCCCGGGCAGATGTACCGCCGTCAAATAATGAAGTCGAGGGAACAGAAAATAAAATCCTTCCTCTCTCCAGGGATTTCGAATGATATGGCCTCCTCCTTTTTTTTTGGTGTTCAATACATTACCATAGCGATATTTGCGCATCGACGCAATTCAATGTGTCAAGTAGCCGAGGGATGTGGATAATTTGCTTCATCACGCAATCAGCAGATACATAAGTAACTTACATTTGCATACAGAACTGCCTTTTTAATCCCCATTTTCATGACCGCCAACAAATACGAAATTAAAAAGCCCATTTATGGTTCGTAAACGTGAAGTGGACAACTGCAGGCTTGGGCGGAAGAAGGCGCATGAAGAAGAATACATTTACATATTCAATTTGGTTTTGCCGCTTTTACAAAGCAAAAACAAAGGAGCAAATCACATAACATTTACCTGGCATGGGAGACTAATGCCCAGCGTTGCCAAAATCAACCAATGGAGGGTAAACAAAGCAACCACCTTAATTAATTGAAATGCCAGTCTAATTAAAGTGTATTGTGAAAGAGCATGGGGTACTCCAAATGCCTTCCCCCCTGACATTTGTCACGTAAACAAGAGTCTTAGACTGGGTTGATGTTTGCCAAAAGGAAAGATAATAAAGGAGTGGCGAAATATCCAGAGCCGACTGTAAGTGCTACACCACTAGTGTGTGTGCTTTAAAATCTAAGGTCTCTGAAACAAAAGGCCTTTAAGACATGCGCCAGATGCACCAGAAAGTGATTCGAGGCTGATTTTAAGGGAAACTAACCGTGCAATAGGTAAAAGCAAATGTATAATAGCTGGAGAATTAGAAGAGGAGAAAAAACTATGGAATGAGGAGAAGATTTGCATGCCAAGCAGCAGGAGGAACTCGATTTCCTCCTTTCATTCCTTTTTTTCACCAAGAAAGGATAGTCAGTTCGTGGAGTAAGGAAAACAAAAGGAGAGGGGGCTGCGCTGGCTTGGTAAAAAGAATCACTGGATTGGTCAGCAAAACGAGTAGTTGGTGTTTCGACATCAGGATGAAATTGACCTCCTTCCCCCTCCCCCCTAAGACAATGGAAAAATATGCAGAAAATTACGTAATTTTTAAAAGAAACTTCCATAAAAGAGCAGTGGACCAAAGAGCACGATAATAACGAGATCTTTATCTAAGTCGCGGATAGGTAGAGTGACAATGACATAGGTACTAAACCTGTCAGCCAATCTTCAAAAAAAATCTAATCGTTCATGACAATAATGATATTACGAGTGATACAATTCTACCGCTTCAAACAGAAGATTGATTTTGTTAGTAAAAACACGTATTTTTGACAAAAGGGACTGATGCTCGAATATGAAAGAGGTCAGCATATCTGTTTCGTTTTTTGGATGCGAGTCCATAGTAGATCTACCGAAAGTAAAGTCGGCAGTGGCAGATGGTTTGGAACAAATAAGCAAAGTAAGCAAAGAGCAGAACAACTAGACGGCTTTGTGCGCACAAATTAGATGAACGATTGCATTCTGAAGGTTCTCATCACTTATTAATAAAATAAATAGAATGAAATACCTTGGAATTAGTAAACTACCAACACATTTGCTCCTACAAAGATTTGCAGACAAAAAGAAGTGAAATTTCACTCACTACTTGGAGCAACTAACAAAAGGTAGCCATTAACAAAGACTCTCCAGTGGCACGAAAAGAAAAGCATTTGTACTCACTCCCTAGACAAAACGGCAGATAGGTTATTTCCGTTAACTCCATCCGCAGGACGTTTATCACCGAGGGTGGAGTGGCAACAGTTATCCGAGACGACGGAGGACTTGCCAGATGCATCGCTCTGCTCCGAATGCCGCGAAGTAAGTGGTAACGATGAGCGGAAGCTACTGAGGAAGGGCTTGCGCTTGACCCCACCACCACCACTATTACGAGGAATAGAGCGGATTTTCTCTAACCCGTCCATTGAGCCATCGGTACAGGCAGAGGTGAAGTTGGAAGCAGAAAAGGTGGGCAGTCCTCCCAAATTTTGACGCCCGTTGCCTGTGGACTGATGGAAATGAGAGGAGAAACGGAGGCCCTGACGAATGACGTCCTCTGTCAGCTCCCAGAGACAAAGAAATGTGTCCTGACCGACCGAACCCAAACTAAAAATGAAAGAAGATTTAGTGGCTGTTAGCGTATGGACAGATATGTTTACCGATAAGTACGGAAGGCTGAGTCACTATCAGCGGATGGAGAGGAATGGTGTTGGTGCGGATCCCCGTTCGGAGAGAGTCGATCCGAGCTCGTTGCAAGGTCTCGCATTACAGCAGTACCATTGCAGAGAGAAGGAGGGTAGACAAAAGGGTCAAAACGAACCACACTGGTCCACGACTTATGGCCCTGACCCCGACAAATCACAGCTTGGGCGCTGAAGGACCAAATGGTAATTAGATCATCTTGTCCACCGACGACAACGTACTTGCCGTCTGGCGACCAATCCACGCACGTGAGACCGCCAAAATAGGAGCGCATGAAACCCTTGAAAGAGCAAACAGTAATCCTGTAACTATTACATCCAAAAAAGAAGAAGCTGGCTAAAAAATTCACCTACATATAACTGCATTTGATGGTAGCTGAAGACGCGAAGGTAACCATCCTCACTGACAACAGCCAGATACTTTCCACAGGTAGAAAATGAGAACTGATTAATGGATGAGAGGGGAGCAGTAGAAACGTCGCAATCTTCGGAGATTTTGGACTGTACGGAGTCAGCGAGGATATTTGTGAGGGCCCAATTGTAAAGGGGGTTGCAGGTGGATTTCGTCTTGCAAGTGTATACAACATAGCTAGGGCCCCTTTTGAACAGCTGATAGACAGGAGGAGTAGGACAGCAGGGAAGTTCTTCGCTGTAGAGGTACATGTGTCCACTTGTATGAGCCACCAAAAACTGATTCGTGGAATAGGGGACCCATCTAATACAGGTCACTGCCGTATGTTCAATGTACTTCTAGGAGAAGTTTCAAATTTTCACATGCTAACAAAACCAACCTCTTCGTTGAAGACTTTGCAAGGTTCTTTGTGGAATGGATCAATCATATGAATCTCACCCGCGGAGAAACCCACGAGCAGTAAAGATGAAACACCGAAATCATGACAAACGGGAGCAGATGTTTTGAACGTTTGCTTTCCTGGGGCATGGGAATCAAACATCTAAAAACAGAAATAAGTGGAAAATAAAGCATACTCGACACCCTGAAATGGGGTAAATACAGATATCCCTTCCAGAATTAATGCAGCACACACTTCTGCTATCACAGAATGATAGTCGAACTGAGGACAAGCGACCAGATTGGGGAATACTGGGGAGACACTTAGGCGATACAACTGACTTCAATTTATATGCACCTTCAGGAGTCTCGAAATGTTCTAAAACATCTTTATGTCCATAGTGAATGGACATCGTCGATCGCTTGAGCAAGATGATTTAATACCATAAGAAGTTATGCACAGAAACTCTACCACGGCGTTTTGATAAGTCCGCGACAAAGCAAATGTTTAAAACCTCAGTACAAATTAAATAATATATGATCCACGAACGTGATAGAGATTCAAAAGTTTTGGAAGATGAGCCGCTAATAAGAAATTCAAAAAAAAATTTTTTGGAAAATTAAGTTGCCTGCTAAAATCAGAAAATGATTAACGTATAAAATATTACAAAGAATTCCTAACAAAAAGCGCATGTCTTTTGTTTGCATACCTTTAAATCTATTCCGTGAATCAAAGATTTGGGCAAAAATCAGCGTGTAAACTTCTAATTATAATTTTAAATACCGCTGAAATATTTTCGGTTACCTCAAGTTTTACAGACTAGGTAAGAGTACTTAAATAGTCCATGGCAAAATTTGCACTGCAAAAGGAACAAGAACCAAAATACGGAGTAATCCTTCTAAAACCGAGAGCTAAAGATACTTAGGAAGAAGGGCCACTGGTATGGCTCGGAGGCCAGTCCACTTAGCGTGGTACACTGGCCAAAATACATAGTGACGATTTACCAAAATCGACATTTAAGAACAATCTGATGTAATGCATATTATTGGGTGCTACCTAGCTAGTAGAGAAGTGTAGGAGTTATGGTGGATCCGTGTTATCGCCACCTTTATACAGGTATGGTGGGCATTTGCACAAAGAAGCCTTTCCAGACGGTTGATTGATATTTCCGCTTTGGATAGCAATAGCTTTCCTGCAAAACATGGAACTTGAATAAAAACCGAAGTTCAACATCATTTTTAGCTCTATTGTCTAGGGTTGTTAGCGGTTCTGCCACCCGTAAAATCGCACTTCTTCTGCCCAGCCAAATTCTATCACTTGACAGCGGAACACAGGAAGAATGCCCTTCAAAATCTGGTTTTCGTTATACTGCTGCTACTGGGGTGCCTTGGACTTATCTAGTTAAAAAAAATATAATATTGTGGTAGAATCTACGAATATAACCTACAGAAATGCTAGGGGATACCGGTATAGTCCAGGGTCCAGTCGGCTTGGCAGAAGTATAGTGGTCAGGACGCGAAGTGACCCATTGCCAAAACCGAGAGTTAAACAAACAACGCGTAACTGAATCACCATATATTAGGTGGTGGCAATGCTTTGGCGCATTTATACGTTGTCTAACATCTGTTATGGCACTTTGTTGCAGCAAACTGTGTGCCTACATGTTAAGGTAAAGTCTTAACATGCAAATACATTTTCAATTCTTGAGTTGCTTCTATTCTTTAGGGATTTTCGTATACCTTTATAGGGGTAGTTTTATTCAAAACTGGTTGTAATAAACTGACAAAATGTGCTACTTTTAAGGTAAATTTTAATCACAGTGGGTAGTGATTTTAATTTCATACTATTGTTTTCTAAGTCTTGTTTTTCATTTGGCGTTTTCGTTAAATTGCGGCCTGATTTGAAATTGTGAGGCTGATGGGGGCTTTTTGTTTGCGGGTTTCTATTTTGCCAATGTCCACATCAGCAACAAACCTTGCACGTTTTTTCCTTCGATCTGGCCGATCCACAAGTCAAAAGTTTCCCACTTCCTATCTTTTAACTCAAGGGTACTTCGGGTATGTTGACACAGCTCCTTGTATAAAATACGCAACGCTGCCTCCTGTGACCACTTCAAATACTTCGAACCTATCATGCACTGAATTCAAGCAACTAAGCGAACACGTTTTGGAGTATTTAACTAATGCATTTGAGGATCTTTCGGATAACTTTGATCTTGGCTCAGAATATGACGTTTCCTATTCTGACGGAGTTTTGACAATCAAATTTGGATCTCGGCATGGGACGTACGTTTTGAACAAACAGACTCCTAATAAGCAGATCTGGCTATCCTCTCCAAAAAGTGGCCCTAAACGATATGACTACAACCCTTCGAATGGCTCGTGGATCTATCGTCACGACCAGAGTGATTTATTTCAGCTCCTTTCCAGTGAAATTTCGGAAATCTTACAAGCCAATATTGTGTTCAAGAAACCTCGACTGGATTTGTAGTTGTTTTTCCAATAAAGGTAGTGAGTTTTTTAATATTTAGTTTTCACTACAATCGGGTGCTGTGAATGCTTGTTTGATTTATGTTTGGTCATTGGGCGATATATGCCCGTTAACAATGTTGTAAAGTGTTGTGAAATATATTAGAGTAGTCAAATACTATTTTTGATGACTTTACAACTCTGACATAGCCCATCCGAACCTCTCCCGAATTTCGCGACTTGAGGGAATCCCTCGGTTGTAGTTTTTGAAAGTAAATCGTTTTAAATTCTTTGTGTTAGCGCAAAAATGTTGACAGGTCTGGTGTGAAACATAGTGATGGTGCAGTAAGGAAAATAACTGGATGTGGTTTGTCGTTAATGCTGGACACATTTAGCTGTCGACGTTGCTAGGTCGAGAGTCGCACTTCTAAAAGCAAAAAATGCAGATCTGTGATGGGCATGAATGTAATACGTGTATTTTCGTGTCTAGTACCAATTGTTTGCCTCCTTAGCTTGTGACATTTTTGCTACCATGACAACCTGGAAACAATTACAAGTTGGTTAAATAATCCTTATCAGACTTAAAAATAGACTGCAGAATGCTTAACTCTATATGCGTGTATGTAATAATTCGAGGATTTCGCCATCTTTAGAGATACCATCGAATGTAGTACGTTAAGATTATTACAAGCACTTGCTAACTATGGCTCCTTAATGCAGAGGTACTGCTGCCTTACTGTGGTTGTCATTAGCAATGACAGGGAATAATATTTGCACGTTCGTGTGCAAAACTTTATTTCTAACAAGGCGAATACACAAGAAAATGCGTATATGTTATTTTACATCTGTCGGTCCGCAATCGGGTTTGATTTCTTTGCATTATTATCGAACTCTCAGGAAAGCCATGGATTTATTTGATGCAGCTCTTAGGTTTTTCGCGTATAACTTCAAAATGATCTAGCTCTTATGATCCAAGTAATCATTCTTGAGCCTAGGTTGGAAGTCAAGTAATTAAAGTGCGGTTGTATTTGCACTTTGAAGACGCAGGAATAATTGCACCTGGATATTAAACCATTCCCTAAAAAGTAAACATACCGTATCTTGGATGCAATTCTCTATCCAGGCTTGGACTCGGTCTTCATTTTTTTCTCCACAAGTCAAATTAAAGGCCAAATTGTCCTCACCGGATTCGGCTAAAGGCACCAAATCATAGTACAGCATATTCTCATGATAGAGTAACTGGACTCAGAAAATTTCGACATACCAGAGCCGGACTCTTCATCAGGCTCCTCGTTTAATGGGCAGCATCGAAGATCTTGAAGATCGTCATGAAGTCGGCAGAACTGATCAGAATCTACTGTTTCGCTGTTTGTGCTGAAATCGTGAGACAAGCAGTCCGGAGGCACCAAACCGCGGTTTGCATAGACGTATTGACGCAGCTGCTGCAATTCCAATTCATTAATGTCCAGTCGATGCTGCATGGAGTTAAGGTTGTGCTGGCGAAACGATTCGTCCTGCTGATAGTGGGCAACCGTTGCTCTATACTGAATGCTTTCCAAAGAGGTTAATCCTATAGGGTATGATCAAAGCCTTAGTCTCAGCTTCGACATCGTACAAGGGAAGCGCATTTTTAAAACAGGAAATTTAGACGTCTTACCGCAGCACAAACGTGGGAGTCTCACAAAGCGAAGGTAAACAGCCAACAAAGTCACATCAGAGATAAATGGGTGAGGTTTGACTATGCAACACCATACAATCACGCCAAGAATTGCAAATACAACAGTAGCATCTATAATCTAAGTAATTCAAGAGAATGATAATTATCGTCAGCACAATGGTATGGTCTAGTACCCACAAATTTTAACTAAAGTATTGTATCGTAAAATTACTTAAGATAAGCCTAAAAAATTGGCACTACTCGTTTTATGACACCTTAGAAAATTGTGCATAAACTAGGCTTAAAAAGCAAAAAGTAAATAGATTCACTCTGTGAGCTCTCGCAAATTGTAGTAAGTTGTTACAATGAATCAGAATTCTCTTACGTCAATGGGGAGTCTTATAACGCGTCGACCAGTTATTAAAAGTCGTATAACAACCTAAAATTTGTAGCAAGTAGATGTCTTACTTCTGCAGTAAAAAGTGCGCAGATAATAAATGATATGGTGAATAAAATATCAGCAGTGGAGAATGGGTTTGTGTAGTGCGGTTCATTATCTGCCGCTAGAAATATGACAGAGGGATCTTAACCTACTAAATAGTAAGTAAATTACTTGTAATCTTGAGATTGTGGAGGGTCAAGAGCACTCCAGTATTACCAACGACCATAACAGATAGGAAAATTATTACTTCTACGAGGGCATTGAAAGATATTTTAGTGGGGTCAACCAATTGCGATCTTTAGCATTTGTTAAAATGTTGACAATTACCGAGTAGTTATAACTCCTGAAAACTGTGGTTGGCATAAACTTGTGAAGAGCTTAGATGCCGAAAGCATAAAATTTATTAGGTTTGCCAAGGTCGAAATAGAGACGGTAATAAGGTTCGAGTCAAATAAACATTATTGGCCGTGGATGGCTAACTACGTAAAACATGAAATCTAATTATCTTTAAACATAAACACAACAAAAAATTAAAAACGTGTTAAATTAGAGCTATTCTAGTCACTACCTAAGACATGTAGCGCATGATTTGCGTAACTATATTTCATGGGATTAACTTGGCCAAGTTTATATGTTACACTATACTTATTCATCAAGCATATTTGCTAGCTCAAAAATGTTCTATGACATCAGCGATATGAAGTGCTTTTATCGGCAATTTATCTTTGAAGTGGGTTTTTTACAAACCGTCATAATAAAACAGTTTCATTGCATGAGGCATACTTCCATCGAGATTGAAAACACTGAGTTATTTGTGCTGCTTTGCAAAAAAATGTGGTGGCTATTGCGCATGGGTTGATTTTTTAATGAAGTGTACAACATCGTTCTTTTTATCATGGAATTGCCAATGTAACTACGAATGTGGACAGCTTGACCACCCATTTGATTTCCACTTGCCTACACCGCCTTATACTCTGACAGCCATTTTCAGTTTCATCACTTGAGGATGTCGCGCTTTCTTGCTTACCTGTCATAAATTTTAAGTTAAAATTTAGACAGTTAGGATTGATATACTCATCCCCCTACACAGCAATGACCCTCCTTTTACCACATGCCTCTCCTGGTTCAACATTTGTCGTCGCTCTTTAGTTCTTTGCAATTCAATCATTTTTTAATCATATAAGAAGACGGCTTTGCCTTTCTTTAGCAACGCGCCGCATTTTAAACTAAAGTGCTTATCTTCGAGCCTATAAATAGCTCACACGTATCCAATATGTTAGTGCAATTTAACGACTTTAACCGGAAACCCAACAGATGGCACTTTATGCGTTCGACAAAGTGTGTATTAACTGTGTGCTCAAAGTCTGTAGCCCCCAATTCACCATCTAAAATTAATTTTATCGGTAGTTCGCTTTTAGTCATTTTACATTTGAGTGATATGCGTCTGACCAAAACAGTTAAGCCACACTTTTAACACAAGTGCAGCCAATGTTGCCAACATGTCAAAACTCAGCAAAATGCATATTTTTTCACTCAAATATTAAGTCGAATTCCTTCAAGTAGATCCGGCCTTAACTTTGCCCTTTTGACTGAAAAACATTGACAATGACCGTCTCCAGTATTTACACCCCAGTTTTAACCTCTTTTAACAAAGAATTTAATGGTATCACAACCTCAATAATGTCTTCTAAATAAAACTGCACTTGGTTTAATTCACGTAGCTCACCAAAGCCGAGAACGAATAATGGTCGAATTTACTTTTGCTTGAGTACTAAATTTCAGTTGACTTCAAACGATACACGTCAAACGGTTTTAACTTTGCCCTCATATTTGTCGTTAAAAAATCAACTGTAATTGCTCGCGAGATGACAATATATCCCTACAAATTTTTTACGATATTACTCCCTATTGATATCCGGCGTTTAAGGGTGACTTAAATCTAAACAATGCAGAAGGATACTATAATGGCATTAGTGGAAATGATTCTAAATTGGTTTAATTTGGAATGAATACATGGATCAAAAAAGGTTCCGCCAGAAATATGGTCAGAACTTTTGAAAATTCTCACCAGAGGAAATTGCTCCCTGACTTAAGGTGGTTCTTTAGTCCGCAGTCACATTGCAGAGATTCCCTTTGTCACGCACACTGACGAAGGAATGGCACCGAAACAACTTGCATTATCACTGCTTCTTCAAATTAGTCGATCTTCCATCGAATGCAAAATTTTCCTCTCAAAATAAAATCCTCGAAAACTTATGAATTAAGTCCTCATAAAAACCTTAGGTAATTTTTTATCCACCTTTTTTCAATTTACAGTAAATCTTTGGATCTCGCGTACAACTACCCTATTTTACTAGTTTCTTACCGCTATTTTTACCTTCTATTAATTAATTTACCACCCTCTTTTATTTTAGCATTGCCATGTTAACAAGCTTCCATCGGGTTGTTTTAAAGCATTTGAGACGTGCTGACTCCCGATTCGGAATTTCTGTAAGAAAATTCTGTTGTATAAGGGCCAAAAGTTGTCAATAAACATTGATCTATTTGATCCCAATGACCTTTAAATGCACGCCTATCACATTAACACAAATTGACCAATAAAATGAGAGCAGTCCTTTTGCGCCCTCTTACTGGCCAAAGAGAAATGACCTATAACGGCCCACTATGATAGTGAAAAACACGTCACTTTGCCCACACCTTTGTTGCAATGTACGCAGATGCATGTCTAAATCCCCTTATTCAGAAGCTAACTTATACCTAGTCCCAAATCATCCCAATTACAACGCAAATTTGATTGGTGCCTTTTGGCTACAACCTAAAGATGGCTGAGATGCAGGAAGGGCAGGATGAATGACAAGCAGGATAAATGACCCTCATTATGCAGTTTATTCCCAATAAACCAGTATAGGGCCCTGTAAAATAGAGTTCAGCCTTTTTTAACTGCGTAAGGGCTCCAAAACTTTGGGAGTCATAAAGTGGGGCCGTTTGTGTCTAACTTAGATCACAATGCATTAACTAGAAGGTGCAAATTTTAATTTGAAAGTGGAGTCATATTTGCATATACAATAGAAATTTGTGATATTTCATTTAATTGTTTCACTCAACCAAAGTGCGCGCTTCCATTTCTAATTGTGCTCCAACGGTCAATTAAGTCGGATAAAATATTTTCCCAAATGCGTATCTATTGAAACCGGTGGATATTTTGCCTTTAAAATTGTGAATTTCTAAAGGAAAAATTATTTGCTTAAAGGGTAGGAAGAGGCTCAACTCCATAGTACTTTCCTAACAAAAAGCGGGAAGGAGGGGAACAAAAATGAGTCGAAGAGGTTTTGAAATTTCCTCTTTTTTTTTGTTGGATGAAGTACACGCAAGCAACTAGCATGACGGTTAAACACGCGAGCAGGGAATTGACAAGAAACGACAACAGCGTAAACAATTATTTCGTCTACGTGATTCGGTCCTTGTAAAGTGAGAATCAGGCCCATTACCATAAGAAATAGCCTAGTTAACTTTTTTTCTGTACTCTTTTGTAATAAAAAATACTTTTAATGAGTACGGGAAATGCAAATAGCTTCTGAGTGAAATAATCTCCTGACCAATTTTCCGCAGCTTAACCGGATTAGCGACCGCCTCAAGGGCGCGCAGGATTTAAACAAATCTGAAGGTTAAAACGCAGAATGCTCATTCATTTTTGATAAAAGCTGTCCGCATTTGGTGGTTTTAAACTAGCTTGCAAAAAACGATTTTTTGTGAGGTAGGAGAAGGAACTCGACCTATAAGGCAGAGTTCTGCAACCCTTGATGTGTAGCGTAGTCCGTAGTAACCCTGGATGTCTTTCAAACAACGTTTGATGTAAGAATATGAGGAAGTTAAACGAGACGCCTAAAGTTGCCGTAGCAAAACGTACCACTCACGACCAATGGGACTTTGGCCGCGGGGGGAAAACACAAGGGGCTGGATACCAAAGTACTACAAGATTAATGTGCTACCAGCAACCGGTGGCGCTGAAATACTTGGTGTTATAGAGCTCCTTAATGTAGGGAAAAGAAGGTCATGGTGGGATTTCTAGCTTTTAAATCATTTTTTTGTAACCCTTTAGGGCAAACATTTTCATCCCTCCCCCACCCCACAATTCCTACCCCGTCCCCTGACAAGTTGACAAGGTGACTTTTTCTCGTACTTTCCTTTTTTTGTAAAAATGTTCTACATGAGTACACTTGTCATTTATTGGACACTTACGTAAGTTATCAAAATATGAAGAGAGCTACAAAAGGTAGAGGGAGAAAATCTGCCTTTTATTAATTCTCGCATTGTCTCCATATTAGACTCAGACTCTTGATTATTAGCCCCCTCCACACCCCGATTGTGCAGTCCAACGTGTAAAAGTTCGGAAGTTTGTTTTGTTTTGAGGTGTTATATTCCACAAGGTACCGGACCACACTTTGGGATTTCTTCTGTTAAAGGCAAACGTTATTTGTGTGGGTTACGGCTTCTTTGTCTTCCTCTTTTTCTCTCACTCTGTGTGTGAACATCTGCAGTGTTTAAATGTACTTTTATACCTTATGCTAATAATGTTTTTGTAGCAAACATTAAGAAACGTGTAAGTGTCAGGTAACTTTTATGGCTAGGATGTGACGTCTTAAAGAGAACATAATCGGCTTGAACACCTAAGTTTCATATCAAGTCCTTTTGAAAAGTTGCGTGGGAAATAAAGCGGATTAGTTTAAACAGTAAACAGACAAATTGCGCAGTTATATAACAAGTCGGGGCTTGTTTTGATCGTGTGTCCAGCTGCGCAGGCTTTTACATGCATTTGGCTTGTGCTGATGGTAAGGCAATCCGGTCTAAACAAAATAAAATGCCCAAATGGTTACATTACCAAGGAGAAGCAGCCACCGCCGGAGGCTAAGACCTCAGATTGGTCAAATTTGTGAAAACTTACAACTGAAGGCATACCTGAGCCACTCAGCCTAAAGTAATATTACACATTAGGGTTATTACGGAGTTGGAACTCGAACCCATGACCCTGGCTGTTTGATAGGCAAAAGGAGTTGGTGTGGAATGAGGGGACTGAATTTTGTCCCTATAAAGGCACTTCGTTTGGCGCATTTTGTCAAAAAAAGGCCCTGCTGTCAGGTCAACATTCCTTCCAATAGCCGTGGGCGGTGAATCGCCAGTGCGTGGTATGCGAGAAGTGCAAAATTGTGCATCCACCGAAAGTGACAAGCCGCGCTTTTACTCCGAGAATCAAACCCACCCACTCCAGCCGGAGCGATTTGATGGTAGTTGGAGGAGATGGATTAAAAGCATCCAATGCATCTCTTCAACTACCTATTTATCCAATCGTACTCTTCAACCTCTCGTGGGTCATCTCCGCGCTCCTGGGATGGATGGCCCCTCAGTCCCACTCTTCTCCTCCGATGGGGCCGTCTGCCGCTTGGGAGGGAAACCCGGAGGGCCGCAATTTTTCTGCACTCATAGCAATTTGCAAGACGTCTTCTTTTAAAAATATTCTAACAAAATTTAGAGGGTAAATTTGCCATTTACTCCATTAAATCAGCAGATAAAGTCAACAATATTAAAACCCGCCTTTTACCTGGCAGAAGCCTTCGACCAAGTGTAGGGCAAAAGCTGATTTAGTTGGTTTTTTTGTAAAACGAAATAAATAAGAAACAACTTTTACTTTTCAGTGTGCTCGTAAATGTCCACGAAATATTGTCATTGCCCTTAACTGCCGGAGGGCGCAATGGAAGCTAACAAGTGGACCCATCCACGGCATTTAAGACCCCCCGCCCCACCCAACTAAAAAAGCTGACGCGTCAATTAAATTAAAATTTGAGACAAATTTCTTTTCTTTTTATAGATGAATGCTCAAAAGGTAAATTTTAAAGTAGGGATCCATTGTACTTAATTTAAAATATAGTAGAAAGGAATAACCGAAAGTAAAATGGTGGTTCAAGATTGTTAGTCGTCTTGAGACGAATAGCTTCGGATAGAGGTGCTTGAGAACGAAAAAGCTTCTTGTGGTCATTCAAAGCTCAGCCAAAACTGATGGCTGTGACTTTCGAGGTTGTCTACTTTATGTGATGAATTAGAAGAGTTTTTACACAAAAGAAATGGTGTGGCCTCTGTTTGACAGAACGCACCACAGTCAGTGTGAGGACTTTTGGAGATGCGGTCCCACCTACGTATCCCCGCACCCACATTCTCAAATTACATCCATTACGTGGCAAAGATCTTCTCCAATCTCGACATATCGACAGCAATATTTAGTGTAGAGCAGCGTAAACCGGACAAAGTATTTCACAATGGAAGTTGCTAAACCAAATGAATGTCACATAGTCATAAGCTTCAACGTTCACCACCTTGTCAGTCTCCTTCGCCTAAAATAGGACCAGAGATCCTTACTTCTTTCCCGTCCTCTTTTAAAGGTCAAATTTTGACACCATCATGATAACTGAAAATAGAAAGGGAATTTACTTGAAGTCAACAAATCAGTTATTCTGACATATCTAAGTTCTTCACCTACTTTATCCAGTGAATTCTTTTCATACCTAACCACACCTATTTCCGCCACTCCCACAGCCGAGGCAAGAGATATCCAAATATGGTAATATGCTCCCTCTCCATTGGATCACTTTGTCCCCTTCATAATTGAACCCCTAATGGAAAAAAAATGCGACACTCTATTCAGCGTATTTCGAAACACTTTCCAAAGCTAGTATGATTATGTGATGCTTTTATCGCTCTAACTGAATAGGCGACATGATACACATCGGTTCTTCATGGGGCTGGGTGACTACAATGACGGAGTGCGGTCATTGGCCGAGACGATAGACCAATGTGTGCTGAGAATCCCACTCACTTTGGCGCGGGGGGGTGAGGGTGCGGGTTGAAGGGGATGTTGGACAAGGGAAAGGGAGGCGAGAGGATTAGGGAACCCACTAACTTGTAGATCTGCGCCTCTTACACACACCCAGTTCAGGTCTGCATGGCGTTGACGACACTACTAGCACCGCCACCGCCGCCACTTGGCTCACACCTCGTGCAATGAATCGGCCACGCAACTCACCGAGGTGAGGCCGATTGCACCGCTTTGACCTCCACATTTTCTTAAAAATATTATTTATACACAAGTGGATGATTAAAGCTCTTTTTTGGGGGAAGAAATCGCTTTTCGGTGTTTTGACTTGCTGAAGTCCCGCTTTTTGTCCTCCCTTCGGATTCACCTCGCCCTTTTCCCCTACGTTTATGATATTTCTGTACTCCCCACGACCGGAAATGATTTTTGGGCAAAAAATACCTCTTAAATGAAGAGCAATAACCTGGAAACTACTTAGGAAAGTAGGATCCATTTTTACTACAGCCTGCTTCCTTGGTGCACAACAGTCGGCGCTTGAAACAGTCTCTAAGTGCCAATTTAGCAAGACAGTGGGATGTTTAAAGCCATCTAGAAAACAAAAGACATTATTTTCCCGACCAAAAAAAAGAATGAGCGGAAAAGTTGTTCCAACTTTTATCAGTCCTCAAGTCTATCATCTCACAAAGTACTTTCTGTTTCAATTGCAGCCCAGAGACAAGTAGACCTCAACCCGGTGTTCAGATGAAACTGCGTGCCCATACTGTCCCGGTGCAGCTGCAAGCCCACTCGGAGATGACAATGCTGCGTAGCGCCGCCTCACCAGCTCGGATAGCCAATAACAGCACTTTTTTGGCGCTTCAAAGCACCGTCCGTAATTGCATTCCCGTTGTCCTACCCACGAGTAGGGCGCCGTTGGACTTGGTACCGGAGGCCTTCTGCGCTACTACTACTACTACAACGTTGAAAAGCCTTCAAAGGGTCTCCAGTGATGAGAATATGGCTGCTAGTTTTCGAGTTAAAAAGGTCCACCTCAAAAAGGTCACACCGGAACAAATACGTCGGTGGGAGACTAACTTCAATTTCCTCCTGAATGATTCGGGTAATTGCCCTTTGTTTGGCTAATTTACCTTCTTTTTTTCTGGCCCAGTAAATGCCAAGATACACGTGTCAATTGCTCCTCAACTAAAAGGACTCCTGGTAGGAAAAAACGTCTTGTTTTGCCGATTCTTGGAAAAACCAGTTTTTTTTTCTGCAGCCTGAAGATTAGGCAGAAAATGGGGAACTAACCAACCCTTTAATCGAAATTTTTTCCTGGATAAAAGGATATACGTTACAAGTTTTGTTTTGGAAACCGTAGGGTTGCCAGAAGATTTGTGCCTTTCACGTACTGGAGCAGGGCGCGTAAGTACTTCCGGTGTAAAACGTCGTCGGTGTGACCCAGCCTCTCTCTCTGGGGGGAAAATTATTCCCTCTACAAACTTTGTTTTTTCTCTTCGTGCGAAACGGTTAGTAGGGCCCAAAAAATGACATAATTGCTTCAAGGCGGTGGATCACATGGCCTCGAAATCAGTTGCAAGGCCAACTTCTTATTTCCTCCCATTTTCTTCTTTATCCACGACTGTAATCAACGCGTCAATATCATCCTCTTTTCAATGTCAAAAGCGTCAGCTTTAAAAAGCCAAATTTTCAGAATTTTTATGGAGTTTATGATATTTTGGGGTAAGCAAAGTCCATACTGCACTCATACCTACGTAGTAGGAATGTAACAGACAGTCCAGCAAGAGGGAAGAGCTAGAGCGCGTGAGGAGATCAAAGTTATGCCTTTAGTAAAATCATAGTGTCTGTTCTTTAAAGGCTTTGCCATTTAGTCGGACAAAACAAAGTTAGGCTCACCGACGTACCAAATGCTGCAGCCTCGTCAGTAGGGGCATTAAAGGCGGCCTCCAGCCCCACCCAAAAGGGAATGCAATCACCCGTGCCATAAATTTCTCAGCCCACGCTTTTCCCGGAAAAAGAAGGAATTTACAACTTTCTTCTACCCGTAACTTCTGATTAGAGAAGGGGCGGGGGGCGGAGACAGAATGGATGGGTTTTACAACCTGCGGAAACAACTTTAATAGTTAACAGGGTCAGACCAGTCCGGTGACTTCTTTGTCCCCATTCCAAGGTGAAATGCACAAAGTACGTTCGAAGAGAATCACTAATAAGACTGGAAATTGGACCGGCAAATAAAGTACTGAAGGTAAACCGTAAATAAACCAAAATGTGTGTGTGTAGGAAACCGTCGCGGTAGAGCACCCTTTTGTTTTTTTGCAATAATACCTAAAATAAGAAAACCCGCAGATTTTGCACATTAGTTACCAACCGTATTACAAAGATGCCATAAAACAAAGGAATTTTTGCCAAAAATGTTATACTTTTAAACATTTATTCCATTCTGCTATTTGATTTAAAGCTGTTTTTTATCAAAGGCACCAGAAACGAAAACGCCCATTGTTTCTTCTTAAAAATCTTATGGAAATTTTTAGCAGGCTGTGCTCGTTCTATAAATCCTTTGCCAGAAAACCTGGTAATAACAAAAAGCACCTATCAAGTCTTTAGACTGCAAATTTGAAAGTGGAAAATTCTGCAGAGAAGATTTAAGAGAATTTTGCAATCATATAAGTAGCTATCCTTTGAAATAGTAACTGTTTCCTTATCAAAATATCCAAAATGCCTCGCACCAAATTGGCCGATTAAAACAACAAGAAAGTAATCGGTGATTGCCAATCAAATTGACGAATTTTGTATTAAAAAAATACTGCATTGTTCGTATGAACAAAATAATTTTCTGGCATCAAAACTGTGGCGAATGATAAACAAATAATTAGCGTTTATTTATCTATGTACCTATTATAGATGGTCTGGCGCTCTTCGAACAGTTCCTAGAAAGTGAATTCAGCCAAGAAAATCTTCAATTTTGGGAGGCCTGTGAGCAATATCGGCGATTGCCAGCAAAAATGCTTGCCACGGAATCTCAGAAAATCTACCAACTCTACCTTTCTGTTCAGTCGCCTCGTGAAGTGAGGGGAATATCCCTTAGTTTATAATCTATTAAACAACATGTTTGATTTAACACAAAAAAATTTTATCTTAGGTAAATCTTGACTCAAAAACTCGCCTAAAGACAATCAGCCTCCTGTCCACTCCAACTGCCCATCTGTTTGATAGCGCTCAACGCAAGATTCAGGCCCTAATGGAAAAGGACTCCTATCAAAGATTCCTGCGTGCTCCAATATTCCTCAACTTTAAGAAGTCGGTCCTAGCAAACTCAGAGGTTACTTCAAGATCTGCTCAGAGTGCATCACCTCGACACCGTCGTAAACCCACCCATCACGGCGCCACATCTATTCACAGTGTACTTCCAAATATTCTCAATGTCAGCGCTCTACCATTGGGTCGAAGGCCCTTTGAGTGACGCTTGACAACACCCTAGGCATTACTTGCATCGGCTCGCATTCAGTCATTCATTCAGCCTCTCCACCCACTCCCTCCTTGAAGGGGACACAAAAATTGAGCTTTTAGGCGCGTAGTTTTGTACATGAAGCAAATCATTTTGATACCGACAGTACCACCTCCATGGCGAGTCCTCAACTATTTAAAAGTGAAAAGATTTACCTACTAGTAAAATGAACTGTTCAAAGAGTTTTGGGTTTTCTTTTCTCTTCAATCCTAAGCGTTACCAAAGTTGCTTGAAGGACCAACGAGGGAGGGGAAAACCAAAAAATCAGGTCCTCAAGACTGCCGTGGAATCTACGTAAAAGAAGAAAAAGTGTTTCTCACTCATTTGTCACTTCATGAGCATTTACCACCGGTAAATTTGTGAGTTTTAATTTCCTAGTTAATCAGTGTAGCGGTCAATTTAAACTGCTTAGACAAGGTAATAGCGCAAATGCAATCAACAAATTTACTTTTTTTAACAATCATTGTCACATTGTTCAAATCATGTCGGTTTGGAATTAAACTGCCAATGTCAATGGTCACTTAAAGTGTCAAGGGTGTGAAATCTCTTCAGCACTTAAATACCAGTTTTTTTGTTAAATGAGTTGAAAAGTGACCACCACTTCACCTGATTAATTTTGACATGAAATCGCTTGACACTGACACAATTTTAAGGACTACGCCTCTAAGTGCTGCAAAATCATTCAACTGGCAGGAATGACAGGTGTCAGGCACAACACCTAACGCAACTGACAATTGCGCATCTGGTCATTCGGATGGTGCCTAAATTTGACTCCTCCCTTGGAGAGCTGACATTTCAGATCTGCGCCTCCTTGCCACCTCATTTCCACCGCAGTGCAGTTCAATCTTTCATCCGTGTTTCTTCGGGTGTGAAGGACGTGGTAAACATGTCTTCGCAGAGGCAGCCTCTTTAGTAACATTTTCAGCGGTCAGAGCTCAGGCTACATTATTAAATGCTTCTTTGCAGACTACGAGATTGGAATGTCTGCCAAATGCTGGTGAGGTTTGGCGTTGAAGAGGTCTGAGTTCTCGCTGAAGCAGAGCGGAAGGGTTTGACCGCGAAAGAGATTACCACACGGCTGAGTAGAAAATCGGAGCTGTAAGGAGTCAAAAGCCCGCGACGTTACATTTTCACATTTTCTTGGTTATGTTTTATAGAAAGAAGGTTTTTTCCCCTTGCCGATCTGCGCCGCCTTTTGAACAACTTAACTCAGACGGAGTAAAACAACCCCTCCACCTCGCTTTGCCTCAAAACATAGCTAAAAAAGAAGCTTTTCGTTTTGAGTCCGCCTCCAAATAAATTTTAAAAGGGGATACATTTTCAATCTCACTCAGCCAAATAACTTAACGAGTTAGTAAACATTTAGTGGTGTCGCCTTTCGCCCTCCTCACCCTTCCCCGCCCCCACCCCCTCTGTCCCCATTTCGGAGTCGCTCCGATGACATGGAAATGTCTCTGCGACAAAAAAACGGCAAAAAAAGGCAACTCTAACCAACGCCATTTTTGTGCAGATTGCATTTAAAAATTTTCTTTTGCCTCCTATTTGCCACAGTTTTTTTTTCCGTAAATGTGAGGGAAAGAAGTTGGAGTGCTTCTTTCCATGAAAGGGTATTTCTAACGAGGAAAATATTGTCCATTCAGACACGAAAAGGAAAAAAATGAATTTTTTAAGTAAATTGACTAATTTTTACGTTAAAATATTTGGCGCTAATTTTAGCTTTGTGAGGCTGCAACGAGGGGTGAGTGGGCCATTAAGTATTAATGACCGCTTAGGTACCGTGCCAGAGCCGGCAATGGGGAGTAGGCGGGTAGTATTCCAACTTGGAAATTATCTCCAAATTTGGTTCATTAAAAGTCCTTCTAAAGGTTAGAATTGCTTTAAAAGTTGGCATAAAGTGCGATCAAATGGAGCTTTTTTCACGAGTCGGTCATTCTCACCGTCATGTCGGTAGATTGGCAATTGCAAGATCCTCATCCGACCTCCACCCTAGCCCGTTTTTTTCGCCTCCCTCGCCACACCACACATTTTGTCCTTTATTTTTTTTAAACAAAGGCAAAAATAACCTTGGCTAAGTAAAATTCATCCACAAAGGATAGAATATTTGGAGTTTTTTCTTCATTAATTCTCGGACTTGTCATCGCAAATGGCGTCCATAAGATTTAAAATTATAAGCGAAAATTTTTTTGGCAAATTTTTCTTGAGAGGGCATTTTAATTATTTAAATCAACAATAAAATTTGGGACTTTTAATCGAAGAAAAAATGCCTCTTATTTATTAATAACTGTAGGTTTTCGTTTACTGGATTTGAAATATCAGCAAAAAAATGGAGGCCCTTCTTGAGGAACAAACCTAGTTCATTCACTAAAATGTCTAAAAAATTGAAAAAAAAATTGATATTTGCGGATACATTTGTCTGACAGCAGGTAAAAATTTCCCAGCTCCCTCGATCACCATTAAGTTAGGCTTTTAGCCAATGGCAGCCCTGAAGGCACTTGATGGACAAAAGGAGGTCGATGCCACATCCCTCCTTTCAGGTCCTGTGACTAACCCACGAAGCCAGGCAAACAGACACATTAAACAAGCTATTTGAAATGTTTTTCCACCTTATCCTTTTAAAAAAATTGTGCACAAAATACGCATAAATTATGCAGAATTTTAACAAGCCTTTGAAAGGTCTTTCTTCCTCAAAGCAGAGCAACACCGGCTTTTCTTTATCCACTCTTCCTAAACATAAATTGCAAAACCTTTTCTCCCGCTTTCCAAATAAGCAAGTTAAAAGGTGCTTTTTGCTGATCAAATGATGTAAAGATGTCAAGGTAGCATGGCATCATCAATAGGGAAAAGTTGTGCTTTAACATACTGATAGGTCTCTCCATAAAACAACAACGAAAACATCTCTCCATTTTTAATAAAAAAATATTCGCTTAGGCTATTTTTTCCTTTTGCCTTTTTTATTTCCCACATTTGTAATGCGATGAAGCGGGAAAAAGTGGAGTTATTCCATCAGTGGTTTGGCTCTCTACCCCAATGAAATGCCATTGTGGCAGCCTTTAGTTTTTCAATTGTACAAGGCCGTCTGTTTGATCAAAAATTCAATACTTTCCCGTATTTTTATTCATTTTTTTTTAAATTTTTGTTGTGAGGACGGAGGTGTTTGCAGCAGTAAATACCTCAGTCGGCTTGTTAGACCGTCTAAACGAGGCATGATCAGATAGTCTACGCAAAGACGCTGTAGCCTTCTGCATTTATGGGGGAGATAAAAATCGACTGGATTCTGCACTTGTTACCCTACCTTTTGACAGGCCACTGACAGACCTGTCAACATTCATGATCAGAAAGAAGAGATACCATTGACACTCATATCAGGGCCAATAATCTCGCAGAAGATTGTTTGTCTCACACACAATTGTATAAAGTCGGACAAAAAGTCAGCATTTGATGACCCACCTAAGTGGTACGTTTCAAATGCCCCTTTTTTTGCAAAATTTCAGGGACTTCTCTTCCTTTCACTCGCCGTTATTTGCCAAGTTAAACACGAAAACTGTCAAAGCCTTCACAGACTTTTAGGCGTGACGGTACATGTGGGAGAGTAGAGAGTACCACTAAGTGATGAGTTAAACTAGGTCACTTAAAATGTCCTTTTCACGTTTGACAGCAGGCAACTTGTCAAGAAAAACTTTCAGGTGTATTTAGTGCAAACTAATGCACGCTTACACCGCCTGAAAGGTGAGAGACGTGGTGGCTGTCACATGTCACGCCAAACTAAGTGACAGTTGATCCTCAAGAGCACTGCTTTGTTTCGCAATTTCTGATAACTAGCAAAGAAAAGTGGCAAGGGCAAGACAAGGCACTTATCTCGAGGAGTTTTAAGGAAGTACCACCTTTTTGTGGGCATTGGACAATCCCGCATAAGCAGTCATCGAAAGGTGAATTAGGGAGGGGCCGGAGGAGGGAGAAGCTACTATCGGTGGGTGCATCTACCTCGCCATCATCTATAATGCTTACCAACTTATCACCACAATTCATCTTTCAGCCCAAAGAATGAATTATAGCTGTGTGGGTGTGTTCAGTCCCCACGGGGGTGGGGGAGGGGGAGGGGCGGTAGGGGAAGGGCGCGTAAACAGCAAAATTTATTGAGCACGTTCAAGAAAATTCATTGAAATGCCAGCAAACAAAAAATATGTTACATTTACACCCAGACAAAGTAGTATCCTAGCGATTGAGAAGAAAATGAAAATTACTTGACTCAGCCAGAGGTGTCAATGTCACGAGCGACACTACGAGGAGCATTTGTTATCATTCACTTGTCAAATACGTGAAGGCATCAGGCTCCCCCTCTCCTCCCCAAAAAAACAATCTGACAAAAGCCAAATAAGAGAGAAACTGACTTGTTTTATTTATTATTACAATATTTGCCAACTTGTCAGTGTCAACTTGTCGTCTCATCCAACCAATACCCTTTAAAACTGATTTATTTATTTAAGACTTGTTTTACTGTAAAAGTCTTCCTCTTTTCTATGCACCCTCTCATACCTGTCAGCTTGAATTTTTCTCACGGGAGGCTGTCAAAAAGGCAATTGACAAGTCCTCCAACTGGTGCATTTAAACAAATGGAGCGGAAATGAGAGGGGCGGTGAGGTGAAGAAAACAAAAGGGATGACCTATTGAAAGAAGCAATAGTTGGATTCTGAAAAAGCTATTTCACAAAATAAAAATAATAAAAGACCAGTTGGATCACATTGAAGTTAAATTTAAAGGCTTCCAATGGGGATCCTCTCCTGATTGGTCAATGGTTTTGTTGCGCTTATTTTGTATTTTTTTAACAAAAAATGCATGATTGTAAATTTTTTGTAATTATTAAACAAAAAAGTTAGTCAAATATAACCATCCGAAACAAATGTGATAGATCAACTGCTTGACGCCTTCCGTCCTTCTACCTCCTGCTGTCCCCTTCCCTCTTGTCTTACTGAGGAAGCTCTCGTACTCTTCTTTATGGGTGATTGCGACACATTTGGTCTTGTCTGACACTCTGACAGCTCGATAGCAAGAAGTGACGGGAATCAGTTGTATGCTTCAAGGAACACAGAAGGGATTTCATTCGTTAGATGATGTGAAAAGGTCTCACGCGACAGCGGAACCGACCAAGGTGGGCAAATAAAGTGACAATTTATCAGGAAGAAGGGAGCTAGACGCATCACAAGGCGTCAGTCTAGTCTGTCAATGGAGGTACTGCTACCTGCCTCGCATGGCAAGCCTACCCTCCACTCCGCCAGTTCATTTAAACACTCCAGGGGACTTTTAAGCCCATAAAGATGTAAAAACTCCCAAGAGTTTAAGAAAAATTGTCATCTTTTAATCGTCGTCTTTAAAGTCCTCCTCCCGCCTCTCCCCTCTCCTTTCCTCCGCGTTGCCTGTAACAAGCTCTCGTGTGAACAGCAAATAACCGCAGGGTGGGATCAAAGAGGTGGGAGGGAGTGCGTTCGCAGCCTTGAGAGCGCACTGCCCATTGCTTGTGATACACGGCGTAAACGTATGGTGGAGGCATTTTTAAAACCGCCTCCTCTCTAAGGCAAAACTGGTTCAGACCATATCCTATCCCACATCAAACAAGGTATGTTCTGTAAATCAACCAGTGGAAGGTTTTCGTGTTCCAAGACTATGGAAAGAATAGCCTACTTTGAGGAGGGAGGTTAACACATATCCCTCTTCAATAAAGACATTAGTGAGGCGTGAATATTGGGGAATTTGAAATCAGCGAGGATTCATGGTTTGTTCTTCAAATAAATTGAGATTTGTCTCGGTTTTTAAAACTGTACCACCACACAAGGTTTCCCCACTAAAAGCCTACTTCTACTGGAGAGAGAGAGCGTAGACCTTCCCAGAGAGGGTCACACCGTCCAGCACAATCCCAAGGCGCGCATTAAAGCAAACGTCAATTTTCCCACATAAACTGCAAAAATAAAGTTGATGTGGCTTTCCACCAGCAGTAGATTTCTTTAATCCCATAAATCCACAGGCACAGCTAGGTGTCTTGAAGATCCCTCCCACCCCGCCATTATGCTGTCAATGTCAAAGGCGTTTGCTAATCAAATGACTCGTCATAGAAATTTAAGCGGACAGATATGGGGACATAAATCTTGTCCGACCGTCTGGGAGAAGTAGGGCCGCATTAGTAATGAATTAACGGGGATAACGACTGAGGAACTGAGTGTAATATGATCTGGAGGCAAATAAGTCCCACATTAAAAGCACCTTGAGGAAATTTGGGTACCGTCAAAAAAGCCTCCATCTGGCAGATGAAAAGGAGTGACAGGAGGAAAAAGAAGTAAAGATGACTGCTTTATACGCACGCATACTTGTGGGCGCTATTGTTCACAAGAGAGACACGAGTTGCCCCATCTCCTTTGTCTGTCTGCCTGTCTGTTAATCTGGGTGAGTGGGTCCACGCCAAAAGTTGATCTCCCCTTCACACCGTCCCGCCAACTGACAGGTTTGTCTGCCTACATCCAATCTTCCACAAAATACGAGCAGCTATCTCCTAACTATATAGATACGAAGAAGGTAACCAATCTTTTCAAACGAAAAAGGAGGAAAAAGAAGAATCCCATAACTCATTGTCCATGAGCATTTATTGGAAAAGGTGAAGCCAAATCGTAGAGACAACACTGCAAGAAAATGTGAGTAAAGGAGGCGGTGAAGAGGAGGCGAGAGAGAGAGAGAGGTAAGGAAACATTTTGGGCAGTAGGGTCACAGCCACACACACACCCACACAAACAAGCACAGAAAACAAGTTCATAAGGCAATTGAGTAGAGGTGGAACTTTTTAGAAGATAAATGGAATGTATTCATGCACTTTGCGCATCATATTGGTTCATTGCCATCATCCAGAGTGAGGATACGCGAATCGTCGGCTGTACTATTCTGAAAAGATTAAGAAAAAAGGGTAAAAGAAAACAGGAAAAAACAAAAAAGGAGGCGAGAGAAACGCAAAAAGAGTTATCATCACCATCATTTTGTCTAGTTTTATTATTTGATTGAACCGCAACCGCTATACCTTCCGGTTCAACACTAATTGGAGGAAGGAATTACGGCCCCTAAAATCCTTGCTCCCACCTTTTTTTCCACCAAAAGTGAGTAGAATCAGCAATTTTGTTAAGCCAATTATACAAGGAATTCCCTTTTTTTGGCTGAAGTAACCCTCACCCAAATCCATCATCCTTGCCCAATGAAACGGAAGTTGATTGAGAGAGACAACACGCCTCTCCCCCCGGGCTCCAAATCACCGCCTTTGTTTATCACACCCTTTAAAGTCCCAATTGTCTATTTGCGATGTTGATGGTCTAAGAGCAAAAGCCAACAAAAGGTGACAGCAGACATCACTGACAGGAATACCATCCAAGGGGAATCAGGAGGGTGAGGTGAGGCTAGGCGGTATCCTCTCCCCCGCTCCCCACCTCCACCCCAGGCAAGACTACCAACACCTAAGGGAGGGCAGAGATTTGGTAGCAGTAAGTGACAGTATGCAGTGCTTTTGATTCTATCACAGACTGATTTACCGAGCCTGAGTGTTGGTGAAAAACAGAAATGCCCTTTTAGTTGACCCACACCTCCGAGTAGAGACATCTCAACTGAAAGTGGTGTTTGATCTTTAGTAAGCGAATAATTGTGCCTGCAATCCACCCGACACGCATAGATGCACAAAGGAGGCACAGACTTGTGGGACTGAAGCAATACATGCCCTAGAAAACGCAAAGCGGATTAGGTAGTGAGGGAATCGTTTGGCGGTAACCAATGTTATATTTGTTCCCTCAACGTCGCAATACAGAAGTCACATGCTTCCTGCCTTCCTTCAGTCAATCAGTCAGTCGGGAGGCAATTCCTTCCCAAAACGTGGGTAAAGTAAGTGAAGAGCAACTTGACAGTCAGGGAAGCCGCCAGCCATTCATTCATGGGTAATATGTGGCATGTCAAACGCTGCCTCAGTGTGGATGCATTCACATGAAAATCGCCTTACTTCTAGCCTCTACATCCTCTAAAAATCAGAGACAAACTCCGAGCCCATTCATCAGGTTCAACTGACATTGGAGAAGAAGGTGATGAAGTTTAACAACCCGAGGAAAGTGGTGGAGGGGAGAAATAAAGAGGATTGTACCCAAAAAGCGTTAAAATCACCCCATTTTTGTGTCAATAATGCAAAAATGATCACCTACTTTAACGCCAAAAAGGACCGAAAAATGGAGGCCGAGAAAAAAAAGTACGTGAAAACAAAAAACTCACTCTAAAAATGACGGGTCCAAAAGTTGATCCACGACTGTCGCCAATGCTTGAGGCGGTTAGTTGATTCCACTTGCTGTCACGTTCACTACCAGCAATGGCCTTGACGAGTTGATGGGGAGAGAGCTCCAACTCCTTTTCATCCTCTGGAATGCCACATTCAGTGCCTTGGTTAGCTGCGGAGTCGGAACTTTCGAATGCACTCTTCACTCTAGCCTCTGCGCCCTCTACCAACTTCATGTACTTGTATTCCAGTCTAGACGTTGAACAAAGAAATTACTTAACTCCCTTAGTTGAGCAGGCAGAGAGATCAAGGCCTTACCAAGGTCAGAGGACACCTTCCACAAGTTTTAGGTGAGGCGACAAACCAAGAATCGGCTCGTGTATCAATGACAACTTCTTCCGCCTTTCAGCTTTTAATTTGTCAGAGTGGATTCCACAGGTCATGCTTTTTTGCTGTCCTCTTTTTTCTTTACGATGTAAATCACCTAAGCCATGGCAAAGAGTGCTCCACTATCTCGCAAGTTGGCCTACATGCCTACTATGGAGCTCACATCCTGCGTTCTTAAGGAATTTGTTGCTAAAAAAATGTTTTGTTTCATCTCTCTTTTCCCACAACTAAAAGCACCAGAACATGAAAATCCAGAATTCGTAAATTAGCCTTTCGCAAGGAGACTTGAGAGACTTTAGCCCAACCCTTACAGTGAGGATCATGTCAACCTGTTTAACTTGTCATCATTAGTTATGAAGACAAGTGTCCAGATGTCAGACGATTGAGACTGTCTCACGAGGATGACTGGACAGGCATACTCATGCATCCATTATTCTTCTCACTCGATTTCGCAACTCACTGTCCTGAAGGTCTGAGGCATTTGGAAACTCCCATCACATTGGTTTAGTTATGAAAAAAAACCTTATCTCAATACCGTTAGAGGGAAAAATTAGCGCTGTCAACACACACACGCACACACACACACACGCAATTTTCCGTGCACGATGGAAGGTAAAATTATCGAGAAGTGACAACTTTTTCCTCCTCACTCTCTCTCTCTCTCAGTCACTTTTTCAACGGACTGGTACAAGCGGTTTGCACGCCTCCCTCCCAGTCCGTGTGTCAACCTCTTCCGCCCCATCACTGAGGAGAAGGAAACGCTTCAAATATCACCTGTACCTTTGGCTACTCGTAGTCAATCACACGGCCAGGTCAAGCAGACACTTTGCTCAGGCTTAGACGGGATAATCAACTTCTCCTCTCTCACGTCATCGCATAAGACATTTAAAAAGTGAGTGAGTGAGAAATCCATCGACTTACTTCTTATTTCTTCGGTAGCAATAGAAGATTGTGAGAAGGAGTAGAATGATGAGGGCCACTGTGAAACCAACTGCAATTTTGCCTTGCAAGGAGAGCAGTGGACATGACTCGGTAATGACAGATGTAAAGTTTGCTTCAGGACGACAAGTTCTGGGGAGGCAAAAAGAAAGAAGCATAACATACACACACATTTATATTATTCATTGCTGCTCTTTCGTGGGACGTATTCGTGGAAAAATTTAAGGATAATTAGTAACACTTGGAGTTGGATGGGGTTAATCCCATCCCCCGCCCCTCCTCCGGTCCCTAAAAAAGTGCCCTTTAATTCTAATCTGTTGTGGAGGGGGGAAGGGGGGACAGGGGGGGGGGGAAGGCAAAAAGTGGTCCTTTTAAAACACCCTTTGATGTATTAAAACAAGCCTGGGATGGAGAAATTAATGATCGCAGGTACAACGCTGGATGGGAAATAAAAGTGCTTCTTAAAAAGGCAATTAAAAAAGACGCTACTGCATACATTTCTAGAGGATTAAACACACTTTGATGTCTTTACCCCTAAAAAACGAGGGGAAAGAAGCTTAGGCAAATTATGAGAAGCCAATCAAGCCGGTTGATGCAGTTTTGGGGTATGACTAGCTACAATGACCTTTGACCTCTGATGTGCGTAAGTATGCCAGAAAGAGACATTGGCCATTCCATTAGTGCTTTGTGCTACCTTCGCCTAGCTTCGTGGACAGCTGTCTCGTCAAGCATCTTGCACAAAACTAGGGGAAGGTACAGTATACTGTAGGCCAGTAGTTATAAATCACCCAAGGTGTTGATAGATGTCAATCAAGAAGACTCTTCACCTTTGCTAAGGATGAATAAATAGGCCTGACAATCGATGTGCCAAGATCTTTTAGACAAGTTTGATGCAAATGATTAGGAGACAAGGCAGGGTAATAAGGCAATCTGAGTCAGTAATTTCCGTAACTTCTTCCCTATGTGTTATTAATACGTGGGAGGGGGAAAAGGTGGCTTTAGGACCCCTGATCCAATGTTAGATGGACAGACGCTACATTGGTTAATGTCACACAATCTATTCAGCATCCCCGCCTCATATCTCTTGAGTCACAATGCATCATTTCGTCCCTAGAAGACTTTGGCAGAAACTGCCTGTTGACATGCTAGAGACCAAACCCTTGAGAGGTATCTCCTCAATACACCTCGAAAATTGGTGGAAAAAATAAACCGTAGGACCAAGGGATCAGTCTGTAAAAAAGTGCAATCTTCTGCGAGACAACGTCACGCGACTTTTACCGACAAGAAGATCTCCCATCCTACACCAGGAGTGAGTAAAAAGGCAGCGTCATCGCTAATTTTTTTCACTTTGCGAGAGGGCAAAATTATGTCAAGTTACTAAATGTCATGCTGCTGCAGGGAGGAAGAAAGAAATATCTAAAAAGAAAAAGAGAAACAAATAAAGAGAAAGTGAAAAAAAACTCACTTGGGAGGTAAGAGTGTCACCTCCATAGAACCACCAAAGCAGCCACCAGCAATACGTTGATAGTCCTCCATACGACAAATCGGACAGGCCAAAGGTGAAATCACCATAAAATGATATTGACAGCCATCACACGTTCCCACTCCACAATTGGGGGGAATTTGAATACGTGCCGAGGTGTTAAAGACCTTGGAGGCATCGTCGACTTCACCACACCGTAGGGTCACGATGGTATTGATGCCGCCCGGACAGGCACTCGTTGTCCTATTTCAACACATTCAAAGATGACCATCGAAAAAATAAAAGAAAAAAAGAGACTAGAAGCGCCAAATACACAAATTTTGCATGCAGGCATTCCGGAAAGAGAGGGGAAATATGGGGAAGGGGAGGAGGATAAAAACAGACTAGTCCGCAAAGCGAAAGCACAAAAGGCATTCTCTCACGTACCTATATAACCTGTAATTTTATTGTTTAATAAAAAACAAAAAGGGATTAGTTCTACTCTTTTTACACATGTTTATAAGCTTTTTTGCGTTTAAATTTTTATATTTTTATTTTCTGTGAGTGTGGGTGTAGAAATTCACGTTTCCCACTGGCATCCGTGGACAGAGTGAAGAGGTTAAACTATTGCCTTTTTCCCTTTCCTTTCTCCCTTCTTCTGTGTCCACCCAATTTCCAGAATTGCAATTTGTAGGTGACCCTTAAAGCAGGAAATGAAAGACCAAGAAAGAGGAATCAGACATTCCTATTCATGCCGACGCACAGTGACATTTCTGCATTGGAGAGAGAATTCCTTCGTGTGAAGAAAATAACTCAAATGCCCCTGTTCATCGTCTTGCTTCATCTTGATTGATCACTTCAAGAAGTGGAGGGAAAAAAAGCGGAAAGTCTGCTTGTGGACTTAGGTGCCCAAATTCAACGTCAGCAAAATATCCATGGTTGCTATCACCCATCTGTGACGACAATATTCTCAGTGGGAAAGGAACAAAATTAACGCAACAAAACCGATTGTCACATTTAATTAAACACGCAAAATCTATTTGAGAAGAATGTTATTTGGACTTGACAAACTCACCCAAGTGAGTGAGCGTGTGAGCGAGTGAGTAGTTGAATGATTAAGTGGAGGCAAAATTTGCTCTGATGTGAGACATTTCAAACCTATTTTAGGCATTAGTTACTCAACATGCCTGAATTTTATACAAGTTCTAATTGAGAGTGACAATGCATTTGGATATGTCGTCTTGAAAAGGGGGAGAGAGAGAGAAAGGTGAAGGGAAAAAAGAGGGCTGAAAAACAGGAAGCAAATGCATGTTTACCAAGGGGACTTACGATTTAGTCTGGAAAAAAAGGTGGAAATCTGTCCCTATATCTGAAAGGGAAGTAGGAAGAGGGAAATAAATATTTAATATAAACATGTTTTATAAATCGTCTCTAGAGAGAGCGAGAGAGAAAGTAAATGTGGAAAGAAAAACCTTACCGTAAAAGAGGATTCACGTCTAACCTAGATGGATGTACTTTCACCTTCATTTCTATGTGATAAGGCACAAAATTTGCAACTTCTCGTTTCCAATGTTGTGGGTGTTAGCAAGCAAAGAATGGCAAGACCACTTCTCTCCACTTTTTTCACCCTTTTTAAAGGTTCTGACAACAACCCAAAGATGCTTTGGTTGTTAACTAGGTACCAGAGGTGAAGGAAAAGGCTGCACATAGTTACCGTGAATTCGACGACTGGAAGCGCTAATTACGAGTACATTCAAAACACCAAATGTCATCCAACTGAGTGACTGGATGACTATCTGAGCTCCGACCTTTCAAAGTGGGCATATGATGGGCTCAATTTTCTTTCTAAAAAATTATTGTACAGAAGTGGTCACTAAAATGGAATACGAATCTACTGCCTGGTTTGGAGTCGTATGTTTTTGACAAATAATAAAAATTACTAAATGTGATGGGGATGGGAGATTCAACGATGGTGAAAATTACCTACTTTTACTAGTGTTGCCAGTGCAGGCCACCAACAAGGGAATAAAGTTCCTCAAAGCTTATACAAGAGCCATCCAAATCTTATCCAGTAAAAGAAAAACAATTAGGAAAAACTCTCAAATCCGGCATGCCTTTACAACCCATGTAACGTGTTTCCAGCATCAGCGTATTTCTCGCATCCCATTTAGGAACCCAGCTGATCTTTTACTGCTTTTGATTTACTTTTTTTGTTAACTCGAGATGTTAATATTCGATACCCAGTTTAGAAGATGGGATTTGCTTTAGATGAGGTTTCTAATCCAACGCAAAATATTCTCTCATTTCAGTTGCGAAAGGTGAAAGTAGAACTAAAAGCCCACTTTTACAAAAGAAAATTTGCATGAAATATTCTGTTAGAGGAAAAAATGCAAACATTTTACAGATGAGTTAATGGAACACCATTTTGAAATAACCAGCGAAACTTGATAAATTATACTCATCCAGTAAAACAAAGCACAAAATTTTATAAACCGGCCTTACCATCGGCTTTCCATCCACCATTGACAAGCTTCGAGTTTATTTCTTTAGCAAATTCCTCAGATGAATTGGTTTGCACGCCCTTTAACAAGACATCGCCAAGACTAGAGAAGAAAGAGGTCCCCTAGGTCAACTTCAATTCTGCAAGCGTGCGGTCTCTAAGTGCTCAACTTCCACTAACTGTTTGGCCTCTCAATCACATATCCAATTTGTTTTAACAGCGAGACTCCATGCTTTTAGCAAAAAAAAAAACAAAATCACCTCCCAGAATACGTGCAAGTGAAACATCTTGGCACTTTACTAAGAAGGTATGCGAGACACGATCTTCACTTATCTGCATTTATAAATGAGTCAACTTTAATTTCACTGGGTTTACGTGTCCGATGCAGCTCTGATTTAAAACAAAAGTATTCACAAATTGAAGCGTCTATGATCGGATTTGACTAGCATTCACTGCCTCTAATTACCATTCACTTTTAACTGAATCCTATTAAGAAAATTAGTGATAAAACATTTTAAAATTATGAGTAAAAAGAGTAAAAAACGCACCTCATTGCGCTAGAACGGAGGTAAGTTCCAACTCCAGACGCGTCTTTCGAGGGACTCCAGATTTCTCGACATATCCAGGACGTTACGTTCGCCTACCAACGTTTGGTGACGAAATTATTTTTTTTAGGATAGTACCTCTTTAGAGAAAAAACCTTGCTTGGAGTGGGTTTACATGAGTTTCACAGTTAGTGTGCCTTCCTGGATAAGGGATACTTGGGTAAACCTCGGGACCTACTTTAAATGCATTGAACTAGATCTATTTAAGAACATCATATCGCCTAGTGTTCGCTTTCCTCCCTTGGAGAGAGCAGCCCTCCCTAACAGGAACTAAAAATCCTTTCTATGACTGCAGAAGATTTCAACTAGCCAAATTTGGTAACGGAAAACTACTTCTGCAAACCAGTTATTTTTAGAAACGGGATGAAATACAGATTGGTGGCGCTTCTATTATGTATGACAGGAACTCCACCTTCTTGGAACATTTGATTTTATGTGAGGCGGCACCAAATCCACCTCCTCATCACCGCCGTCGTCATGGACGAATCGGAAGTCGCATAACTGTTTTCGACTATAAACGCAGGTATTAAATCATTTTTTCCTTTTCTAGGTGCATTTTAAAAAAAGCTCCTATAAATGTTATAATTTATTTACGTACCTCCTAATCATAGGAAATGACAGTTAAAAACAAGTTACGCAATCAGCTATTTGTCGCTGGTCAGAATTTAAGTTTGACTTTCCACTGCGATTCTTGATTTGTGTCAAAATTTGAATGCCGGTGGAGCGGAAAGCCTAGGGTTCACCCTATTTTAGAAAGGGGAGAAGGATGGAAAGGGATGGAAAAAACTACGGGGCGAAAAACGAATGATTTAATTTGTCAAGTCATTTAAATAGAAGTCTGTTTCTTTTGAAAAAAAAAGGATAAGTAAGGAATGAGCTTACATCAACTTTGTTGCTATTGATGCAAGTAGATTGCAAATCGGGTTTGCGAGTGTTCAGAAACAACTGGAAGTGATATTGAAATTCATAACCTTGTGAAGTAAACAACTTTGCTCCCTCTGTTGTAAATTTACTAAAAAGGAATTTTTTAAAGACCAGGAAGAAAACACACATGAAAGATGCAAAATCGCATCAAGTTGTGTGGATACCTGCTCAGTAGTTCATCCAAATCGTATCTTTGACCAGTGGATGTTTCTGGATGCAAGTCGATCAGGCATTTCTCACCATTGCCTGGCACGGTTCCAGGAGGACAAGCTCTGCAAGCCTGTTCCACCGTCATGATTGAGGACGCATCACCAATAACCATAGTTCCATTCGGACAGGGAACACATTCTGCATGCGACTCGCCCGAGGTCTCATTCGTTATCATTGTGTAGAAAAGTCCATCATTACATGGTTTGCAGCTGGAAATGCGAAAAAACATTTATTTTAACGATATACCTATGCATGGGAATAATTCAGTGGGAATTTGAATGGCGCCAAAATCAGATCAAATTAAGTTTTTAAAGAAAAGGTGTACTCGACAGATGCCCTGCCCTTTCGAACTAATCGAGGATTTCAGGACATCAACCTGTTCCTAGTATAACGATAAATTTGATCTAAAAGATCTTCCGGCCTCGACATCCATCAATTCACGCAACCCTGTATAGAGTCACATTCTTTGGACACAGCCAAATGACGAAACACAATTGCTAATAAAGGTAAAAAAGTGTAAAGACTTCTTCAAGAACAATCCATTTCATCAACGACGCAAAATTCCAAGGAAAATAACGTCTAATTAGCATGTTTATACAAAGAAAACATTTTACTAAAATAATAACGGTAGCATATAAAGAAACAGGTTCAGCTAATCAGGCGTAAAATGGACGTACAATTGTTTGTCAATCCCAAGTGGGCACTTTTTGCAGCCAAGAGCCCCACTATCGCGAGTGTTGTTAATTTCAATGGAATAGATGACCACCCTGTCATCACGAGTGTTAGGGTCAAGTTCTGAGCCCGGTTCGTCCCATCGTTTGAACACCCACAAGAACGAAACGCCCTCGCAACTATACGGTTCATAGCTACAAGTGATTGAAATTATTGCTACTTAAATCATTCAGTAGAATTTGTTCTGCATTAAGTGTAGCGCTTAGAGGAATTCAATGATGTCACGTTAATGAACCAGATGAGGGTAAAGTGAGTCTTTTTGCCCTTACTTACAAAACATATTTAGTATGAAATAATTCTAGTCAAAAAAATGCTCAGCAACTTTAAGAAATTCACGGCCTAGATTTCCCTATGCGAATTCCGCTAGCAGATTTTCTAAAGCGAAAAGAAACTCCCCACTTTTCACTTGGCAGTCATCGCCACGTTTTTGTTTAGTTGCTTTAACGAAAATTTATCAGAAAACACGGCTAAATAAAATTTTGTTTGGTTTACAGCAACTTACGAGAAAGTTGTTCGGTTAACACGGCCAGCCCACTTCTCGATCTCCACAGAGTACCACTGCATATCCTGCGCGCATGAAACAGAATTAGTTTCCTATTTTTCTTGTAATTTTTGTAATCCCACGATCTACATCTACAACCAGATTTTTGTGCCCTCCCTGGCCTACAAGCGGTCCACAAAGTGGACAGGAAAGTTGTCATTTTATCTTTTCAAGTCGGGAACAATGAAAAATTGCGGCCATTACATATTATTGGGATATCTTTTTCCACAAAGAAAGGCACTTTCATGAAGGTTTATTTTTTTGATACCTGGGCAGGTGGGACAAAAGCAGAATCGAGATGGATGTCTTGGACGCTTTCTTTCAATAAGGTAGGAGGAAGTAAGGCTTCAACTAGTCCAAAGTGGACGGACTCAGAGACTCACCACAGTGAAGACGAGAGAACATGGGCCTTGACAGACCAATTCAAAGTCGAAGACAAGTTTTGTGCCCGGCAGAGGGCTGATATATCGAGCGAGATAGACGGATTCATCCGGCCTGGGTCCCAAGAAGCCGTCGGTGAGATCCAACGCCAACACCGAGTAGACTTGGCTTCCCAGACCAGGACCCACAAATATCGACGACCTATTCAGCTGCCATACCCGACAGTCGCCGTCTAAGGGCAGACAGCTAATTGGTCAAATCTCAAGGTCAGCTTCTTGAGGTTCTAGTAGCTGCATAGCAGGGAACAGGTTGCAACTCGACTGTGTGCATCAGCTTCTGCTACTTACTTGCAAGTTCACCAATCAAAATGCCGCCACAATGAGTGCCCTGACCAATTAACGGGAAGTTTTACTTTATGACGTTGTTTTGTTTCAAGACTCTCGGTGTGGTAACAGTATTTCTTATCGCCGCTGGTTTTTTTTCTTTTTTAAACGGATGAGAAATTTTGGAGGCATCTCATTAGGCGAATATTGGCAGAATTTAATGCGAAAAAAAGTACAAAAAAGTCGGCTTGTTTTCACCTTTGCACATGTAGCTAAATCACCTTCCACAATCGCCTCAAATGCACATCTTTTAAATGAAGTTAAAAGATAAGAGCCGTATTACTTTGGTGACAAATAAGGGGAATGAAGATACTTGTCAAGTTTGTGGCATAACATCACATGAGGGGAGTTACCAGTGGCGTTGGCAACAAAGAGATCGGCGAATGCTGCGAATGGATTTGCACAAAAAAGAAACAAAACAAAACCGGTGGCAAGCTTTACTTCAAACAAATACAAGCTAACGATAAAAGTGCAACGAAAAACCAGAGGAAGGAGTGACATATGTTTAAGATGCCCACGAGACAAAGGAGATGGGCACTCACCATCTACATCATGACAGTAGGATGTCATCCTGGGCGGCATTCGGCTCCAGGTATCATATCTGACGCCAAAGACAGGCACCTCATCTTTGGGACAGGCTTGACAGCTTCTTCCATCTACGGATGTTAAAAATCCCGAAGGGCAGGTCCCACAATGCGTTGTATTGAGCACCTTTGTACCAAGGGGGCAAGATGCGCAGGCCACATTGGTGCTCGATGGTGCCGAATGTTTGGTATCTTCGCAAATGACCGGTTCAATGAGCTCGGTTACCAAATGTTGCTACAAACACGAAGTGGGAGAGCACATGCGGGGCGCACACAAAATCGACGTTGGCCCTGCTCTCTGGGCAGTGTGTATCTGCCTCCTACCTTATTTATGCATTATGCATGACAGATTATTGATGAGGAGGGGTACACAGTTACTCTCTATGGGGACGGTAGATCTATCTACTGAGGTTAACTTTTGCACAAATTCATTCAAACTAACTTTCTACCTTCGCTGATGGAGACGGGGCTTTTGAAGGAAGAGCCCTTTAAGCCTACTTTGTCAGTAGTGAGACAACTTGGTGCCGTTCTTTTTCGCATATTTGTGGCGCTTGATTACGATTTCAAATAGGCCAATTATCACCGCCCTGTTTGCATAATTGATGATCTACACTTGAAAATGGCCACATATCACGCGAGAGAGAGAGGCAAATACAGAGAGGATCTCAGAAATGGCAAAAAAAAACTTCTATTATGCCACGCCTAAGGCCTAATTAAATTGCAGAAGCTATACACACCATGATCACACGCACACAATAGTGGGAGAAACAGCAAGATCTCAGGCACCTCCACAGAAAAATAACAAATCAACAAAGGCAACATTTGGTTGATTGGCTGACTAGCCACTTCGTTTATTGCTGTCGCCTTAGTAACCGGTTTAAGACAATGAAGCATTACCGTGACTGCCTAAAAATATTTGGGAGGACTTACCGTATCGGGGGAGGTAGTGCATTCGGTAAAGTGGGTGATGTATTCCGAGGGCTTACAGGGCACCTTCTTACTGCAGACACCCGAACCAGGCACTGAAAAAGGCCAGACAATCACAAAAGATAGCGCACACAACTACGTGGGTTATCCACAGACCACAGCAGTGCTGCCACTTGCAAAGAGCATCACCTACTGGCGCAGCCTACACATGATAAGAAACGGGGTGAGCAGAGAGGCAGAGAAGTGAGTGAGAGAAGGCCGTGGATGGTAAGGTCACTACTACAGGCACTTCATTATCTAACGGCGAGAATAAGGGAGCAGGGAATACACTGGGCAAGAAATAAAGAGAAGGAAAAAGATTGTAAAAAGTAGAGTGCGTTTACTCAGTAAGTAGAGTTCTGCTTCAGGGATTTTGGTGACATTTTGGCACACCATTTATTTCGCACTTAGTTTACTCGGCCAGAGTCGAGTTGGCAGTCCAAAAAACAATGAGACATGTGAGCTGCAATCAACGATGCGTTGTCAGTAGACGAAGCCAATGTCAAATCTGTAACTCTCATGAGTGTACACATTAAGCATTAAATAAGTGGTTACTTATACCAACACAAAGATCAATCCGCATCCCTTTATCCTTGTGCCTTGGAAATAAGACGCCATCTCCAACTGGTGCAATACCTGTTTAAACAAGAACACCTAAAAAAGGAGGTTTCAGATGGAAGGATAGGGATTCAATGTACTTTTTGCTTTCCTTACATTTGAAGAAAGTACTTTGTGCTTATCTCATAACCATAGCTATTGACTAACCAACTTTTGACGGTTCTTTTTCCTGAACCGTATGCTTTATTCTTGTGTGCCTGTGTCTGGCATTGTCAACTAACTTACCAAATATTGCAAAAACAATTCTTCTCCGTGTGACTAAGCAATGTCACGGGAGCGGCGGCAACTTCGCTGAGTCAATGCCGTGAGGATATACGTGAGTTTACTGAGAGGTAAGCGATTGATTTCACTTAATTTTAGGACGTCTTTTAATTGAAAAATAGAGGCAAGAAATGGAAATTATCTTATTTATCAAACATGTCAAAAAGTTCTAAGCAAAGCTGAGGAAAGAAAAGTGGAACATTGTACCAAAAAATCCAAACAAACTTACGCGAAAACGTCCCATCAGGACAAGGACTGCAAGAACTGGCTTTCTGGGTAGAAATCGTATTCTGCGGACACTTGTGACACATGTCAGAACCTGATTTGTTGGTATAGTAGCCGGGTTCGCATTCGATACAGGAAATTGTCGCAGGACGACCCGTGATTTTCACCGATTTCAGCTTAAACTGCGTTGCCTCAGAGCCCCTGTTATAGTAATTGTCTGAGTAGAGATACCACTGCAGCGTAGACGAGCCGGCTGGAACCGATGTTGAGAATGATACCCAACTGTTCTTATAATTGGGTAGCAAGAGGTGACTCCTTCCGCCGTCCAATACACAGCGCTCATTACGAACCTTCAAGGATGGATCGAGGTGTGGCCGCTACTTACCGTGAAGTAGGCTAGTGAAAGAGGATCTGTCAGTTTGAATAAAAAAGTGACATTGCCCGCTTTAATGTTTTTGTTCTCCAGGGTCAACTCCGAGACGCAAAGGGTATTAGTCGTTCCCAAAAGATAGGTACCCTCAGGTTTCCATCCAAAACTAACAAAAAATAAAATCCGCAGTTTTAGGACAAATTACTCAAAGGAAAGCATTCCGAAAAATCAGGGCGAAGCATATAAACATTAAAGGTGCAAGGAAAATACATTGAGTAAAAAAGGAAATGCGGCTTACCCTTTGCAAGCAGACGGGTCTCTACTAGTCAGAACGTCAGAGTAAAATCCGCTTGGTAAAGTTGACCAGTTATCCACCAGGAAAACATCACCAGGGGCTGCTGTTCCAACCGGACATTCTTCACATCCACTCAATGCAACATTCAGGACCTGCCCGGGTGGACATGATTGAGCTACAAGTAATCCAATTAAGAAGTAAGCTCACTGCAGTCTTTCACAAATTTCGGCGCGTCAGATACAGAGCAAACTTTTGGGTCCTTCGGAACTTTCACAATAAAATGACTCCCATCGGTCTCACATGGTGTGGTAATATATGTTGTTTGAGACTGGAAATTATCAAAAAACAGAATCGACGTACTTCAGTGCACACATTAAGTGCGATTACTGCAGCAGGAAGCAAAAAAAGTGCAACAAAGAAACCCCCAATCATCGCACAGGGCTGAAATATTCAGCAGTTTATAGTTGTGTCCGAGCAAATTCAAGGTTATATGTAATATATAAAACAACATGTCATCAGTTCATTTTTTTAAAAAAAATGAAATTATTCACAAGCGTTAAGTTAAGTTAAACATTTTTTGAACGTATTGATTCATACGGTTTGCACGTTTAGTATATGACTACAATGCACGGTATATGCAAGATTGCACTGACGTCTTTTTTTGAAATAATGCAGAAAAGTTGTGTTTTTATAGCCGCAATGTGGAATTTTTTATTCTATGATTGGCATTAAAACTTTACTATATGGCGTAGTAGCGACAGCAACTTCCCAAACAAGCATTCAACTCTGGGATATAACGTTTCGAGTCCAACCTGAAGTTGAAAATTGACATAATACCAGCTAGTGTATTACCATCGCACTGAATAAATGAGCGTCTACTGGCATGGCTCGAATCTTAAGCCGTCCAGTGGAAGTGTAATGGCTGTTCTTTAATTGTCCGCGTAACCGTAACTGGGAGGTAAGCGAGCAGTTGAGGTATTATTCTGAATACTAGTAAAAAAATTATTGTCTTCTATAAGCAATGTACTCGCGTTTTCCAAATATATGTGCTAAAGTAAACTAAAGAATTGGATCAAGGCACATTCTTTACACGCACTCCATCATCTTAGTGTAGCGTCCCGAGACTCCCTGAGGACGAAAGAAGACAAAATACTCGGGCTGAATATATTCAGCGCGGAGAAGGTGTCTGGACTATTGGTATGACCTGAAAGGCCAGCCCACCCAGGGAGGTACAAAAGGGCTCATTCAAAGCCCAAAAGTGGCGCCTCACCAGAACCGAGGGATAAACCACTATCATGTTACATTAGTATTGCATAATTCCAGTGCCGCAATTAAATAATATGTCACGTTTCAGCTCCTTATTTACATTTTAGAAAAATGGCGGCGAACAGTTGCTTACAGCTGGTTTACCATCAAAGAGGTTTGATGTGAAAGTAGACAAGATTTTCTCCAATACAATTCGGAGATCATGCCACAAACTCGTGGCGGCAAACGACGCGAGGGGAAATCTGGCCCCCAACTTTGGCTAGAACCAACCTGTGAAATAATTAAACGATCCGGGATTGACTGTTGCTGGACAGCTGGGCTCTAACCTACTGGATTGACATATTAAGATTTATACTTCGCTTTATAAAATTCCTTTTTTTACCAATATATATTTTGAAAAAATCGGTACAATTAAATGCTTTACTTCTTGCTTCGGAAATGCATTAACCGATCGTTGGTGCATATTTCTTACTCCTATTCTTTTCTGAAGTCGTTTGAATGCCCATTACTAGGGAAGAAAATGTATTAGTAACATACAGGAGGGCTTAGAGGTTACTGACATGGCTCGGAGGCCATGCCACTCAGTGAAAGTACAATTGTAAACGATTGAAGTGCCTACATTACTAAACCCAGAGTTGAACATACTATCAAAGCATTTGACGAAATTTGTGCCATTAAGAATGTGTTCAACAAAATTTAACGCTAATTCCTTAGATGAGGACAGGGCAAAAGGGAATTTGAAGAAATTTACCACTAAGATGAGTGATTGGTTTACGCAATAATTTGGCAATTTGCTGTCCTTTGTTCGAATTTACTAACCATTAGTAGATTGTTCCATCGGATAAATTTTCATTTTAATGGGAAGTAGACCCCTTATCAGCATCAATTTAACCCGAAGATGGGAAGCTGGAAAAATGATATAGTCATTTCTCACCTTATCCAAAAAATAGGCTAGCAAGTAATAAAAACTAAATTATTGCTAAAAAAGGTAGCAACGCATATCGTGTCAATTCATGGGAATAATCCGTGCAAATTTGTCTTCTTGCCGTTCTGCGCTCTCCCCGAAATCCTACTTTCGCATTCACTGGTGATGCAGTACTTCACACAAAGGAGAAACGTTAATTTTTTTGTGGAAGAGTTTGACCTCTAAGCTTGTAACAGTAGCTCTCAATTTAAATAATTGTTGGGCCCTGAAAAGTTTACCAGGTTAGAACCACAACTGGTCACAACTAGGCTATCAGTTAGATGGGTCAAAAGAACCAACTTTCCAATGACATCTGAAAATCACCAAATCAAGTGGAGGTTCTTTTCACAGGAAGGGTGAGATGTGCAGTATCTTCTGATGTGGGGAGCAAAACCAAATGATAAATGCAGTGGTTTCAAGCCGCTTTTGGAATGTCTACCCCTTTTGCTGCTAGAGTAAGGGAATCAATGACTCTCCCTTTGTCTCTGCCTTTAAAACCTTTGAACAAGCCGACCGATTAGATGATTGGATAGTGTAAGGGAAGTTATAGGGGTCCGGAGATCGACTCCGCACCAGAGGCCAGTAGCTCCCGCTCATCACGAGGTTCGAATATGCGAGGACCACTTTCCGCTTAAAAGGCGTATGCAAACAAACATACATTATGAACAGGAAGTTTACAATTCTACAGTTAAAGTGAGATTCTGTTTACGGCCTCACAATCGTGGGAGGGATGATTTATGAGGGCAAAACTCCATCAGCTATAAACTGCACTGCTATTTACTCAACAATTTTAACAGGTCAGGGGTAATTCTTCTGTTTTTTTCTTTTTAGACCGGAAGTAAATAAGACAATCTTTAAGTACCCTTTATTCGAATTAACACGACTGCTGATACTACTCAAACTAAATGAGCAGCTGATAGCGAGAATGGCCTTCACGATCGATAAAGCTAATGCAAAAATTGGGGAAAAAGTGCTAAAAAACGGATACAATTAAATCGAAATTTAGCTGCTAAAGCCCAAATTTTAATCAAAATTTCTCTTTTGTGTATGTGCGTGGAAAGGCATGGGAGTGTGGATACGCGGATTGATGACTGGGTGCTTTGCATCGCACATGTGGGCGAAAGGGGAGGCATTCAATGCCCCTACAGTGGGCACCAATCAAAATTCCCCTACCAATTGATTTCGGCCAATGAGGCAAGACACTTACGCTGCTTCTAGAAGTATTTGAAGCCTTCTCTGGTGCTTTTGGTGGCTAAATCCACTTGCTCCCCTTTGCAGGTATGTTCTTATTTTAATAACTTGGGCTTTAAAAGATGGTAATTCTTTGGTGAAATTATTAAGCTCATAATAAGTAGACGAAAAATATTCCAGATCCACATTGAAGAGCAGAAGCTAAATTCTAGAAGGACATTATCCTTCTTTTCTCGTTGAACGCTGTCGATAAACAGTGCTGGTGCTGCTCTGACCCTTATTGAAAGAACGACTCGCCCACTAGCTCAGCATGACTTCTAAACTCTATTACATAAAAATTTTTAGTAGTCATGGCTTCTTTAACTGAAACCATATCAATATGACGTCATTGGTGTACAAATGATAACAGCTAGCTGCACTTGTCGACAGGGGATTTATTAAGAAGTGTGAAGGCTTAAAGGATCTTCTTATCTTTTCCTTTTTCAAACACCCCAATGCATTATCTTTTAAAAGCCGGCCACTGCAATCAAATTACTTCGAATAATTAAAACAATGGGAATCATTTTAAAAAAAGCCCCGAATCATCAATATGCAAGCTAGCCTAACGTTTTTTAAAAAAATAGGTCTATTTTATTTAAAGAATCCGCCCAAGTAAGTGTTTAGCACTAAAGTTAAATAAATCATTATTTTTACGATTAATTCAGTGAAAAAGTTTGACAAAACATAATTTATATCATCGCAAAGAAGGCTAAAATCCATGTCGGTGTGTCAAAAGGAATGTGACAAGCCACTAGAGTGGCTTTCTCACCCGCAAAAATAATCCTATTCACCTCGATGCAGTGTTGAGGCAGATGAAGAAAACAAAAAGAAGTTGAAATTAGCAGCATAAATTGATAGCCACACTTTCCTGTAATAGTGTACTGACAGATGGCCTTGGCATCAAAACCGTCGCATTTCGATGTGCCGGTATGAGAATTTGTAAGGCTTGTGCCTCAAGCAAACTACCTATTTTAGATCGGCCAACCAGATGACATCAAAGCTAAATACACTGCTGAACCTCAATCTTTAAATATTTTACTAAAAAAAGGTTTAAAATGTTCTCAGTCGGTCAGGCTGTTGATTTTGCAGGAGTAAAACATTGACCAGAATATTATGCAGGAATCATAAACCTTCGCATTTCCTGCCAAATTCATCTAATAAATGCCCCATCTCTTTTGAAGATTAAAGTATTTTCTTCTTTCTTTACAAGGATTTTTTCTATTATCTCCCCAAAAGGCAACGTATCTTATAGTTAAGCTACCAATGCCATGTTTTTTTTGTACTGCCTTACATGCAGGGGTGCTGGAAGCAACACATCTGTAGGGCTAGGGTGAACCCTTTCACGAGGTCACAAGTGCCCTTCCAATACTTTGAGGTCACCACTTTGAAGGTGATGACTCACTTTTCAACCTGACGCTGCCTCTTTAAGAGTCCCAACATGGTGCTTAGGGCACTCCTAGATCGTCCAGACTTTGAATAGGACTGGCATCCTAGACCTGACAGGCAGACTTGCTGATGACTCATTTGGGTGTGCGCTTTGTCCACTGTCTACTTTGACTAATCCCATTTGGCATAACCTTTGTTCCTTCCTTAAGAGTATCCATGGTACATCCAACCACTAAACCCATCAGTCATTTCTCTCACTTTTTCAGGTTGGTTTCCAATTCGGCAATGTGGAAAGGCCTTTTGATCGCTGTGAGTTAATGTTGCTATGTTCACCACAAAAAGATAATTCATTAAAAATTGACAAAAATGTTGTAGGCAGGGCGGAGAATCTATTGTTAATACTTTGTTGATATGATAGCAACCGAGCCGAGGTCAACACACTTGGTGAAAGTTCATGCCTATAAGGTTCTGTCAGTGTTTATCTCAAGATGTGATTTCATTAATGGGTGTCTTCTTGTTTCTTCCCAGGTTGTATTTGTGTTTCTGACGGTCAGTTCTCAACCAACGGAACCCGGTAAGCTCCCATTTTGGTCTCCCGTGACGTGGTTAACTGTTACATGATGCGTGTCAGCACTTAACTGCACCCTTATGCAATATTTACACTTAATGAAGGTGTGGTTGTCGCCTTTTTAAGGTGCCACTGGGGTAGGACACTTTTCTGGACCCAAGGTTCTCCTCTTTTTTGCCCTCCTCCCCTTTAAAAACGTTGTCTTGGCCATTTGCCCAACGCAAAGGTGGATTGCTGACTTGACACAAACAAACAAGTGAGGTGGGAATTTCAAAACGTGGTTGTGAGATAATAAACGGTTTTAGTGTCATGGGGTGGGGTCACAGCACAAACGATTGATTTGAGGCAAGCAATCGGTGCCAAAATAAGTTGCCAAGATGTCCAAATAACTTTGTCTCTCGAGGAGAAATTGCATCTGGGTGCAGAAGGATCTAAAATTTCCTTTGTAACTTTTAGTTGTGGAGACTCGGGATAGTGAAACTCAAACACCGAAGTCAGAATCCGAACCGGCAGACGAGGAGGATGAAGAAGAGGAGGACGATGCGTTAGGTAAGTGTTAATCACTCCATCTACCACCGATTTACCTCTGAAGTCATCTAGAAGGGAAGGGTTTCCGTGCTTTTTCATGTGCTCTTCGGTATAGCTCATTGAAGTGACACCATGGAAATCGTAGAGCAGGGATTTAGTAGTTGGTTGCTCTCTGTGCGGGATTCTTGACTGGATTGTATGTTATTAAAGGCTGTCGGGTTTGATTTCGGTTGCGAAGCTTCCAAAAGCACTTGATGAAGAGTCGTGGCGCCAGAACTTAACGCATCAATAGCATCCAGCCATGCTTAACATCAACTTGCCAAATTTATTATCTTAATAGGTGACAAAAAGATTCTAAGACTCATTTTTGCGTGAACTTTAAGGGTGGTAACATATTAAGGAATTTGCTGTTCCTTCTTCTATCGGTTATTGCTTTATTTAAAGAAGTGTCAACACTGTACGATCTAACCAGACCATCCTGTTTGTCTCAATTACTGGTAATCTAGACGAGACGCCAGAAACATCGGATCTAGGACTAATTGAAAGCTCCTTCGAAAACTACGACGGCGACATCTTTGAGATTTCCCCCAAAAATACTTCTAACTACATTGAGGAGGACACTAAGGAGGAAAGTGATGGTGAAGTTGATCAAGAGGTTACCCTTGAAAACTCGAGTAGACCTCAGCACATATATCCTCCATCGGAGTACTACAGGGAGTCTTCCAGGTCTGCTGAATTGCCAGAGGGTATCAGGGAGCCGAACTATGACGCAGCACGACGCTATGATGCAGAAGAGGCAAGACAACCAGTTTATGAGCCACCCATAACTGCAGAAACGGCCTACACAGTATCCTATGGCAGTCAGCGTAAGGAATTACCGCCTGTCGACGATAACAGGTTGCTGTATCAACCAGAATTAGATGCAAGTTACCGCCAGGAGGCATCGCAATCACGAATACCGATGTATAATGCATATGCAAGGCCACAGGAGACCACAACTAACTCCTATGAGAGACGAATGAGCCAAGTGGATCAGTACTGGAGAGAAGAGGAGAGGCGAAAGCGGATTTATGAGAGCCAGAATACCTACAGACATCCTTTGGCTAATGAACGGATCGACGGTTGGGATCAGGGTGACTGCACCTACGACTCCATGGGACGTAAGTTGACCAGTGTTACGGTCCTTTTATGTCTGTCTAGTCGGTGAAGCAGACGTATTTTGAAGTGGGACCTGAAACATGGTAGGCTTCATGAATTGAATGTAGTTCCATGCTTCCGTCGAAAGGACAAAATTGCGCAACATTTGCCAAGGTCGAGCTGTCAAAGTGGGGTTCAACCTTGGGTGAAAGACAAGTCCACTTCTACTTGTCGATCTTGACTCGATTAAGATAAGCCGCGCTCTGCTGCCTGCCGCAACTCAGAACTCATAACTGGAGAGATCAGTGGCTAACCTCTGGAAATTTAGCGACCCTTTTATAGGTCTCTGCAAATTTACCGATTCAGGAGCCCTTTATGGAAGCACTCACCAAAAGACGCTTTATTCAGCTCTGATAGACACCTGCAGCACCCTAAATGGTATCAAGAGGTTTCTGATTTCACCTAAGTACCAGACGCTAAGCAACGAGGCGTCCTTGATAATCAGGTCAGTCGAGGGACCTTGCCTTGGGGATAGGATAAAATTTCCAGGGTCAATGTAGGGGAAAAATTTCCTTAACTTTTCTTCGCTTTTTGGGATACCACCTTGAAATCGCTTTGAAAGATAGACAAGCCATCGCAAGTCAACTTTTTGTAGATGCAAGTAGGCTTACATTATTGTATTTCTACAGAATACAGTTCAAATTCACTCGAGCAATCTCAACCTACAACAAGTTATGCGTCTATGGGATGTCTAGTTTCAAATGCTCCACTCATTGAGTGACCACAGTGATAAAATGACTGGTGAAATCAGAGCTACCCAGATGGCCTAGGGCCTAGCAGCTGGACGTCCCAGCACAGCATAACTGCACTTGAATTAGATACTTGTGGGTCTTGCGTCATCGTTGGAAAGAAGCTTCATCGTGTCTCACATGTACACGCACAAGGCATCTGGAATTGTACATGTATGTCACGTGGGTCAGGTACAGCGAGTGGGAAACAGGCAGACGTGGCGCTTACTACTGCAGGTAGTGTCGCCATGACAGCACACAATTTATGGCTGTAGAATAAACCGTCCTGGATTATGGGCGAAAATCGCACTTACTGTTAAGAACAGTCGCTCAAAATTTGTGGCAGATAGATGGCGTACTACCATCGAGAAGCCACTGACAAAAACTCCTCGATAAATGAACAAAATTTCAACATCTCATGCCACCTTCCCTTTGCCAAAAACTAAAAATTTAGAAGTCGAAAATAAATACAGGCTTCTTACTACCTGCATATCTTCCGTTTCTACATTTTATTGAAGGATTTGGGCCAGATAGACACAAGTAGATGAGAGGTAACTGAGGAAAATCAAACAAGGTTTCCCATCTATCATGAAAAAAAGTGATAACAGGTAGAGTGATTTCAGTGCTACAAAAGCGCCATCCTAAAGGCGCCCTGGCACTTGACATTTTGTTATCAGATCAAGATATCACGGTCTTGGCAGCTTCGTCATTTGTACAATAGTAGGAAATTTCGCTGTAGATATTTACACCATGTTAGCACTAAATTTAAGTGATTTCGGCTATTCAACATGATTTGATAGCGAAAAACCTACATAATAATTTACAATAATCAATCGGCATAAAAACTTACAGAATTTACGTATTTATCTGGAGACGGAAACTTGGATTGGGATGGAGGAGAGGCAAGCTACGCAATACTGCCCCATCCTCCGTATACTTCTAATGGTATTTCTTTAGGCGGTAATTGTCACTCATTCGTGACATTCGACAACTGCGCAAGAGAGATAGCAGTGACTACCCTTTGTCTCAGGCTTTATAAAAATGCCCAGCAAGATTGCGTTTCTTTGGAAAAAAACGTGTTATTTTTGAGATTGTTTTTACAGCCAAAAACTTCAGAAGTTCGAGCAATTGGGTTCTTTTAAGTATCGCGCCAACTCATTGATTACCTTTGATTTGGGTTTTCAAAAATTAGAACAAGTCCAATTATGTCGTTTTATTGCTGTAAAGATGTGCTTTCGGAAGTTGGATACCCTAATTAAATAAATTTAATTCTGGATTTATTATAAGAAGTCATTTTATCCATCACTTTTTTCTCCATTTCCACTAATATATAAAATTCTCTGTGGTATTGAATTCCAATTCGCATACTAAATCAAGACGAATAACTGTGCTAACGTTGTTTTGTGTGTGCGTTCGTGGACTATTTTGATTCTATACTTACATGATTTTACTCATTTGTTAGATTTATGCTTATGCACAGAGGTTCCACATATGGAAAATACTGAAAATGTTCGGAAATTTTGCGCTCGGATTATAAAAACAAAAAAAAATACGAAACCGATTTTCATGGATTTTGTTGCTCTCCGAGTCCTTTCTGAAGGCAAAATACTTCAATATTCTAGGACAGAGTATGTATTGCCAACGTTCATAATCACTTAGGGGCTGCTGACATGGCCCAGAAGCCATGCTCCCCAGTGGAAGTATAATGGCGAAGACCTAAGCTCTCACGTAGCTAAAACGGATAGCTAAAATGCAACTAAATTTCTACGGTTTACGTTGCAATATCCAGGATAACGCAGCCAAGCAATGTAATGAATAAATCGGCCACTTTCTGAAATTCTGATGAAAAAAATAAATAGACCTGCAACGATTACCCACTGAATTATAGGACCAATTCATATAAGTGTTTTATCTACTATACAGGTCCAGTGAACTGTCTAACCGGAGCTTCAAACAGCTATAACACCAACGACGCCATTTCAATGAAAGTGCCTTCATCGCCTCCATTGCCACTTTCGCCAACATCGAACGAGAGCTCTGCCAGCACGGAGGTCGAAGCAGAGAAAGCAGAATCAGAGGCGGAGCGCAGCGCTTTCCTTCGCGCCAATCGTGTGTATTTGAGTGCTCCGCGTTGGCCAGTGCGTGATATGGATCGCCTCGGCTCTTACCCGCGCCACCCCGCCTGTCGGCTGCAGCCAGAGTGGGGTGTGGGACCAGAGGAGCGCTCCGCCTGGTTTTATTCACAACCAGATGGTCGATGTCTCTGGTTCTCCTACAATGGTCACGGCGGCAATGCAAATAGGTTTTACTCGAGGGCTAACTGCGAGTCTCTGTGTGTCTTTGATCAGTTCGATTTGTGCCAGGTAGGAAATTCACCCAGTCAACTTCATCATTGTCGTAATTCAGTATACACCTTCCAAACATGTAAAACAATGGTTGCAAAAAAAATAAAGTAAATATGTGCCTAGTTAAGGATACGCATCTATGAGGCATATATGGGTGTCAGTCCGCAGTTTTGCCACATGCATTGCTTAGACCTGATGCTTATGCTTTAAGCCCATCAACTGGGCAACCAAATTTGAACTTGTTATCAGACATTCTGGTACCGAATTTGGAAAGGGTATACCAAGAAAAAAGGGTAGAAAAAAAGTGATGATAAATCTTCGGACGGCAGTGCATCACATGGGAAATAGACTTCCTCCTTTTTGATTAACACAGAAAATTCTATCACTAGTAGAAATGTTCAAAATTACTTAAAATGTAAAATAACAACAGCACGAAGACTTTATTCATCTTTTTCTATTAGCAGACAAGGTATAACAACAACAAGCACCTTTCCCCACAACACACTACACTTTAAACGGTGAAATAGTCGACCGAATTCACCGAACTTTCCTCTCAAGTCGAAGCATCGTTCCATCATGCTACTTATTTTCGTGCACACGAGCTTTTATTTCTTTAAGATTTTAATCGCCTACTTGTAAAAATTCACCAAACCACTAAAAGTACATTCCTAAATCGCAAGTAGTCCTACTTAAAAAATGCCTTTTTCATGACAAGTGATCTAGATCGTATTTCCCAGTTGTTTCCTATTGTTTGGCTTACGTTTACACATTGTTACAAGATTTTTTCTAACTTTTGGTTATTAAACTTTAATGGCTTATTTTCAGTTTATTACACACGCTATTAAATGATTCTAGTCAATTTAAACACAAACAATGAAAAAGTTGTCCTTGTAAATAAACTATGCTCTTTACAATCATTCAGTAATTATTGACGTCCTTTTTGAACGTTAACTTTTGAATTGGTCTTGATTGCAAAACTGACAAAAAATCGTTAATTCTTAAAACAGTAGCATCGGTTTTTGTTTTAAAGTTTACCTCAAATGAAATATCAATTTGTGCACTCACTATGAGATTCCTAAACTATAGCAATTTTGCATTAGAATGCGTTAAAGCTCCTTTATTTACACCTTCATAGAAAATGTGTGCGTGTCTAGGCGACAAGTCGATAGTTGCATGTTTGCTACCTAACTCGTAACCGCTTCATGAATGACATTTTTGACACCCATGTGGTACCTGAATAATTAAGTTTGGCGACGAGACATCTGGTAGTGTAACATCACCTCCTGTTGTCATGGTAAGAGGAACAACAAAACTACCAAATGTTCTCTGACTAAAAGAGTAATTATCTCTCCTCAGAACGCCAGATGTGGTTATCCGGGCAGCCACTGTATGTTGAGAGGCGATGAACGCTGCAAGGCCCACGCGAAGAGTCGTGGCAGAGAATTTGACACTGAATGTCCGCCCGACCAGCCAGTGTGTCGAGCTCGTCGTGCCATCATACCTCCGGGTACGTTCCTGTCTCAGTAAAATTAAAATTACCATTTAGAGGGCGGTAGAATTGATCCAGACTGTTAGTGAGGTCTCCGGATCACCACACATACTCCCAACACACAGAGCATAATCTGGTGCCGATTACGTGATGCGTGCGTTAGAACCGATGATCAGCTCCTTCACTTGCCATAATGTCAAAAAGACCTCCATCCTACTCAAGTCAGCCAATGAACAAGTTGTCATGGCGGAATTTACGGAACCCAAACAGAGCTAATTTCAACTAATGGAGAATCTAGAAGCTTAAGCTTTGTTTTCAATTCGTTATCCGTAGAATACAACACGGAGCTGATTCCGTACGAGTGTACAGAGCATGTGGATACGGGTGGGTGTTTATTGAAGAATCCGCAAATCCGCTATCACTACGATGTCGGCTCGAACACCTGTCGTGCCTTCTACTTCCACGGCTGCGGTGGCAACAACAACCGCTTTGAGAGCATGCAGGAATGCATGAACCACTGTGCTCTTTGAATTTCATCTCCATCTCCCGCTTAATCTATTCATGCACACAGTGCCATTTCCTCTATTAATCTATTTCAACATTATTCTCACCTTTTAGCTTAAACCTTGCCTTCCTTTTGGAAGGACGCATTTTTATGGGAAGAGAATGATATCCACCCTTGTTTTTTTGTCGAGGACTGTTGAAGCCACTTACCCTGTTCTCCTTTCTGCGTTGATTTCAATGGGCAACTTAGTCATTTTCCAACGTCACATGACTGTGGTACGACAATTTATCTTGCCTACTCTCGGCGTCACAAATGTGTGACACGCGCATTACATCACATCGTGACAGATTAATTTAGTGGTAAAAAAAGTGGTTTTGATTTAAAAAGTACTTTGGATTGGTGAATTTGGCTGTGAAAATTTTGGTATCGGTGCCTATGGTGGTTGCTCCTTTCCCCACGGGGGAGAAGGGTGGGGAGTGTAAAAATCGAAAAAATGAAAGAGGAGGAAAAGGCAACCTTTACCAAATTTTAACTGAGAAAAATTGTGTAAAAGAAAGTCAACAATAGGCTAGAATTAAGACACCAAGAAAGTTAGTACAGTTTTCAGTGGAAGTTGCTGTAACAACTTCTCGAAACACGAGGGGTGACAAGAAGCGGTGGGACAGTTTATATGCGTGCATTATGGAGGAGGGAGGAAAATGAGACACTCCAAGTCGGTGCGGTACCTCCTCATTGTGCTTTCAATCACCTGCCTCATCGGTTGAACCTGATGTCAGCGATTCCAAGTGATCTGACATCGACAAACCAGATTGATTGCGACTCCAAACGGGAGGCTGTGGAAGGTTTCTGCTGGGCTCGGTATACAGTGGGAAAGGTAAGAACTTTCTAACTTTTAGTGAGGTAGTTCCAAATCTCCTTCAAAACGGTTATTTGACGATAGATTACACGATGAAAAGAGTGGACGGCATTTTGGCCAGCCTTATCAGTGAATGTCTTGCAAATAGTCGTTCAAGGATTCCAGAGCCACCACAGCATGTCATTAACACAGTCAAGTGGCTTAATAGTGCATCATTTCCCTATTTCCCTCGACTTGCCGTGAATATTCGCTTAGCGTTCGCCCACAATGGAAGTGTAGGGTGGATGTAGTTATGGTTCATAGAGCTTTTCCCCCACTGGGAACCGGGCTGATACTTGGTATTCAAAGTACGTTGGCCTAAAAGAGGCTATAATGTCACTCCGCGTTGAAGCTAGTCATTATAGGAAGCGTTTTGTGGTATATGGTTTATCAAGATGTTCTGCGAGTGTACAAAATGATCGCAGCTATCAAACAATCCGTTACGCAATACTTTGAGGAGCATTATGACAAAACACTGAACTACCCAGAACTTCCATGTGTGAAGACCAAGAGGGATTGTGGAATTGTAGAACATTTTGCCACTTTAAAGTGTCAAGAAGGATCTTGGAATTATTGCCACTGCCAGAATGAATTAAGAATTTGTCGGAATTCGATTGATCCATGAATTGGAGAAATATTTTAGCATCAAAATTCTGATTGGGTTTGAAGGAGTTGGATCCAGGTAGATTTAAAACGCGGCAATTGCCAGAACTGAGGCTTCGCTACTCCAGCAGGACGAGAGAATTCGGCAGGATCCGTCACTAAGCTTCTCAATTGCGTGATCGTCACCAGGGTTCCCGATCGTGCCAGAGATGTTGAGAGGATACGGCAGACTGCCCATACATTTGGAGTACGAATGGAAGTACGAAGAAGCGTTCTGTGGAAAGCGATTGCCAATTTGCCGCAGTTGTTTAGAGGTTTTCGTAGGAAGAGAGTGAAGCTGGCTATTTTCGTTTTCTACTGGCACCAAATGTATCCCCACATTAAGCGCCGGGTGGGTCCATACAGCTTTATCTTCACTCAGTGTATAAAGAATAACGTGAAATATCTTTACCAATCGCCTACTGAAGGTAAACACCAAGGTAATTGGCGAAATGGTTTGTCCAGAAGCCGGAATGAGATTGTGGGCGCGGCCGCCACTCATCCAGACCCAAAAAACGCCAGTTGGGGGGGCCACAACAAAATCAGTCGCCGCGGTAGTTGCCTCGATTTCAGGCGATCCCATTCGCCAACAGGATTAAGCGCGAGAGGACAATACCGCTTAAGCGTATGTTGATGAAGAAGGTGACATCCACATTTATTTGCCTTTTGCTTTCTCCTAGTGATAACCAGGTGAAAAAGTCAACTAAAAAGGAAAAGTTTTGGAGTCACCTGCATGCCATGCGCAAGCAGGTGACTCCAAAACTTTTGTGGATGTCAGTCAGACAGCCATTTCCTCCACGTAGACTACGTAAACACACTCTTGGAAAGGACTGTTTTCATTGGATGAGGCAAATCTTGATGTGATTCAATGTCGGGCAAAGAAGCATATCATTGGTCAATCTAAAATTGTCCAATCACGGTGCTGACAGCATTCACATACATATATTTAGGGCACCCGTGACATCCCAGTGGTAAGCGTTGTGGGTGAGTGGATTGGTGTGAATGCCTGGTGGCCTACAAATGCGCCTATTCACATAGTACGATACAACTGGAAATAGCGTAGGATACAACCAGGACAACGAGGATCAGTGAATTAGTCCGTAGGAGCAAAGTCCAATTTTGTTGGGCCGACAAAACGCAAGACCTGAGATTTCGTGCCATTGTGAAGGCTGCCCGTTTGAAGATCTAACACTGTTGTATATGAGGCGAGGTGGGAGTGGAGGGGGATTGGAGCGAAGGTAAAAGACATCGCCTTGGCTTCCTCCTTTCCTGCAACGCCCTGATGGCATAGCTCTGAGCAGTGCGTTTCGTCCTTCCTCAGCATTGGCGTTCGACTGTCACACGCGCTGTGAGAAGTGATTAAAGGGGTTACCTGTAGTCTAGGTGGCTTGTGTCATCGTTCGGCTGCATTGGGAGGAGGGAATGTGATTTTGACAACTGATCACTCAAGCGCCCTTCAAACGGATTTTTTTCCAATTCTCCCCCGAGTGATTTGGGACCCACTTTTATGCTCTACGCGTCTCACAGTACTATATCAGTGAGACCTACAAGTGATTTTCTCCTCAAGTTCAACAATTATCTCTGAAAAGTAATTATTTCTCTGCCATCTTGACCGCGCACTGATGCGACGGATATTTTTTTCGTCACAATTAAATTCCATATAGCCATATATGGCAACTAGACCAACCAAAACCGATCTACGTTTTCCCCACACATTATGTTAATTTATTAGGGTTAGAGGAGCGACAGCGGCTCTCCATAAGAACCGACCAATCCTCTTGCTAGTATGTGACCATCAGTATTTTGGGGGACTTATTAAATGTTCTACCCCTCAGTTATGACTCAATTAAGTGCCTAAATCGCCACAATTATAATAGAACTTGGAACTGGTGAAAGGAGTTAACTGAAGAGTTTTAATGTCTGTGGAAAAATGGTCAGATTGTTGCTTAGTTGGATCAAAATTAACCCCACTTATTCCTAATGCTCGAAATATATGAATGACTTGCTAAAAACCTACAATGAAATGTTGGTTCTAACTGGGCCTTAACTAATTTCGAAGGCAATCGGCACCCACCCAACGCCTACTTAAAAGTCGTCCAAACATTCAATGCACCCAAACAAACTGCAAAATATTAATCTTGTTTAATTTAATATATTGTGGGCAGTAGTTCTTCCTTAGGTACAATTTTAAACTCGCAAAATTCGACAGCTAAATTACTAACTCATTTTAAAGTCTTTGGAATAACCTTGCAGTTAGGTGAATAAATGGATTTATTTACAATTTTCTTTCTATCAAAGCAAAAAGATGAATTTGTTTTACATATTTTAATGGCGATGACCCAAACTCAGTACAATAGTTTGCGTAGACATGCCTATTACAAAGATGAACTTCTTTTGAACAGTAAAAATTACTGTATATAGGGCAAGCTAAACACTCGTTGATGCAACTGCTACTTGGACATTATGCAGTTATGGCAAATTGGATATTACATGAGGGAATGTTTGATAAGACAAACAAGGCTTGAATGACAAACTCGGGAAACTCGCGAGGTAATTTTCGTCACACATTGTGTTCGTAGAGTTTGCCTAAATCGTCATTCAGCCCTGAGCAAGAGTGGGAGTGGAATTTGGTTTGGATACCTCCAGAAGCTTGTCTATTTGGCCTCTTGTGGTTTTTCAGCACATGCCTCCGATTGTACACATGATGCAAGGCTTCTTGACCAAGTCTGTATTGCATAATTCTATTTTGCAATCGTTCCAGTTCACTGGATGTGAATATTGACGGTAAAAGCCCCATGGACTGGCAACAGTTGCAGGGACAATGATAAGATGTGTCCATCACATTACTGTGATGCTCATCCAGTCGCATTTTCTGCATCGGCTCGTAGAGTGGTTCCACAGAAAGGGGTCTAGCTTGATTGCCACTTTTGTCTTGATGCCTTCTTGGCCCTCTAGATCGTTCATTAGATCTTGAACACCCAGAGCGGCCCCTTGGTGACGTGACCGGTGAACTGAAATACCTTGCGTCAACTGTTTTAGCACGTCTCCGACGAGGTGTCACTTTCGTATTTCCCGCACGACATGTCATCTCAGTGACACTTCGAACAAAGTCTAGCCCCAATTTTAAATTAGGTGCAAAGAAGACAAGTAAGTCTACTGAATTTTCTTCTTTAAAACCTCGTCGAATAGCAATAACGACGAGTGGTGGACGTGGAAATTGGCGGTACTTTAATAACCAGGCGCTCAGCTGAGTGTCCAATTCGTGGAGATTCGACTCGGGAATGGTGTAACGCGCATCGGAAGCCCTGCGCAGGTAACCATAACACAGGCCTGACTGCCTTCGAGAGGCTGACTGCACCACTTCAAAGCAGAGACAATCACAGAGGACAATGCGTTCAAACTTATATACATCTCGTTCGTTGATCAGAGTTCCCTTTGTGTCGAAGCTACGATAACGCCAACTGCGTACGCTAAGACAGTCGTCCTCGAGAGAGACTAAACGCGATTCAATGGGATTTTGTATATCAAGTCTACTGAAGGGGATCCTATTCTCGAGAGCTTGTTTAAGATAGGCGATGTAGTATTCCACAAGTTGGTGATGAATGGCGTCGGTATTGGAGTACCCAAAGTTGCGGGCAGTAAAGCGACCCAAATATGTGAGAGAGAAGGTCTTATCACAGGACATCAAATACGTAAAATGAGGCAGCATACGAGTATGTGTGTATGCGAGTCGTGACATGGAAATAATTTGCATAGCGAATGCACGTGTTCCATGGCGAAAAGACATGTTAATTTACTGGCAAGGTTTACTTATGTTCCCCATGCATTTCCGCCTTTGTTTAACGTGAATATGCTCCAGAAAAGGACAGGTCTTAGCTATTATTTACTAAAGAGAGGAGAAAGGTCACAAAGTCTGGTTTGTGGACTGATTTAATCATTTACCATAACAAGTCATATCACGAGTTCTAACCAGTCAATAGTTTAGTGTCAAAGTGGTTAAACAAATAAAAGTGCCACAGAACTACTGATAGTATCGGCTGCACCCGTAAACAAGCCCCTAAAGTCCAGTTCTAAGTGCATGAAATCAGGTGTGGAAGAGAGACACATTGAGTCCATTGCGGAATTGACTGAACTAGTTTAAGCAGAAAGAAATTTCTTCAGAACATGGGGTTGTTAAATAATTAGTTTAATGAAGAACTATGTGATTACTCGAGCTCTTTATAGTCATTAGGATGCTATTCCGTAGGTAAAGAATAACTATTCTTTGGTTACTTAGCTAATTACCAAACCCTGAAGTCGAGGAAGGAGGGCGGTGCTGCACCTATTATAAGGTTTTAAATATATGGAAAAATGATGCCCCGTTCGTTTCTCTACTAGATGGACGGAATACATGCAGAAAGATAAAGGCACTAAAATGCGAAAAAGTAGAGAATTTGAGTCGAAAAAGAATAAAGACAGTGTAAAACTGGTTTTAGATGATGTACTTTGCTAAGAAATTCGCTTTCCGGATAAATTTAACATGAATAGCAATTAGCATAAGAAATGCACACGTTAATGCGTGTTTTTCAGTCTTGAATGGTGCAAGAATAAAGGAGTATTTTTTTAGTAAAGTTTTGAAATCAAGCACTGCTCTAGATACAACGAAATCTTAAGATGCGTCACTGATGTTGTAATCGTGTCAGCCTACAAAAGCTCTATTCCTGCTCAGCAGCATGGCCTTCAAGCCACGTGAATAGATTTGTCACTTTTTATGTGCCAGTAAAAAGGAATCCTTATAGCGCCTTTAACTATTGCTACCCCCAAAATTTCTCTGAGATCTACACACATGTGATGCATTAATATTTCGTTTGACGCTGAGTTTGAGCACATGGACACCAAAGTCTCTGTAGATGGCACTTAAGCTGGGTATTTTGGCCTCCTAAGTGCAACAGTAGCCGTACAACCCACCTGTATAAAAGGAATTTTTGTCTTATGCTATTTCAGCCTCATCCGATCCCAGAATAAATTGGGTGCCTCTTGTAACCAATGAATATAGAAATTCTTCGATTAGTGTGCATTAGAAGGACAAGAAATGCACAGGTTTTGTTATCAGCTACTTTAGCCTTTTTAGGGTGCATGCATTTACCCCACTTGCATTTAAAACACAGCAGTTTTCTCGCTATATTTTCTCCCGCTAACTATACTCAAAACCTTGCTTTGCGGTTCCCTAAATACATTTTAAACAGCTTAATATAAAATACGGTAAATAAGGTTGGTTGCACGTAATGCCTTCATGATAGATTCAATGACAATAGAACTTTGTATATTATAATCTGAGGCGAAAGACCTTGAAATATCGTTTTCATGAGTCATCGACAGCCATGAAGCGCTTCATTCGACGCTGCTTACGTTTGGTCGGATTCTATACGCTGTTTTTCCCCGCGGGATGGGTGTTATTTTGAATGCATAGTAAATTAATGTTCCTGTGCAGGTAACTTTTTCTTTGATTTTTTTGCTTGAGCCTCCTAGCCTCGGCTTTGTCCCTCTTCAAAATTTCATAGTCTTTTTCGTATGTGGAGGTTTAATGAAGACGGTATTGCTAAACTGTGCTTAGCGTTAAAAGGATCATCACTCTTTGCTTATTGAGTTTTAGGAATGTTCACATCAAATTTTTCATGTCTTTGGGGTCGGCTGGATTAATAAACATATTTGATCCTTAAACTGCTCAAGAAGTTACATGAAATGTCGTTATTAGTCCCCGTAGCCCATATATGATATCTTTCGTGCATGTATCCAGTGCAAATCAGGACGTTTTTTTTTGGATGCTAGGATTTGTTACCGTAGACCTTTATTTGCTTTCAGGTATAGGTTTTAGAACTGATTTCATCTGTAAAAATGCAGTCAGATGTTTCAGTTTTAACCTGCACTCCACAAAACACTCCTCAACGCCTTCCACACTTCATTCTTGGACTAAAGAAGGAGCCGAATCACCTCCCTACCTGTGTCGTGGATGGATCAGCTGATGTGAAGAATGTCTTCCTTTCTCACTTGGGCACCAAGCCAAGCGATTTCTACTCCTCTTCTCTTCTGCAACCAGAAACACATAAGGTCCATTTGGACAGTGTTGATACCCTGCTACGCAACAAGTCTTACGTGGAACCTCCTTCCAATCCTGATAGCGACCTGAATGAATTACTCCAAATCGTAAGCGAGCGATCATGTTTCACTGACGAGAAACCTCTAACTGAGTCAACGAATTCCTTTTGGTTGCCGAATCCTCCTTCTCCTGCCATTTCTATGGTGAAACACGAAGAGTCACTGAAATCAACTAAGCTTCCGACGGTTGATCAGATAATGAAATTTCATTCGAGAAATGCATCTACTTCTGCAGGTGTCCTTTTTTCTACCCCATCAAGCTCGTCGTTGACTGAGCCGCCTTTCGAACACTCTTTACAATTCCCATCATCGGCTTCTTCGGAGAATTTTGCTTCCTGCGCTGTGACGGCTCCCCAGTCGATGTTGTCATCACTAGATTCTAGTGAAATTACCTCAAAATTAAGTTGTAAAGTATGTTCACCTGCCTTTTTCATTGGCTTAACAAAGGCGAACTCTTGTTTTAAACTTACTAAATCTTATCGGCTTCCACATATTTACCCCTAAGTGATCTTGTTTTCGAGTCCTTTTGTCACGAGTTTGATAATGGCATTTACGTTTTTGTCAAAAATTAGTTCGCATAAAGGGCCCAACAACTCAATTCTTATCATTTTGAATAAAGCAGACCATGAATTACATTCCGGCGTCTTTTGGGTTAAGCTTTTGTTTCTCTTTTTTTTAGGTTTGAGTTTGGTTTCGAAGTTGCTACTTTCGAGTTAATGAGTAAAAAGTCATTTATTAATTTGCATTTGCATTCTCTCCTAGCCACTTCAACTACCATCTTCGGTACCTCATGCTCCTCCGCAAAGCAAATACGGCAGTGGACCAGCCTCGGTTAGTGTGTCATGCCAAGTCCCAAGTCATCAGTGGCGTCCAATCATCGCCTCCGACACCCCTGTCACTACACCCACTAAGGAAACCGAGCCGAGTTCACAAAAGTCGCAGCCGCGTTTTATCCTGCCTAATACCTCACGACCACCTTTTGAGGTATCTCTTGCCAAACAGACCCTTCTTGTACCCATCAACAATCCCTCCAGTGGTGCCGGGTCCCTCCTGCTCCTCCCTCTCGCTGTGGCAGCAGCTCTGCAGCACCAGAAGCAGCAGCAACAGCAGATGCCGCCGTCCACTGCACTGCTCACCTCCTTACCCGGCACTGGTGTCTCTGGTACCACGCAGTTCCTACTCATTCGGGCTGCTGATGCACCGAAGACTACTCCTGTTGGCATCATTCCCTCCAACAAAAGTGTGTTCTTGGATTTTGAATCGCAAAGTTTGTTTTTTTTTATGTTTAGCGAAGACGTATTCTTCAGTTTTCTCTCATGTCTAAAGCATCACCTGTTTACATGCTGTCGTGCTTTGTCGTTTAGATCTTTCATGAGCACTACCTTTTTGTGATTTTTATTTCTCTTTCTCCTGCTCGAAAAGTTTCGCAAAATGCCTCAATAAAAGAACCAATTTATCATAAGTTGATAAAAAATGCATGTCACGCTTTTGTGACGTTGGGCTCAGACAGGAAGTTTGGGGTGTCACGCATGCGTGACACTAGTAATTAACTTGTCGAAGATTTGGAATTCTCTGTAACCGAATGCATTTCATGTCCTACTATCAACAACCAATTTGCTTTACCGGTTTTGCGATTTGCCTGGTTTTCCATTTGAAGGCAATCATTAATTCTGTTTTCAGATTTCTTGGTTGTGATATACCTAGTTTACCCTATTTCATTGATGTTATCTTAAGTGGGAGTTACGATTGCATTGCATCTCCCTACTTGATCCGCCTCAACTGATTTACTCGAGTTAGCTGGAAGGCTTCGAATTGACTACGCATGTACGTCGCCTTTGGTCTAGTCAGCTCTCATTGTTTTTTATTTTAATGAAATCCAAATTTGGCGAGACCAAAAACAGATGTGAACTTAGAAAATTCACTACAGGGAAATTGGGGGTAGTGCCCATTCGCATACGCTTTTCCCTAGTTTTTCTGCATTTCTTCGTTCTCTTGGTGCACATAAAAATGTCTGACCAACTTATTTTTGGCTAGTGCACCTTGGCAAAAAGTTGCTCTTGGTTTAGGTTTGGCTACGGCAATGATCCTTGCTTTTCCTACGGATTTTAGATGACGTCACGCTCCCCATAGTGACCACATCATCCACTAAGCTGGTCAGCATTCCAAGTAAATCTGAAACGTTAAGTCCTCGTCTACCCCTTCCTCCATCATCAACAATGGCATCCACACCAGCGATAGTTACGTCGGTCAAGCCCTTGGCTCCTGCTGTTCTTCCACCGGCCGTGGAAATTCTTCCAGCACCGTCGTTCGCCAAACCTGTGACCCCTTCGAAACATCGTTTTTCCTCCGAGGAATCCAACACTGTCGTCTCCGCTGTTGTGGCAGCCGTTTCAACGCTAAGACGTCGACACCAGTGCCCCTTCTGCACAAAAAGTTGTGAGAGGAAGGACAACCTTCAGGCGCACATACGAACTCATACTGGTGCGTGCCTTTGTCACTCACGTAGTTATTGTTTACTGGTAATCAGAGTCTGCTCACTAGATTTAGTGCTGTTTGTCTATTCAATAGTGTTAGCTCCATTCGGTATGGTCTATGTACTGCTCAAGTTTTTTAGTGTCTTTGATGTTCTGAATACATTCTGGTGTTACCTGACCTCGATTCAACTATTTCACTTTCGATGTCGCCCTTCTTTCATTCTCAATCTTACCTTTTACAAGTGTATGACCGTAGATCCTCTTTTTGAATATTTCGCTGTGTGTATTTTCCAATCTTGTAGCTGTTCCGCGCTTTCTTGGCTAGTGAATTTAACTTCTCTCGCCTTCTTTTTTCCGTGATCTGCGATTGACTATTCCATTCGCGACTAGTGTGTCACACATGTAATGGACCACTTTTCTTACCTCTGTCTGCCTTCACTACCACCGGACTTTTGATAATCTGTCAATTTCACTTGCCGTGGTTGTCACATCTCCATGATTGCAGTTATATGACTTGTACAGCCAACTTTTCTCATTTAGCTCTACTTCATTTCTGATGTTCACAAATCAGGACTCTTCACTCTTCTTTTTGGCCTTGTTTCTCACCTTTCTGTACCCCAGTTACCTAAATCCACCCTCTGTGTGTGTGTCTCACATTTGACTCATCCGAACATTTCTTGTCATCGAAATTCTACTCCGCCTCTCTCGCTCTTGGTTTTGTAAATCGCATATTTGGCCCTAATTTAACAGAAAGTTTTTTGACAATAAAGGTATGTCGCTTCTCTTTTATTTTTTCTACTTTTAACTTTCCAATCCATTCGAAACCCTGCCTGCGTGTGGCCTCACCTACCCTAACTTGATTCAACTGTTTCCTCTTTTTTTTATTTCACCACTTTCAGGTCCATTTCTCCAATCTTGTGATTTAGGTTAGCAGTCGAAACTTCCCACGCTCCAACTTTAGTGTATGAGGCGTACTCTTTGTCTACTTCCCTTCCATCCTTGGTCCTGCCCTCCACATTTTTCTTCTGACGAATCCCTAATTTTCCTAACTTACCTATCTACAACCGTTTGATGGGTTATTCTTTTACTTTTTCCAGCTACCTTAGCCAGAAGTTGGAGGCTGAACTCCCACCTTCCCATTTATTGGCTCCTTTCTCCACTCATCATCCTTGTCAGGCATATTTCGTGTTTTTTTTTATCTAAAAGTCTGACTTAACAGTCTCTATTCGTTGTAAGCCTCCTAATTCGCATATTTCATTGACCTTCCTCCAAAAAATGGCCTTTGCGGAGTCGTTGGAGATGGGTTGTGATCTCTTGAACCCAGTGTTCCATTTACTACTGCATTTCCATATCTCTGAGATGTACCTTTTCTCCCTGAATTACAATTGCTCTCTCATACATACACTTCATAGTAAAAATTTCTTTACCTCACGAAGTGCCAATGCCTTATACAAGAAGTTGTGTACTATATGTCACTACATCATCTTTTGCCATCGCACCGTCTTCACAAAAAATTTCCAAACCTTTCTGCTATCAGACATTACCCTGTGCGCGTGTTTCTGCGTCTCCTACTGACGGGTCTTCGGGGTCATGTTGCTACCGCATCAACAATACTAAATGCCAAGATGGGGCTGTAGCTTGTTCGCTTACCAAAAAGCAGGCCTAAAAGTGATTAGGAACGGCTTGGGTGATCCATACAGGCTTTTCGTGCATCATTTCTGTACTTTTTAGTGTGCTGCAGTGCTATATTATCCGTGCACTCAGAAGTCTGGAAGCCTTTGCTACAACGGTGTTAAAAGGCACGTTTTTTTCATGAGAAAAAGAAAACACCATAGCCCATCAATAGTGTTTTATGTAAATAACTGAACAATATGAACAGGGAAGCTTCCTTTGTAAGTTGATTGATAATTTGGCAGTTAAAATCGTATTTTTGTTTGTTCTATTCCCTTTTTGGGACTGATTTCCATGCCTCTAGTGGCTCTTCGAAGTGGTGTTATTTCCGTCCGGATGCTCAATCATCTTGCTAACTTCTCAACTTTGGCCTTGACTTGTTTAATTTCTTCCACTTTCTCTTTCCCCTTTTTAAGATCGTTTTGTTCCTTGATGCTCTATGTAATTCCCCATCTTTATCTCATCTTCGCACCTTTAAAATATCGGTTCGGTGGATTGTTTGTGCTTTTTGTAAATGAACTTATTCCTTTGTTCATGGTTCATAAAACGTAAGGCACTTGGGAGGGGTATTTTGTAAGATTCTGACCTCCCAAGTTTTGGTAGTTTCCTCTTACTTTCACTTATCCAAAAGGAATTTTCTACACTACACAAAATTGCTCCTTTCCAAAGCATCTTCCTTCAACTCCTAGTCCCTAGCTTTCTTCCTTTTAGTGTGTGTCGTAGTTTTTATGGGTTCAACATGATCAACTCCTACTGCATGTGCTTCCAGTCTATTGCTTTTCTTTCAAAAAAACCCTTTTCCGTGGTCATAAGGCATCGTAGCTCCCGACTATTTGGTTAGATCTAAGCCTTCGCCCTTTTATATGGGGCTATCCAAAGCCCGCACAGCGAAAAATTTCGCTCTTTGTGGGTTTAAAAACCTCCACCGCGCAGTCATCTGAAAACGTGACTTATGATTGAAGAGAACTTTTGGTGGGGAGCAATCAAGCATCACTGATCTTCTCTTACTCTTGGTCTGCCCTAATCCGTTTCCCCTCGCCCTACTTTCGCGTGAGATGGGAGGGGAGTTTTCTTTAACTTTAATTACGCTTCATCTCACGGTTTTGCATGAAAAGCACTTATTTTCTCTTCTCGCTGATTTCCAAGCTAGCTTTTGAATTGTGATAGCTGTTATTTTTGATTTGATCAACCACAGTCAGAGAGAGCTTTCTGAGTTCCGGTATCCGTTGACGTAATCCACCGCTGCAGGTTGTCAATCCTCTTTTAAAGGGTCGTTAGTGTGGATTCTACTTTTCTAAAATGCATTGTCTTGAGAAGCAAAAAAGCCTCCGTTTCTGCTCTTTTTGGTCCTCAAATGCCATTACATAGAGAAATGTCATCCGTGAACTACGAAGAGTGGGGAGAGAAGTTGTCACTTTCCCTTCCATCCCATCCCATTCATAAAGTGTAGTATGGGGTGTTCTCGTGGGTAGGCCTCGCGGCTGCCATAGGTCTTACCTTAGAAAAAAATGGGGCCTAATTTCGACCGTTTGGTCAGTCTCACATGTTTCTAAAACATAATTTGGTCTTGGACACCTTCCAGTTGTATCGAGTGGAGACATGTCGGCTTTCGCAGTAACAATCTCGTCTGCAGTCCACCACAAACCCAATCACGCATACACACACACTTGGGTTTTTTTTGCTCATTGCAATGCATACAAAACAATTTTTGCACCACAAGTCAATCAATCAGCACAGGATTTAAAATGCGGGGCCCGTTTTCATAAGGTACATGAAAGAAGCCGTGGATAAATTGGCGGTTGTTTGATGCTCATCGGAGTCTACTAAGGCAACACCTGCACATACCTCCTGATTGAGATAGGTTCATACAAATGCCTTGTCAGGACTCACGTTAAACTGCTTTGAACTCTGGTGCAACAGTCATCAGAATCTAGTTGTCTGAAGCGTTTGTAAGTGTTACCTTCTGCTGCACGATGAACCTGATCAGGCGCTTCTTCATTCCTGGGATCCAGTTCAGTTTCGTAAAGCAGACAATTTCGAATCACGTCCATCAGGTTTAACCAATTTTTGATGGTATAAGTGCAGGTTCCAAGTGTAGGATACTGTACCGGTAGCCACAGGCATACCCACTCTTCATAATGGTTCATAACAAATCCAGCGAGATGGTTCTCCAGCTTCATGGTTCAAGTTTGATCCACTTCGCCAATCGAACCACTTAGAGCCATGCCCTTCAGGTTGGACTGAAATTTGATAATGTGAGGGGAAAGTGGCGGATTACACACAATACAGATTGCCGTACTGGTCGACTTAGTCCTGTCCACCAATTTATGACTCCGACACCTCCTCAGGAGTTACGATGCGACAGCACAACTTTCTTGGTCGCTCGACACACACATCATAGCTCACTGGTAATGCTTACACACCGTTCCGGTTTAACTTCACGGGAAGGCCTCTCTACTGCGACACTTTTGAGGCGTCACAATTCTTGATGCCTCTCCAACTTCTACGAATGCTTATCCCCTTCTAGCGAGGACACATTTGAAAGAACTCTTGCATTGTCCTTTTTAGTGTTGTTGCCTCTTCTTTTAACCACATCCATCGGGGAGCTTATTTGCTTCTCTGCCTTATTTTGTAATTTGGGCCATCTATTAGGTCAGTATCGCATTATCTTTTTTCTGCCACTCTTATGAAATTCCTTCCGTGTATTTGTAAACAGCATAACGTGATGTTTGCATCGCTTTTGGCTCAGTTTTCCGACATGGCTTGTTTAAATTCCAGCCTTGTTTTGACATTTAGAAATTTGTTTGGATTTTGGTGGAGGCCCTATAGGGTGTGGCGATGCGAGAGTTGGCTGCCTATCAGCGCAACCTTGCGTTGGGCGACGGATAGGGTAGGTGTTACGGGCGTGGCTTCCCGTCACCAACCCTGAGATCTACTTTCAGGCGTTTTCACTCCTGTAAGCCAGCATCGTTTCTGCTCCAAAAGTCTTTCTCACCCTTTTTATAGTTTCGCTCCAACTTTGTCTGTCAGCAGCATGCCAGAGCGAGAAAAAACGAGGGAGCTAATGTCTCCTGAGAGAATTTAACTCTAGATTTGCGTTTCGTAGAGCCCAAAAATTCTACTCATGCTAATTGCCCTTCGTTAAACAGTACTTTTGTGTGGAGGTCGGTTTTATATACTTTTTCCCATTCACTGCCACTCTTCTATGTTAGCTGTGGCGTTGGTAGGTATCGAGTCCTCAGGGTACGCTTACAAATCGGTCTTTATGCCTTAAACTGAAGTTGTGACGGTTTTCGATGCGATTTCGATAGCCCTTTTATTGTGATTCTTGACAGTTTCATTCCTCCTCAATATAAACCTTCCTTATTTTGCATTATGATGTGATATCCAATCAGAGAAATTACTCTTACCATCCTTTTGAGGTAAATTCGTCAGTGTTGACATCAGTAGAACGAGTCGTAAGAGATCTTTTCTTGTAATCCATTGTCTCATTCATCTTCCCTTACAGGTGAGCGCCCATTTCCCTGTCGCTTCTGTCCAAAGGCCTTTCCACAGAAGGATCACTTGCGAGCGCACATCCGAACACACACGGGTGAAAAGCCCTATCGCTGTCCGCAGTGCTCCAAGGCGTTTGCGCAACTAGGCAACCTGCATCGCCATGTTAAGACACATCGACAGTAGGGAGGGGCATTGGGTCGCCTTCTATCTCTTGTTTTCACTTACTCGCTCATCCCGAGTCTTCCCTCAATCCTATCACGTGAGTCAAGTTTTCTCCTTTGCCAAGTCACTTCATGGTTGTGGTGATTTTTGGATGCGTCTTTTCTGCTTGATTTTACTCCATTTTCTGTGGATATTTTAAAAGTGCATTTCTCTTATCTATTTCCTCGCCGATCAGAGGTGTCAAATTACTTTCATAGGTCACGTTTTTTGGTAATTTTTCAGAAACAACAGCGTTAAATTCTATTACTGTGAATAAATTAGGAGTATTTTCTTTGCTTTTATCGGTGGTAGAAAATATCTACCACCTTGTAGAGTTCTTCCTCCTTCCCTGCGTAATTCTCTCAATCACTTTGCTTCCCATCTTATCGGTGGGATATTTCCCCCCTCAAACGTGTCATGATTTGTGGTACTCGGAAATAGCTTATACCTTACTTCTGCTTCGTTTAGCCACTGGTAAACGTTGTCACATCCATAATTGATGCAGCATCACGTTAGTGAAGGTGAATATTCTCATACCGAATTTGTATTTTCAAGGGTCTCTTCGAGGGTATTCTAGGTTTTTCAACCTATAGATTCGTTTGAAGTCCTATAGGATGCCTAAAACCATTTCACTTAACTTCTACGCCTCGTACATATGTACAAGCCCTCCTTATTCCTCCTCCTCGTATACTCTGTGGTACTCAAGGGCGGTTAATAATTCATAATTGGTGTTATTTCATCCCAAAAGAATTCTTCTCTTCTAAGTGCCTTCAGAAGGATATTCCCCAGCGTTTCAGCCTCATTTCGTTATGGATGAAATGGGCCTACTCATTGTCGGTAACCAACACCTTTTAACTCGTCTACCTTTCATGCCTATCAGGATGCACAGCCGATTGTTTAAATTATTGCAAGACTACTTTATCTATTGAAAGAAGAGGCTCTGTGCAGGGATTAGTGTCCGAAAAGCCCTTCCACTTCCCGTATTAAGGCCTGCTGATTGTTTCTGCTTGATTTCCACACGCCCTATCGAACGAGGTCCATTTTCGCCGAATTTTGCTGCTTACCTGCATCCGTCCCAATCATACCTAGTATCCGAGATCAGTTTCTTGTTTCTTTTTCTTGGCTTCATATCCTTTGCGATTGGGTGGAAAGGGGCGCATTTTTTTGCACATGCCATGCACAGCTTTATAGCAAGGCTAGCGAGTACTTTTCTGTACTACTGTTTAGCAGCAAGCATTTCCCTTACCGCCTCCAATTCTTGTTCATTTCGCCACACCATTGTGTCTCTCACACGCATCATTAAGCACTTCTCTGGTTAATAATAGCCTGACTTCTATATGTGTTGCTAAAATGTGTTCGCTGGAATGCCTAAGTGCTTCATTTTATCTCACTCAGGCGCCACTATCTGCCGCATTAGTCCAAAAAAAAGATGCGTGCTACCCATGTTTGGGTCCTAACTACCACATTCGATCGCAATTTGTAGGAACTATAGGGCATTGGCATGCTTGAATCTCCCCATAGAGTACCTCTTGTAATGCTTCTGGCCATTTTCCTCCCATTTTAAACTCCCCCTCACAACATCGGCTTAGTTTACGAAACTAAGCCAGGCTTTAGACATGAAGAAACTCCTGGTCAGGTCCGTTGGATCGCGTTTGAAGACAGTGCGGTAGGACGTGATAGCATAATTGTCAGTGATAAATTGGCTCTATCTATGGCACCCACTCTGTCCGTCTCCCAGTATGTACTTGTGTTGGTAGAAAGCAAACTTCAACACTGACACATCAATATCAAAGCGAAATGCGGCCTAAATTTTAAGAAATGTCGAAAAACTGAATCTAAATTGATATGAACATTACCATCTTGGTGTTTGCAAACACACGAAGGCGATCAGATGAGAATGGTGGAAGGAAAGAAAGGAGATACTGTGATACTGACCTAATGAATGGCTCAAATTGCAAATTAAGACAGAGGAGGAAATAAACACTCATATAGCTGTGAGTAAATGAGGAGGCGTCAACATGAAAAGGACAATGCGAGAGCTCTTTCAAATGCATTCTTACTAAAACGGGATGGACACTTAGAAAGGCCAGAGCTCCATCAAGGATCGTGATGCCTCAAACACGTACGAAGTCGAATCTAATGTTAGGTAACCATTAGCCACGACAGTCCTGCGCTTGCGTCATGAACTGGTGGACAGGACTGAGCTGGCAAGTACGGTAATCTGTATTGGGTTCTCTCTACCACTTTCCTCTTACATCGTCAAATTTCGCTTCACTCCGAGGGGGATAGCCCCGGCTGGTTCGATTGACGAAGTGGATTGAACCGGATCCATGAAACTGGAGAACCGTCTCACTGGATTTGCCGTGTAGCATTTGGAGTAGGTGCAGTGTGCGTCCACAGAACGTAATGTCGACAGATATCGAATCGGTGAATGAAACCGCTTGTTCAGATTGTCCCTATGTCAACTGGAATGATTAAAGTTTTAGACTTTTCAGTAATGTTTCATGCGGGTGGAGCAGAGAAATTCGTGGAATCTACATAATTGGGTTCCATATATTCTCTGTATCAAGAGCTAACAACCAGCTTTTTGTCTAACTGAGAAGTAACCTTTGTATTCCAACGTTGGAAAAATGAAAATGTCAATTGTCACCATCCAGATGATCTGTTCACTACCCACACCACACTTTCAAGGTCTAGATCATTCCATCCCCCAAGAGCTTAGACATTGTATTTGTCTGTGTGTAGACGGGATCTTCAACCATGGATTTCTCACTGGAGGCTAGGCAGGAAGTACCGGCCATGTTCCACACACGATTAACCAAGTAACCAAGTAATATTTAAGCATCAACCTGGTAGGGTGCTAGCCACTTTGTCATTTGATGCCCTTTCATCACTTTTTTATTGACAAATAATTCACAGAGTGAACTTTGACCACTTTTTTGGCTCGATTTCATAATCAAATGTATCTGCTAATTAGTGCCCGTCATATATAAATGACGTTCCTACGGGGATTGGTTACAGGCAGTGTGTGTGTGGGTGTGTTCGCCTCTTTCCATGTGTGATGAATTTTCTTTCCCTCCCTCCTACATAGCAATGTTGAAAATTCAGTATCCAATGTTCCTCTTAGTACATTTTTTACATGGTTATGGATTTTACCACCTCTTCTGCCACCTTTCCTAATTTCCGCACTTTTCATATCGCTTAGAGGTCGTGCTTTTCCCATATTTCTCGGTGATATTTCCATCGTCAAATTGGCAATTATGAATTCATACTGTGAATGGTTGGCTTTGTCCGCATTTCACTCCAATCTCGTCACCCACAAAGTGTGTGGAAGTGCTTTGGGTGATAGTTAAATTGCGATGTGGCCTCCCTTTTACAGGTATGGTGTGTAAACAGGCCTGTAAACTCATTTTCTTGCCTACATTTGGCGACACTAATGTGTGGCGTGCTTTTTTTCCACCCTTTTTGGTGGATAACTGGTTGCAAACTGTGTAGGAGCTTTTCAATTTGGACGTAATGGTCAACTTTTTTTGGCCTGTTTGAATGCTAAAACTTCTTCGGGTTGTGGTGCTCAATACCCCTTCGGTGTAGCACTCTGTCGGTGAATCTGTCCAACTGGCGGTTTGGTTTTTTGTAGGAAAAAAAGTCTAGGCAACGTCCTCAAACATTTACTCACTGACTGGCACACGTCCATCAACTTGACGGTCTCCGCAGAAAAAACTCCCAATGCGGGTGTTATGACCTCCGGTAAAAGTGCAGCCGCACCAACAAGGGTAACAGCGGAAGCTGTCTCCGTGTTGTGTTCTTTTGTGGGCGCAAGTGCATCATCACCTGCTCAATAGTTCATTGTTGTTAGAAAACGAGGCTAGAAAGAAAAAAATGTGAACTTTTCTTCCCAACCAAATATATTCTCGCCTTTCTTTTAGAGAGTTGCATTAACTGTGTGGGTCTAGTATATGCGAAAAGGCCTTAGCTTAGCAGGAAGTTGCGAATGTCGGTTTCCAGTGTTGTCAAACCCGTCAACCGGTGCCTTCCCGGTGGATGGATTAGGTAGTTTTGGCTGAAGGTTAACCTCAGTAGCTCCGCCCCGCCCAGATCTCGTAACAATTCTTCAAATTCTGGTGCTAAGGCGTTTCTTCCCCTCAAAGCACACTCATTTAGTTGTTCTTCATAAATTGTGTAATGCTCGCATGCTATTCGCTCCATCAGAACGTCATTCGATGTTTTAAATCTGTCCCTCTTCTCATTTCTGCAGGTCTGAAACTTACCTTCGGCCGGTCTTTTCCTCTTTTTCGAGTGTCTCCGACCCACTTGATGTGTTTTCAGCTGGGGTTAACTTTCTTTTTAATGTGCCTTGACGCATATTTTGAGCCTCTTGCTTCGTCTTCCACTGAAGGCAGTTGAAGCTGCCTCACTTTTTTTGTGGAGCTGACCCTTCATTTCAAATCTTCACCTTCTTTCATCCACCCGGGACATCCGGTTCTCTTGTTTTTCTGCAGGTAGGTAGACAAGCCACCTTTCTTGGCAGGTCATTTTACTTGTGTTGTCTCTCCAGATTTGGTAATTACTTTCTACTATTTTGGTTTGGCATAGCTAAAGTTGGTGGTAATTACCTGTAATTAAGATTGCCCTTTCCTTTTAAAAGTTAACTGAGCGCACTTTACAGTGGTGACTTCCTTCAAAATATCACCTTTTCTTGTTTTCTTTCTTTCTAGTCCTCAGGGTAAATTGCTTCGTTGCAGAATATGTGTTCTTTCTTACTCTTCTCCTTTTTGTGGATGCTTCGAGCTTTATACTGATTTTATTTTTGATGGTTTGAGCGAATTTTAGTGGCTCTTAAACAAACTCGTCTCCTTTTTTGCGATGGCGGTTGGTGTTTACAAGTTTTTTAATTCCCCAGCAAAATGCTTCGGGCACGCGCTTTCAGCGGGAGGGGGGGAGAAGGGAAGAGAAGGTGGGGGCGAGACAGTTGGAGGTTTGGATGTGACAACTCTTACTTCACTCAGCGAATCTCTAATTCATCCCAAATCACTGAAATTCATCTACTTTGCTATCAGCCTTATCGTGGTTAGTAATTCTCTTCCACTTTCTATCCCCTCCCCTCTCCCCAAATTCTGTAATGGTAAACGATTAGGGTATTCTAATTAGGCTACTTCTACTCACTCAGGAGTTGAAAATCCAAGACTTTCATTTTCTCCTATTAATTATTCAAGAAGGTAAATCCGGTTATACACTTACTCCCTTCCTTCCTCTTCCTGTTTTTGGATCCGTGGTCCAATAGCCCTGCTAATAGAGGGTCCAGCCCTCTGATTGGCTACACTTCAGGGTAATAGAGTCAAAACTAACTTCGCTTTTTCACCCAAGCTCCACCTTTTGTCGTCTTGCAAATTAACTACCGAGTCTACAAGAAGTTAGTTTTTTTGTTGCTACTTTCCCTTTTTCCTTTTGAACTTTGACATACTTAATGATTTGGGAGCATTTTTCCTCCTTTTGGGGAAGTGGATTGGTCAATTCTGTATTTACAGTGCCATGGTAGATTTTTTCCTCGTTTTCATTTAGATTCGAGGAAGCACTTTTCCCGTGATTTGCTCTTTTACAAAAAATGACAAATTACGCAGCTAATGGAGTTTTCTACGATGAAATTTGGGCTGTATTTTAATCCACTGGGTTTATTGACACGGCAAGGTGATGGAGGGTGGAATTGGGCCACCACCACATTTGTCTGTCTTACGCACTGTTTTTTTTTTTCAATCATGTTGACAACTTAATTTGTCCCAAGTGGTGTGGTGCAGGACCACAGTGGTGGTAGTGGTGGTAATGGGTAACGACAAAATGCATCAAACTAGCCTAATTTATATGTGATTTTTTCCCCTCTTCTTGAGGCAAGGGGTAGGCGAGAAGTGAATTTAGTTGGTCTGCCACGCACTATAAACACACGGACAGAGATACACGTCTACTGCACATGCCTACACACACACTTCATCGGCTTCGCGTGTATGCAAATTCTTGGCCCACGCCGAACAGCGAAAGGCAGCCAGGTAGGCAGGAAGGAAGAAAGAAGCAAAGATCATCCTAATTTGCATTTTTCACTCATATTACGCCTACTGTGTTGCAGGCTTTCTCTCTTGATGGTTGGTAGTTTTTGGTTTTCTTTTGCTATTGCCCCTACCTACTACTCCACCCTATCGAGTGTGGAGAATTTTGCGGACTGATAAATCGCGGTCTTTTATCTGCCTTCCCTGTCTTAAATGTGTGTTTGTGTGTGTGTGTTTGATGTCTCCGATAGCAGGTGAGTGTGACTCCGGTTTCCACTATTTCATAGCTGACAGTTGACAGGCCAACTGTAGTGTGCTTCTTTTTTTCTGAGGTTCAGTGTATTTGTGTGAGGTTTATAAACTACTTAATGGGCGGTGGTGGCAATATGTATTCGATGGGAGGGTGATTGTCAAGGCACCTGATAACTCGTTGAACTCTTTGAATATGATTGATGTCTTCGTCTTCACATAATGCACACATTTTCAGCTATACCTTTTGGCCCCACTCTTTTTACAATGTACCCTGGAGTTGTCTTTTGGCATCAGCACCAGTTTAATAATCTGTCTCGCTGCAATGCATCCCTTGATCCGAGATTTCGTAATCACTCTCTCACTCGTGGGCGCAATCGTCGCTGTTTTTCATTGACTTATGCCATGTCATGTATCAGAATGAATTGGAGCAATTTGACTTGAGAAAGGTCCTTACCACCGTATGAAATCGGTCCTTGTTTCATAGTTCACGATATTGTCAGTTTAGTTTTGTTGGCACGTGTTCTACAACTATCAAACGAAATACGGGTATAATTCAACCCCAAATGAACTCTTTATAATGCCTCAAAAGTTGGTCATACGTTTTGTGGAGATATTTCAAAGTACAATGCAATTTTGATCTTTTGTGTTTTTTTTTCCGCTCATTTTCAGTGTCTGCATTACTGCCGAAAATCTACCTCGTGTTTCAACGCACGCATTGACTGTTCACAAATGATCAGCGCGCGTGATTTGGCATTTTACACTCGTCTACGGTGCAATATCTCTTCACCAGTGCAATAATCCCTTGTCTTCAGCCCCCCGTCCCTGCCCTCACCCAGCTCATCATTCATTAATTCACTTTCTTTCATTACCGACAAACGATTGTGCATGTGTGTGTGTGTGTGTGTGTGTAGTAGTTTTGGCTCTGTTTTATAGGCCAGAATGCATTCATTTGTAGCCGTCCTCCCCTCCCCCCCCCGCCTCCCCTTCCATCCCTTTTAGTCTCGCTATCTTCCTGTCTTCTCTACTTACCTATCTTGTACTTTGTTAATACATGAGCACTTCTTTGTTTTTTTCAACTTCGATGGCCTTGATTGATTGCTTCTTCCAGAGTTGAGGGTTGGGTTGAAACCTGTGACGAAGAGAAGTTTTTTTTTCCACTTTTTTTAACATGGATATTGATGAACTTGTGTCTAGATGGCTTTGAAAGTCCACTTTTATGAGCAGGTTCTTGCGACACTTAAAAGAATGCAGGAAATCTTGGTTGTTGTGTTAGGTGCTCCTTCTTGTCGTTAGTTGTTAGGTTCTGACGCAACCAGGCGTAATTCTTTAAAACAATTGACTCGCTCCTACAAAGTCTCCACCTCCATGCCCTCGCTGTCAGGGCTGCACATGTAAGTCGCCTCAGTTTTGTTATCTGACTCCAGAGGTCGCAAATGAGTGACGCGTGTTCTTTACCAATCTATGCTGTTTCGTTGCATTCATTGGTGTCGTAGGCTGTGACGGTCGATCATCCTCTAGTGCTCTGGAGGTCAGCTTGTTAAATAAAAATTCACGGGGGAGGATCACTGTGTTCTGGTGGAAATCCATCCGTTGTAACTGTTTAACTATGAGGAGGTTTTGACCACTGCATAAAATGGAGTTTTCTCCAAATCTCTGCATCTTACAACCTCATCAAGGCATCTAAGTCTCTTTCGCCTCACTGAAGGGTAGATTCAAAGTAGCAACTCAAGAAACGATTCCCAATGAAGGCATTATCAAGTGTAGTTACGCGCAAAGCTATCGGGGCTGTTACCCATCGTTGGTGTGCTCTCTACTCTCACCAAGTGTCAGGTCCGCCTGATGGAGGTGATTCCGTTTAGTCTGATTTACTAAGGAAGGTAAACTCGGATGCTAGCATTGTAGACTCGAATCAGTGAGCCAGCTTTTTTTGTCTAGCCTGCGGGGGTGTGGTATGCGATAGTAGAAGGTAACTCCCACTAATGCTTGGGGCAATGTGACTCTGGTGATGAATCACTCATCAAAGGCTACTGCATTGCGTTCATGCCCCCTTAATGGTGCAATGATGTAGTAAGCGCGACTTTCAGCAGTGTTTCACGTGAATCATGACAATCCATCTCATTCACACGCACCCACGTTAATGGAAATGGGAAGGTGAAGGCAGTGATCCAGTCGAAGCATGTGGGCCTCACTCACGTGCGAGAAGATAATGATGACTAGCTTCAAAGGCTACCAAATTTTGGCTTGCAAAGTTAAACCAACGTGATCATCGTTGGCAGTCCCAATACGATTCACTCATCACACACTTTTGAGTCACGCATCGTTTGTGCTCCGATCTGTCTACCTGGCAAATTTTTCACCCTCTGAGACAACCAAGACTGATCATATCACCTATTCTTGCAAGTCAATACAGAATTCCATGCCGTAGCACAACGCGTCTATGGGGGAATTTAGACTTCAGGAGGGGAGGGAATGGGATGAGCGAGAGAGCGCCTCATCCCATCCTCCACGTTCCTTAAGTCACAGGGGACTCTCCTCGCGCCGCATATATCACCGGTCTCTCGGTTTCTTTGTTTATTTGACTTAAAACCTTGACATTGATCTACGTATTTGATTAATTAAAAGCTGATGCGGCATTTGTTTAAATGCGTACGCTGAACCATGCGGGCACTTTAATCTCCACAACTAATTTCCCTCTGGGGCATAGCTTTCAGACCTCGCAACTCTCCTGTACGTTGGTAACGTATGTTTTACCATCCTCCTTTGACTTGACACGACCTTGAGGGGACTCAAGGCGCTACAGATTCTCACAACACTTAAAGTGGAGGGGCCTAATTTGATGTCTCATGTCCTGTCGAATGTTAGTGTGACAATTTATGTAATATCTGATCATGTCACCGCTCTTCTTGACAGATTATCTTCATGTCATTTTTAGCCCCAATTGAGCATCTTGTTTTTCATTTCATTCAGACATGACATGACGGGGCACTGCCCAATGAAATTCAAGTGCCCTCTTATTCATCAATTTAGTTAAACAATAGTCGTACACTATCAGAAAAAAAGAATTTTCCCACAAAAAACACAAATTAAGTGGGGTTTATTAAGACGTGGGCTCGATGGGATGTTGTGGAGCCGAACACCTAATACCTCTCCTCACATCGACTGCTCTACTCATTGAGGTAGCACCACCATTCTCCATCGTGAGGTTTTTCACACCAAATTTAACCAAGCATTTAATTAATAGCTCTAAATTTCCGTCACGATTTCCTTTAAAAATGGTAAACAAATGTCAAAATTAATCAATCCAAAACGAAAAATCAGTTTATTAATGATTATTTATAAAAAGAGAGGGAGGAGAACGGTGATTATGTTGAATCGAAAGGAAGGAGAAGGCAAATCACTTACATCCGAGGGATTAGATTGTCAGCGCATTCATATGGGTGGAAAGGGGAGAAATAGAGTAATATCAGGTTAGAATACATGATACTATCTTTTCTTGCCTTCACCATCTACGCTCGACTCATGCTTGCGTAGCTGTTTCTTCTATCACTTTCACTGCTCGAGGAGACGCGTCTTCCTACTCCATTGTTCGCAGGTCTGTTGACGCCCCTTCCCATAGGTTTCTCCTTTAATTCCACCTCTTCATCACTGCTGGAACTGCACTCGAAGTAGCTGTAGTTTTCTGGGACTAAATGATGTGCAGTGAACATGTAGACATTTCCAGATTCCGATAGTCGACTTCCAAAGCCACCATCCGTCTTGATTATCTTTACATCGACAGCCCAGTCATCATCGTACATGTCAACTAGTAGGGCTTCGCGTAATTCCTCCTCCCGTCTAGCGTATATGGGTTGGGCAACCTTCCAGTTTTTCGGGGCTTCCACGTACATCTCCTCGATGAGCGGTGGCTGTCTTCGATGATGCTGTTTCTTCTTACTAACTTTTGTGGAAGGCGATGCACTGTGCAGTGGTGTGCGTGGAAGAGTGCGTGGTGAAGTATTCTCCTCGTCATCCTCCTTTTCAGTCTCGGATTTGTCCTCGTTCAACATGGCCGGGAATGCGGATTGCACCTCTGGTGTGGTTACGGTGTCGATTTTATTCACTTCTGGTTTAGATTCGATCTCGGGGGCTTTCCTGGGCGATATAGCACGTGGCGAGACGTCTGGTTTTGCAGCATGGGTACTTTCTTTTGCCGTGCTTTCTGAAGCCGTGTTCGGCTCCTCGTTTTCGGAATGGTCACTTTCTTCTTCCACATCATAGGTGGGTGGCTTGTCCACATCTTTACCATTTTCCTGCATTTCCACTTCGGGTTCTTCAGAGATTGCACCTTTAGAGGCTCGTGATTGACCAGGCGATGTGACTTCTGATTGTGAGGGCAATGGGGCCTGAGAGCTTAACTTTTTACGTCCACTCTGGATGACATTGCAAACACGATTTGCGTCTGATTCGCTCTTCATCTTTAACAATAGGTAGGCGCGATTTCCCTCCGATTTATCAGGCACCACAAGAATCACTAATTTGGGATCTCGAGCAAAAATGAAGAAACGGAAGATCTCATTGCATAGCAGCGATAATTCGCGTGGCGCCGATCCAACAACCGATTTACGTTTGATTATAAGTCGAGTGTCGGTGCCGATGACCTTGACTTTGTGGGCCTTTCCGAGATTTCGATGTGAGCGCATTTCGAGAACTTCTCGAGCACCCTGAATATCCACCTCATCCTGTGGTTTGATGGGCACTCGACCCTCTATAACGGCTTCTGTCTTAAACTCCGCGCTGGTCTTCTCCTTGCGATGCTTGTGTTTTGCAGTAGCAGCGTTTGTTGACATACTAGGCGTCGGTGAGGTATCTGATCAGAATGAGAAGCCCTTCCCGCCGTTTGTGTGCAGCTCACTCACTGCTAGTGTGTGTGCACTGCTCAACCAATCACGTCCTCACCACCGCAGCTTCCCATTGGATGGAAGCGCGCGTTGCCATGAGATTTGCTAAATTAAACAATAAAGGGCATTGGTTTGAGTAGTGTTAAGTGCGTGGAAGTGTTTTCCATCATCTGACCCCTAAAAGTGGAATATTTCAGACTTTGATGGAGTAATCACTACTCGCACTAGAAAAGTGCTTAATCCAAAGGTTTGAGTACCAGATAATCAGAAGTTCGACTGATCTAGTAGGGGGATGCTTTGGAGACCGGTTCGGCGACACTGAGGGTAGTTTCAGATTCCATACTATTAGCAGCTCCATTCAGCGCTGGTTACGAAAATCTCCTACAGCGATTCTATTTAGAAAGGCAGAAATTAGGGTGGAAACGCATGTCCAAAGGACACTCTCTCCCACAGATCAGTGGATCAGCAAGTCGTCAAATCATATACTTCATTTCTGCAGGTCTTTTTGCCAGTGGAATAGTACATTTTTTCCACTCGCCTGACTTCATGTCAGTTGCTGATTAGACCCGTAAGGTGTTTGTCGCGCCAGCACCGCATTTACCTCTAATTAAACGCACACACAAGCATAGGGATGGACATACACTCGCTTGATGGCCTCATTTAAATTGCAAAATCAAGCTACGAGGAAAATACCTGGAAGTTTTCTTTTTCCGTGAATCATGAAATTAAAATACTGAGTTTTTTACTCGACGGAAAGCCATTTTGATCGACCTGATTTTGGAAAACGGTGAACTTGTTTCAGCCAATGGAATTTGTGCGGAGGCTAAGGGTGCATCTGGGCAACTGATTGGAGCGGTGCTTTCAATGCAGCAGCCAATTCACTTCATGCAAAAAAAAACATAGAAAAAATGAACAAAAACTGTTTGTTTTCCTATTCCCTTCCGACTGGGTGAATAAACTTCATGGTACGGTTTTTATACTTTGGTACATTCTTTAAAAGCGTTGCTAATTAAGAAAATGAGGACAAATTAAAACCAATAAGAAAAAAAAGTTAATTAAATTTTTGTGTTATTCTTGTTGCTATTCCAGTAAAGTGGGTGCTATTAAAATCGCCCATTTTGACCTGAAAACGAGGGCTCAAGTTTTCACAAGGGAGTTCCCTTAAATTCCAATTACGGTAGTTCACACCTGCAAGCGGTCGGCTCAGCCTAATCCAAAAAATCTGCATTTTTTTCCGGTAAAAATGAAGCCTGGATAGTGCAGTGTGCTTTTTGGAAGTAGAAATGAATGAATTGAACCAAATCTTCAATATGGCCGTCGTCACCCTACCAGACAATTGGAACAATGTGAATGGCTTAAATGCAAATAAGGCTTTCACTTTTGTTCTTTTTTTCAGAGCAATAAAGTGTTCAAATCGCATTCTTTTTGCTATTTTCGGCTTTTAAAGTTTAAACGAATGACGAAAATGTCGAATGCACTAAGCCATCTCCAAGCTTTGGGAAACAGTTGGTAATGCATTTCGGCAAGACTCTGAGCCTTCGTGCGTGTTGCGCCCTGAGGTTGTAAAAAGTCATAGTTCTATGGCAGAAAATGTATTACTGATGGTGTTTACTTAATTCGCGGTTTTTATTCATGATGTGGCCACTTAGGGAGTTCCACCGTTGCACACACACTGGCGAGGCCACCTCACCTACGCGCCACTTCGGTAACCCCAAGCCCAAGTATTATGTCTTCTTTCATTCTCAGGAAAGTCTCAAGGCGCTACAATGTTGCGTAGCCAAGGTACAACGGCGAAGCCTCAAATTCCCGCATAATCAAAACACAGCTTTAAACAAATTGTAAATGTAGCGCCCCGAGACTTCCCTGAAGACGAAATAAGACACAACACTCGGGCAGAATACATGTATTCAGCACAGAGAAGGTGTTTGGGCTACTGGCATGGCCCAAATGCCAGTCCACCCAGCGAGGTACAAGAAGGCAAATTCAAAAGTCCAAAAGTGGCGTCTCACCAATACCGAGGGATAAACCACCATTGTATTACAATAAAAGTATTACAGAATGCAGTATGCAAATTAGCATTGTCTCGAATGACGGGTGATATCTAATTCACCCGAGGCATCATGTATTTCATTTTCCGTGAACATGTGCTAAATGACTTCATGTGATGTCTTTGATATTTGCATTTTGAGATTGCGTCATTAATTTGTCTTCCAGAAACCAGAGCTTTTTCCAAACCCTAGACGGAGGCATGACTTTGTCTCAACTAAGCTTCGCTGTGGATGGCCAAAAAAATGTTTGCAATCTCATTCACCATGATATTTAGCTACTCGCCTTTCTTGATTTGTTGCTCCCAAGCTGGTAGTAACCATACACACAAGATTGCTGTTTACTGAATGACTAGTTGTTTAAAAGGTGAAAATACCTCCTCCCAAAGCCATATCAAGGGGAGAGATTGGAGTTTGATGGACATCAGCGATGGCTAATCTATGGACCTTTGCCACATAACCATGTAGCAAATCATCATTTGGAATCCGTTTTTGCTTCTTTTAGGTTCTCACTGTCAATGGAAAAGCGAGCTAGATAGTTCCCAAGTGGAAAACCACTTTAAGTGACTTTTCACCGGGCACATTTCATGCGTACGCAAACGTCAGGGTGAGTATGTATTCCAGTGTGTATGTGTGTGTGTGTGTGTGTGTGTACATTTTACTTCGCTGTTCGCGTCAAAGTGTATTGTTGGGCGGATTTTCATCAGCCAACTGCGCACTTCTGTGTTGTTCAAATACAGGAAGGTGAGTTATGACACCTATGCGTCAGTTCTATCCCCTTGATCAACCTCGTGTATCGTATGTGAGTCGGTATGTGAGACAATGTTACGTTAAATAAAATTTGTAGTTGAATCTAATGGAATTTAATGTACAAATTAGGAATAGGAAGTTTGTAAGTGGCGGAGGTGGATATAACGAAAATACTATCAGAAGCAAGCGTGAGAACAAAATATTAAAAAATATGGCAATGAGGAGTCATCAAAGGGTCTGCTATTTTATGGAAGCTATGATTTACACAAAATATTTCTCAAATAAGATAATATTAAAATCGACTAGGGGTGCAAATTTGTCATGTTCTCACACATCAAACATTACGATATAAGGTAATGTGACAAGCCCCATCCAGGACACATAATTGAGAAACTTAAAACTGCCGGTCTAACTCACTTCATGAAGAAGAATACCACTTATTTGGAGAATAATAAAGCAGTCGGTATGTGAAATTACACAAAAATCATTTGAGTTCCTATTTTATGGATAGGTGGATAATTTGACAACAATAACTGTTATTTCTACATCCTGGGATCTCAGTGCGTGGATTTTTTATTAACCCATTTTTAATTGCATATTTCACTCAGATAATAAGGTATCTTTCAAGAAATCACCAGCAAGCCCACCAAAGTCAACTCCGGATGGTCGCCTTGAAAAATACTATAGACTGCCAGATGCCAGACAATACTTTGCCTCTATAATCACTTTTTGCTTTGACAGTTTGTTAGTTCTGCATCTGATATTGCGGACACTATGATCTCTGCACTTTGTACTTCAGCTTAACAGCATGATTCAATCTTGGCAGTTGCCTTATTGTTACTTTACGTTATTAATACAATTCTTGTCACATTGTTATGCCTCCTGACTATTCTTAAGAAGACTCGGGGTGCTGCGAATGAACGCTTGCTTTCATTTTAACAATATTTTGACGTTATTTTAGCTACATACTAAGTTGTTAAATTATAAGCCGAAATAACTTTTCTTGGCAAGTTTTAACCATCAGTATTTTTATTGTTGGGAAAATGCAAATTACTTTGACTGACTTAGATTGTTTTGATTTTTGTATTTGTATTGCGGGCAGTTCGCTTGTGGCTGGTTATTTGCCATATCAGCCATGGTTTCTTGGTTCAAAAAGCCGAGCCTGGAGGATCAGTTGTTCGACTTGAAATTTACTTCGAAACAGCTTCTTGGTTTTTCAAAGAAATGTGAGAAGGAGGAAAAAGATGCCAAAGCACAGCTCAAGAAGTCTATTCAAGCTGGCAACATGGATTGCTCACGCATTTATGCAGAAAATGCCATCCGAAAAAAGAACGAAGCCCTCAATTACATGCGAATGTCTTCAAGAATTGATGCAGTCGCGGCTAGAGTACAGACGGCGGTAACCACACAATCTGTCACCGCTTCAATGCGAAATGTTGTGAATGGTATGAATGCTGCCATGAAATCAATGAATTTGGAGAAGGTTTCGAACTTGATGGATCAGTTTGAGAAAGAGTTTGAATCTCTTGATGTGCAGTCCCAGGTCTGTGCTAAGATATTTCTTGATTAAATACTTTTGTAGGTAATGGAAGGTACCATGAATAACACTACATCCTTGAATGCTCCATCGAACGAAGTTGATAGTCTAATGCGGCAGACTGCTGACGAGGCTGGGATCGAATTGGACCTGAATCTACCCAGTGGAATCACTTCTACAATTGGGGCTCCTACTACATCGGTACCTGCCGAAGAGCAGGAATTATCGGACCGTCTGGCTCGCCTTCGTCAAAGCTAAACTTGAGTTACCCCCTTTACTGTGATGTTTCGCCTGATCGATTGTACACCTTTCTTTTCTTTATTCGTATTTGCATTAACACAGCTCTGTGATTCGTATCCAAGTGTTATTGTTCAACGATACGACGCACCCTCTCTTACTGATATATTCTTTTCATCTTTCATATGTATAGTTAGCACCTTTAAGGGAGGTTAACTTACAATTCAGGTGTGTAGAATTTGTCATTAGGTCATCATGGCCATGTCTCCCAATATATGCCGTCCGCTATCGTTTTTTGCCACCGACCCCTGCCAACTACTCAGACCAATATTTGAAGAAATTACAACTTGAGCGTAACCGTACCTTTGAACCCTGAACCTGTACAATAATCTAGTGGCACCACTTAACTGACGTTTGCTATTGACAATTCAATGCTTTCCATAGTCTCTGTGGCGTCAAATTTGGTTGTAAATTAGGATTTGGTTGTTACTTTCGGGATTTTCACGGTTAAACTTGAGCGGGGGCATGCGAAGACGCTCCCACGTGTAAAGATTGCTTGACGATCCTATTAATGGTTTGCGTGAACACACATTCACCCTTCGATGGTTGCTATTTGATGAGACCACACCTAGCTGTGCACCTCAGGAGCGTCGCTTTACGACTATTGCAGAAAAGCAAAATCATTTTTTGCTATTTGACTGCTCTACCATAATCGATCCATTGCATCACAAAGTTGCGGTAATCATCATCTTACCGACATCTTAGTGGATTTTGAGTAGGCAATTTGCGTAGGTGAGTAGATTACTATGTCTAATATATCTACCCACCTTTTATGTCCGTTGCATTCTCGTAAAGTTCTTAAATTCGGCGAATAATTGCGGGATCCAAAACCGTCACGACTATGTGAAACAATACGTATCTTCTGTTGGTGTTAAAAATCATAGGAATAGATAAGCTATGAGTACTGCAAAATTCCGCCCAGAATTTAAACGAAGTTTGTGGGTAGATTTGAAATGGAAGGTTAAGGTCAAAGGAGGTTTTCTTGCCCTTTTCAAGTAAATAGATACGAAGTAAAAGGAAGTGAGTGAAATATCAAAAATATTACAAGTGATTAACTATGGTGAATCTGTTACCGCATTATTTAAGTCCTACCCATTGTAGGCTGCAAAATTAGTGCCTCCCTCTGTGATGCTTGCGGAAAAATTACCTTAACTGTGCGTGTGACGCAACTTTGATAAAGATCTATGGGTCTAGCCACAAAATGACGCAAATCGTCGTAGAAACGCCGGGATTTACATCCAGTTCATGTAAAAGAGAGATAAAGAAAAACAATAGATTGTTATCAGGCTTAAATGGCAAGTGACTACTGGTTAGTGGGTTAAATTAGTGCCTAAATGGGAGAAGTAGGGGTTTATAGGATTTTTTCTTAGTGCTGACTTTTTTTGAGCTAGGTTCTTCCAAATTGCCCTGTCTTATTACCTCGTTTAGAATCTGAAGCAGGCTTTAATTTTGCTTAAGTAAAGAGCCATTTTATTAATACTACCTATTAATGGGACCAAACAAAAAGTACAAATTAACTAATGATAGTGACCTCGAACTATCTTGAGATTTTTCAAGGTGATCAATTATCCAATCAAAACACTAAGCTGACTTTTAACTATCTGGGTGGGTCACTAGTAAACGTCATCCTCCGTTAGTATTTTTTATGCGATTCTTTTCTTATTATTTGGCAGTATCTGATCCTGACCGCAACTGCTCTTCCCATATAATTTTTGAAACCCATTTAGTTTACTAAATATTGCTATTGAATTATTGTCGTTCATACATTCTTATCGGGCCTAACTCACACTTTTGTATCGTCTTGAAACACTTTAAAAAATTCTAATTCACTCCTTGTAGCAAAATTCAGTGCTCTCCTTTTTTACTTTAGAATATATTTTGCTGTTACTTAAGCTCAGGATTTACTTCCACTTTTCAACTGAGTAGCGATGGACTACGATGTTAGTTCCGCCGCCGTTCTTGTCCCACGAATCAGTGAGCAGGTAGGTGGACTTGTGCTATTTACCTCGACACAAATTTTAGCTCTCACAAAGCCTGAGCACACTGAAGGATAGATTCATTCTTGACGATAACACCAATACGGAGCAGCCACCCATTTCCCCTCTTTTCCAATCCATCCAGGAGGGATGTCCTTCTGATGTTATTCCCTTTCACCATCAGGAAGAGGTCGTAGCCACCAATGGCTCTCATGATGCTACACTCCTTTCCATAGGCGATCTTGATTCCATCGATGCTAATGATCTCTTTTCATTCTTCCTCGAGGATATCCCCACTTTGGATTCCACAGCCTTAGTTGATGGCAAACCACAGGATACTCTAACGTCTGTTTTTGATGCACCTCTCGGTACATCGCCACACTCTCCATTGTCCTCTGATCTTGATATTCCATCGGACCTTCTTGATCTCATCGATTCCTCGTTGAGTGGTTCATTAAGACAAAAATCAGGTTCCTCTTCCTCCTCGGACCCCCCCTCTCGGGAAAAAATGATCATGGATGCGAGCCCTTCCTACTGTTCAGAAGTAGATGATGATCAATACGGTAGTGGAGATGAAGAGCATATTGAGCGAGCGATGCCTTCCCGAAGACGAGGTCGGGGTGGTAATTTTTCCAATCCACCATTGTGTCTCCACAATGAGGATCTGGCTCGTGGCAAACCTGTAGGTTCATTCAACCTTATTCAGGTAGATTTTTCTGCATGGTACTTACCTGATCTGTTGGCTGATGTCGATAGGGACAGCGGTTAGTTCTCACAGCTGAAGAGAAACGTCTTCTAGTTCAGATGGGTCAACGCATCCCGACAGCGTTTCCACTCACACGTGGTGAGGAGCGGGCGATTAGGACTATGCGTCGGAAGATACGGAATAAGCTCTCAGCTAAGGCAAGTCGCGCGCGACGCCAGGAGTATCTTTCTAGGCTTGAATCGCGGGTGGCTGATTGCCATAAGGAGAATCAGCGTCTGCGTAGTCGTGTTACAGAGTTGGAAAAGGACAAACGGTGAGTTGAGTTTAGTTGGAAACCATCTGAGGTCGTGGAGCACTTTTGCTTGTGTTCATGTATACAGCCTCTGGTACAACTGGTGTAAGGGGCGTCGGCACGGCAATTTTTCTTTATTTCGCTTTACTGTGTTGTTATATCGCTTTAAGATAGCTGGAGTTTAACTTGAAAGCCGGGTTTCAATGCCGTCTTGCACACATAATTAATAAAGGTGAAAGACATTTATTTTTGTATGTGTGTGTGTGGAACTTTTGTGGCATATGAAAACGGTTCACTTCTCCTCCATTCTATGGTAGACTAGGTGGAATAGGATACCTTGGTGCTCTAATTTTTTTCACATATTAAAATGTGCGTGCGCATGTGTGTGTTAAGTTGTTGTGCACGATGAACGTAGGTTAAGTGTTGCCTTGTGCTTGACAGGGCGTCATTTTCTCATGCAAGAACACCTATGGGGCGCGTTTTGTTGTTAGGGGTTGACAGGGTCACTTTTTGGTCTCTCTGCTTGTGTAATTCGGCTCACCAAATTGATTTGATTTGTACCTTCCTCGCATAATAATATTGAGTAGAAAATTGTTATTTTGTTTTTTTGTCTTGTGTGTATTGAATGTGATTTTATCCGGACCGCCATTGGCGTCCACACTACATCGTAAGAGGGCGGTCATAGAAATGACCGACCATTGAGTCTTCCTATACTTATAAATTGGTGAGTGGAGTGCAATCTTTTCTCACACTACACCAGTAGTTATTCTTCTGTAGCATCGGAGTCACCACGGTGGTTAAAGTTAACCTAAAGTGAAATTATGCCGCTGCCTGATACTACTTATTTACCGCATTTAGGCAGCAAACAAACATTTACACATCTAATGGATTGAAGTTACTCAAGTATAAGTAGTAATGATGCGCTAAAATTCGACGATTTTGAGGTCATTCTAAAGCCATTTTCACTACTAAGATGCGTAATTCCATCGACTAATTTGCCTATCCTTGACAGGTGGGTGCAATCATATGTGCCTGATGGGTTAAAGTTGTCAAATAAAGTGACATAGCCAACTTTAAATCTTAAGCTGAAGATTTCTCCATTGCTGTAGATCATGATTAAACTAATTCTAATTGTATCCGTTCATACTGCTGATTGGCGCATTTTCAGTGACCACCCGGTGAACCTGCGACGGTAGATGCCCTCGCACACATCCGTAGGACTGAATTGATAAACTAACGTTCTTTCTAATCACCGCTTTATTAGAAATTTGTGTTTTTACAGGCGCCATATGAACATATTTGTCAAACCACCTTAGTATTTACGCAATTTGCACTACCGGTATACTTGATTTCGGTGACCTGTCTGCAAACCAGAAGCTGTGAAGATCCCGTAAACATATGTTTTGAATAACGAAGTAGATTAAAATAACTGGTAGATCATTTACACACCTGATGTATTCTATTTTAGCGGTCTGCTAGCAAACCTTCGCCAGATGCGCTCCTACGTGGCCCGCTTGATTGCAGGTACCTGGTCGGCAACAAACAGTGGCAACGGCTTGAAAAGTGATTCCACCACACCTCCACTGCAGCCACTCTTACCTCTCACTGTACCTCGTCAAAATCAACATCAGCAACAACAACAACAACAACAGCGCCTGCGGATGAAGTCAGGCAAACCGGCTAGTCTGCTGCTGGTGGCACTCATGATTCTCGCCTCTTCCACTATCTTGCCTCTGCCCGGTTTGGATGCACCTATCTCCAAAGACGTTGCAGCTGCTGATCAGGGTGTTCTTTCTGGTGTGTTTTGTGCGTTAGCCTTGCACCCATTGAAATGCATATAATTGACGTCGATTGGGTGGATTGTTTGACATCTAAATCAGGCATGGTGATATCAAACATCTTTTGCTTAGTTGCATGCTTTTCTCATTGCTGTATGATATAGTCTCACACGAAATTCGAGTCGCTTATGAAATGATGCCGCTGTGATTGTAGGGGCTTTTTTCTCTGTCTTTAAGGTCGATCTAGAGTTCTGCTGAACCAGAAGATTGAAGAGGATTACGCATTGGAGCACAAAAGTGAGAACTCTCTCCCTCCTCCACCCTCCATTGTCGATCGTGCAACTGATGCGGTGGATGATGGTCTCGGCGTCAAAACGAAAGTTCGCGTCTTGAATAAGGTACCCTCCCCCCTTCCTACGTGGTTCATTCAAATAAAACGGGGACTTTTTCTCTTTACACCTGTAAAAGGAGTTGTCAGTAGGGCAGGAAGTGTGCACGATTGCTGCTAGCCGCTGTAGGCGTCGTGAGGGTGGATGTTGTGAGTAGTAGTGGCTGTACGTGCGTGTGTGTGAGTGGAGGTGTCAAGTCCGAACTCGCGGATATTCACTTGTAGAAAAGACGACTTCAGACATAGTATTATACAGTGATGGAGCACCTAGCCGCATTAATACAGATTTAAAAGACGTAGGCCTTTCAAACATTACGAATGCCAGTTATGATTCTTCTCGTGGCGGCTTCCAGCACGCGGCTTCGGTTGTCTTGCTGTCCTTGGGACACTGAACCGATGCATTACCAATCATGGAATTGGATAGGAGATGTATCGCTTCGTGCAATAGTAAACACATTTTTTTTTCAAACAATTGAAAGGTTTGCTGCAAAACTATGTTTAGCAGAAGGACGGTTTATTTTCCAGGAAATTTCTTAACACAAAAGTTCCGATTTAAAGTGAACGCTTTGTGTATCACGCATTTTCTCCCCCATTAGTGCATTATTTTCCCGCTCTCTTCTTTTAGAGTGCCGATCGAGTGATTGTTCAATCAGTAAAAGAAGAGGAGGGGGATCAATTTGATCCATTCCTGCTGCCGACAAATGCGGGGATGAAGGAAGGTCTGATGCCTAAGGTGAAAAAAGGGCCAGATATTAGTCATCAGAAAAGTGTTCTGATGCCGTACTCGGTAGAGGATCTTTGATTCCGTCTCAGTTGCCTGCTGATCTACTTTTTTTTTTTCATACTTCTTGTCTATGCTTATGCTCCTACCCATCTATCTATCCACGTCTCGCAGTAATATACGATTAAGCAATCTCTAAGCTGGGCTGTTGATGGGTCATTAGTTTGAAGGTAAACAGATTGGCTGAGTATAATGCAAAAGACATGATATAACATTGCGTCATGTGGTGATGAAGTCAGAGGCTTGTCATATTCCAACAAAACTCATGTGACAGGTTGAGCGTTTGGTTCAAGTGCAGATGAGTCCCCCATGCATTAGCCTTTACGATTATGCGGGGAGGCTTTGATCACGCTGCCTATGCCATCAGTCTCACCTTTAGCATTTGCCTTCATTAAGGTACCTTCATGACTGCTTGGGACGCCGGGATATGTTGCTGAATGCCGTCTACCTCCTACTACAACTTCGAAGGTTGCTTTCGGTTGTGTAAATGAAACTTTTGTTTGGTATAGAAAGCTAGCAACTGTTGTAGGTAGCTGGCGCTTGAGAGCTTGCTGATGAATTTCCTGAATTTTGCTTTCTATATTCGTAGTCAATGATATGAAAAGGCTAGAACCGAAAGAACAAAAATTGTTTGTAAAAGCTTTAGATTTCTTAATTAAGTTGTAAGAAGGAATGGAATGGAATCCGAAGGGAGGGAAGAGAAAGAACTACCAGATAGATGGCTTAGATCTACCCTCTATTCTCTATATTACCCGCCACAATGGCGTAATGCAACCAATGGGAGATGGCGAGATGTGTGATATTGAAACGCGTGTGTTGCGTTCCCCGCCCCCCTTCCAAACATCTCTTTCTCCCGCCTATTTTGATTACACTCTCATTACATTAGTTACTACTAGGCCCAAACCGTTGCAATTAATTCGACTTGTCTGGTGTATGAGGCAAGTTGAACTTAGCTACCGAGATGAGAAAGCTGCCAGTAGTATGCGTTGCCAAGGCGCATTTGGGTGGAGGTGGTCCAAATTGTAGGGGAGACCGAACACAACCTTATCAAAGGCCTCAGATTATCTCTTTTAAGGGTGCGTCCTCATGACAATAGTAATGATGAGCACCAAAACAACTGATTAGGCAGAGTGTGCGTCTATGCTAAACTGCGTAAGCATTTTCATCCCACCAGCTTGCACTTCCAATCTACTTCTACTTATAATTATGTGAGTAGTACCTGCGCCTCCACATTAGTAGGATCTATAACGAATTCGGGCAGGGGGGGGGATACTGGGAGAGCTGGAAGTCGGGTCTGGTAAATTAACGTCAGCAGAATAATTCCTGCCCTGGGGAAAAAAAAAGGGTTGTGAAATGACGCATTTAGCATGTCAATTCCCCTCTAATTCACCCCAATTATGAGGCAGCATTCAAACAAGAACGCCTCTCCACTAAATTCGAAAATGGGATGGGAAATTTATTGCCTTCCATATATGAAGCACCACTTACCACAGGCTGCAAATAGGTTTAAGACCACTTCAACAATCCCTGGACGTGTCATTGGCAGCTACGCCACTCACCCCATTTTTGACCTTTAGACTTCTACATAGCCAGCAAAGACAAGGAAGTCGTGGCATTTTATGATAGCAACGGCCAAATTATCTTCTGTATGACAAGTAAACAACCTGCATGTGATAATTGGCGGGGGCCCAAAATGTAAGATTTAATAGCTTGCCATCACTTATTGATTCCACTTTGATGAAAATCGGCTTAACAACCCAGTTAGTAAACCAGCCTAGCGTGGATCGCACCGAATGCGTCTCAGTAAAGAAGTGGGTGTGCTGAGCGTTCAAGAATAAAATGCATGAGAAAATGTGTAATGTTCTGGCAGTATTTCAGCCCCCTGTTTGTTTACACAGGTGCATTAGGGTTAGAAAAGTGTGCTTTTGTTTACGAGAATGACCTCAGCACCAGCCAGATGTCTCACTTCTTCCGAAGACCATGGTCACCACTTAGGTCATTTGGTGCAATAATACACCGGTGAACCGATGTGATTAGCTCCAGTAAAATGAATAAAAATCAGTCTCATTGAAAAGGCGATCAGTATTGCCGGCGGTCCAGGATTCCGCCCCAACGTCACGCTTGTTGAGCTAGGATAAGATCTTGACATCCCCTACTTTGCCCCGTGAATTTCCCTAGTGCCTTTGGGTTCTGCCATTTACCCAAATCCAGAGACAAATAGAATTTCCTCCACCAAGAAGTAACTTTAAAGTTATTAAAATAGAAAATGTGACTTACAGGGGTTTCATGATAAATTGGGAGCGTTTTTTTTGGAAAAGTAGTTATTTAATTGAATAGGTGCGGTTATTTATTCTACCTCAGTAACGGAAATCATTGATAAGCGGGGCAAAAACACCAAAAATATATGCCAAAATGTTTAAATTGCCAAATGACCTTTGAGTGCATACAATTGATTATGTTTATGGATATAACATACGAATTACTTAAACTGCTAGGAAAACGGTTGAGTAAAATGCAATAGGGTATTTTAAATTAAAATTTTCTGAATAAATGTTATACTTCAGATTGCGTTCGAAAACCGAGAGATTGTGACAAGAATACTTACCTCTGTTTTGTAGCAAAGATGCGTCAAATTAAATGATTTTTAACCATTATAGACTTTACCAAAGTGTGTAGCTTGAAATGGTCCAAAGATTGTTTTTTTTCACGTAATATTCTTTCAAAAACCCCCGTTATTCTACTCCTACTACTAATAATTCTTTTTGAAATCCATAAAACTGCGTATATCCTGCTTGCGAATTTGAAGCCCTGTGACCACTAATACTAACCAAAACTGACAATCGTGTGAGCTCGTGCGAACAATATGCTCAGTTGGATTTTTATATCCCACTGAAACGTACAGTTTATGGAGTTAGGGAGGATAGGTAGGCCACAGGTGGGTATGTAAAGCTGCATTGTCCACCTTCAGGCCGCAGAGAAGGGCGCCTCTCCTGCTATCCCATGCCGCAAATCAAATGTGCGCGGCTCTTTAACGATGAGGACACTTCGTCAACCACAAAGAGAACTGTTGGGTGCGCTGAACGACAAAGTATGCCCATCAAGGTGAATGGGTAGTGCATTTTCTGGGCGAAATTTACGATCTGTCCACATGGATGCCAACGATTATAACCAGTCGGCACGGAAAATTTTGCAATTGGGATAGCACGAAGCACCTCCATTTAGGCCCAACCCAAAAGATCACAGCAGTAGTGCTCCCACAGAGAATACCAGCCCAAATTTTAAGCTGAATGGGTATTTTACCTGACCATCTGCTATCCCAAATTACAGTCGAGGAAATTCCTTCGTTCATTTGTAACTTGTCACACAGGATCTAGTAGCCACCATAATTTCGTATTTGAACCTGGTTACATAATTGAGGGGACAAACAATATTACTTGGCTTTAAATGCCGAATTCCTGGACCATTTGTTGGTTTCTAAAAGGCGTAAACGTAAGTAAGTTTATTAAGTGCCATCCAAGAAGTAAGTGAGAAAGAACTGGTGATGAAAATGACGAAAAAGTCAACAAAAAAGGTGGGATTGAACCCGCTTCAAAAATAGCCTTCGACTAATCAATTGGCAGCATAGAAGTGATTGATGGGTTGAGGTTGGGCCATGATTAAGCAGTCACATCAGGTGGCGTTTTCCATATGCCATTAGAAAACCTGACTAATTCCTCAAAGCTCAAGGAGACATCAACAAAGTTCACTTTGAATAGAATTCCAATAGAAAGGTGAAAAGAAGGAGGGCTAGTTTAACTACCCTTTAGGAAGACAATTTATGACATTCGAAGCAGCCTCTCCCTCTCACTACTGGCATTATCTCTCATTGAAAAGTAGGAGGAAACATACCTTACAAATGACTCTGTAATCAAGGTAATAGTATTAGACTCCCAGCGGTTTAGGTAGATCATATACTGAAGCACTTCTAGTGCCAAATCAGGCACTTGTGGCAGTTAAACTGTACCACATCGACTTATAAAGTTGGCACCAAAGGGTAGGGTTATGACCCTTCTTCATCCTTCTAATCAAGCATTCCACTGTACTTGAGGAAGATTTCGGGCTCCAACTTTGGTGACGGAAGTAAACAAGTCGGGTGGTATTGGGCAACTTTTTGAATTCTACACTGGGGATGAGTTAAAACGGAGATTTTTGTAGAATTATTGCCAACGGAGTGTGATCAGGTGTAGGCACATAGAAGGCGACCTTGAAAACGGGCCAATTAGATGTCAGTAATAGCACCTGTGTAAAACATGTATCGAAGAGCAGGCTGTCTCAGTTAACCGGTCCTTCTGTACAAATACTATTTTTGCTAGAACATGGCCTTAGAGAAGTTAGTGATTCTTCGTTCTGCTGAGAGTCGAGAGAAAAATATATAATGACCACTATTTGAAGGAGGTATTAATAGCCTTTAGAATGACCTCAAAAGAAGTCTATCCATATATTTAAAGTGAGGATGATTAGACGCATATTTTTAGATAAAGGGATCTTTTAAAAGCTGAAACACTTAACCCCCTTTCTACACGTACGTCACGAATATGTGACACCCCGATTTCCTTGTCTGAGTCCACACTTCAGAAGGATTTTTAAAAAATACTTGATATTTTGAGATAAGTAATCTGTTGAAATAATTGTACTTTAAGAATGGTTTATTTTGAAGAATGAAATCGAAAACAAAATAGTCTTGATTCTGGTTTTTTCGATTGCCAAAGCTATAAATTCCCTTCTTTGATGAGCAATTAATTTGCATGTTTACCAGAAACCTTCCTAAATGAACTTGTCATATGGCTGAGCTTGACTCTAAGAAGTAGTAACTTCATGGTAAATCACCTTTGTGACGCAGTGTAGTTGCGCTCTCAGGCAGGGCCTAATAAAAGAGAACTCGTGCAAAAATATACCTAGGACGCCTTACCCGTTCGCCATCAGATTTTTACCCTCATGAGACAAAAAAAATGAGTGCTGCACTAGATGGCATTAGCACGAGTTTAAGCTATCAAGTGGGAAGGCGATCAACGAACATAAAGAAACTGTACAATCGCAGATATATTTACTAACATAGCGTTCCGTTAATTTAATCTTTTAAAGACATTTCAACTGTAACGAATTGATACTTATTTGAGACATGCCACTCCACTACAACTCTGTGCGTAATAAAGGCAAAATATAATCAGTTAATAATGCGCTCACAGGAATTCTTACTGTTCTTGAGCAAATACTCTTCCGTTTTACGGGACATTCGACGACTATGTAGGATGTAATTTACTATTCAAATCTAATTTTTAAACTTGTTACATTTGTTTGACAAGTTTGCACATTCTCGCACTTCCTGGAGGCAAAACGCTTTTCGTATGATGTAATTAGGAGGCGAAAATCAATGCGTGCAGGCTGCTTCCTTACTTTTTACATTAAAGTAGTTGTAATTATACCTATTTAAAATACCGACCTAGAAAATCAAAAGGCAGGTAAGTTCGGTTTCTTCTTTTGTATTTGTAAATATTTCTTTTGACCTTGATCAAAACCTTACAAAATTTCCAGGGATTGTAAACAATAAACATGTTAGTAAAGCTAAATTAAAACGCTGAAATGGCTAAGCTACTTCCAGATTGGATTAGAACATCTTTTATAAACCATCGTTTGAATACATTTGGGTCAGAGACAAGTGTGGCAACAAACATTTGAGCCAGTTTGAACTCTACCCTCTGGGATTAACCTACTCATTTATCAGCATTTTTGCGATAAAAATGTATAGTATCTGACCCAAACGGCACTTTTACTCGAGAAAACCGGGTAACATACTTATAAGGTGTACAAACACATTTGTGCCCCGAAACGCACACCGATAAGTGCATAAAAAGGAATTATAGCCTTCGTGATACCCATAGGTATTCGCATTGATGGAGTACCCGTTGTTTGCAAATAGGCTTTAGTTTTTTTGTCATTTTGCGGGGTATGTTTAGCCTGAATGAAGAGCACTTTTAATGCATGATTTAAACTCCACCAAATTCAAGACTTCGACCTGAGACAGTTTTAAGCGCATTTTTGGCTCCCTATTGCGGTTTATTCAAACTAGAAGTTCTTTCGACAACCGTTTGGAGCCAAGTTGACCAGTAATGCATATTAATTTTATTACAGATCAGTAAGCAGATTTTTCCCGATTTGTTTCATAATCTCCCTGTGGTCATTACGTTGGACGTCAAAGTTGCAACGTTTTTACACTGCCACAACAGAACCACCGCCTTAGCAACCAGGTCTGGCAACATATTTAGCGTAGAATTGAGTAATCAAGGTCACTCTCTCTCCTCTCGCTCATCCATGACGCATACACCACTCGCCTACGTATTCATGCATGATAGCACCCACTCCGATTCGCTGCAACGGCTGAAGGTGAATGCAGAAGGGTGCACACGCACAAGAGAGAGAAAATGACAGGGGGCAAGAACATCTGGAGTTGTGTTTGCCCTTGTGCCTGCCTGCCTCTGCACCACCCTCACTACCTCCCTCTCAGCACAATTCCATTCACGCCTATTGCCAAGGTAGCCAATAAGATTGCGCCATGCTGGTTGCTATGGTAAGCTCACTGCCAAATCGTATATTAGTATTTAGTAATAAATATGTGCGCTTTCGACTTAATAAGATCTATTGTTAAATGAGAGCCGCGTGGATTCCGCAAAATGATGTCAATGACGCTCACAAAGAGTTCACTCATTTAATCCCTTTCTGCTGGTGTCAAATAAGCATATTGCTAAATTATTACTACCAGTATCCTACGAAGTATTTTTGAGTGCGACTATCCACAAGATCAATCAACTATTAAAGATGGGTGTTACGTTTATTTCGACGATCCAAAATAGTCACTTTTGACATCACGAAAAGTTGTTCATGGCGCTAGAGAGATTATTTAAAATGTTGTCTGGATACTTAACTGAATATAACCAGTTTTCTGGAACAAACTTTATCAGATTCGGGTTAGGTTTTTCAACCAGTCGCGAAATAATGACTGATATTAATGCAAATTATTTAAACTTCACTCATCTCATCTAGCACTGACGTGGAATCGAAAAAAACAGCACCTCAGGACATGAAATCTGACAAGATTTTCCAATCTCATTTAAGCTGTGGATGTGGCAAGACATAGTCACTTTAAATGAGAAGAAAATAAAGCTATCGTTTCTAAAATTCACAGAACAACACCAAATTTTTGTACAACTTTTGAGTAACCAAATTTGTTACTCGTTTATTGCCTACATCAGCTATTTTATCGTGAATAACTGAACCTTAAAAGTGTGCTTGTTGAGTAAGTAACGGGTTACGTACTTTTTCTTCCAAAACCCAGACACACTTGTTTATGACAGTGCTGGCAGGCCACTGGTCAGTTTAAGTCGAGCGCTGGTCTTCTGGCCAGCCAATCAGTAACGTGAAGAAGAAAAAAATGCAAAATAATTTATTTTCTTTCTACTAATTTTAAAATTCCCCCAAGTTTGGTCTATTGTTTGTGTTAAAAAGCGCGTCCACTTCCGTAGTGACGGTTTCACCCAAGTAAATGTGTTCAAAAGGTAGTGAAAATTTGCTTTTCCTTTAAAATAAAAACCTCAATTCGTATTGGTGGAAATAAGGAAAAAACACAAAGTGGACTTTTCTGTTGTCTTTATCAAAATTTGTGGGTAAGCTTTTAGGATTCCTTTGCTTTTGCTGAACAAAGCTAGCTTAAATTAATTGTTCACCTTTACCGATGCCCTAAGAAGTCATAGTACCAGCGCAGATGGACTGGAAGCCATCTGGCATGGCCCGGAGGCCACACCGGTGGCCCAAAGTACAATCCACAGAGTCCTTCATTACCCGCGCAACCGACCGCGGTGTTAGACCAACGGTCTAGGCCTTGACGTTTCCGTATCAATAAACTCCTCTTCGTTGATAATAAAGATTAGATTGAGTTTCTTTTTACTTATACATTATTTATTGACTGTAAGGGTAAAGCATTATATTGTGCTTGTTTGGTCATTTCGCAGGTCATTTTGTGTGCTGGGAATGAGAAATATTACTTCCACAATGATGGATTGACAATAAAGCAGCTCATCATGCCTAGGAAAAAGGCTGCTGTTTATCCGGAACGATTATTTATGCGTTAGTTTTGTTGGCTGCGTACCTTTTTAGTGTAGGGTTCCCAGTCACATGTAGGATCGCGTCGGTGCAAATGGATGGTCCATTAGTGTACAGATGAGCGCGAGAATATGGATGTGGCCGAATGCTCAAACCTTCAAGCCGCGAGGGTTGAAGCGCCAGCGCAAACAAATTCGCCAGTGAAAGTAGTGAACAACATTTTGATCACTAGTATGAGCTTCTGCTGTGTAAACACAGGCAAGTTACTTTGTCAATCCGAAGGAATTGCGAAAGTAAATGTTCCACCTAAAAGTGCTCCCAGAGCGCGATGTGCTGGAGTATAGCACGTGCTTCTGGAGTAACGGAGCACGTCGGTAGCTTCTGCTCTTGTGTATTTGTATCTTTTTGAATGGCTTTGCGATAATAGAGAGTATCAGCATGCACTAAACTCGTCCTTATTAGGAGAAAAGCCGTGAAAGTACCAATTGCGCTTATTTTTAGCATGTCTGGAAACTAGGCATGAGGAGGTAATTTGCCAGAAATAGCTAAAACCACCAAATTGAAACACTTCCTAGAATTATAAACATTCGCAGCACAGTTCTTTGGAAGAAAGTCAAGCTAGTGACGATATTTTCCAGAATCGTCTTGTATTTCCGCCTACTCTGAGGCCGTTTTGGTTGGGCGGAGGTTCACTCAGGAGCTAGTTAGCGGGGTCTGTAGTTGGCTGAAGTGCAAAAATTAAAAAAAAACCCATTTGGGTTGCCAATTCTAAAGCTTCATCCAACCGCTCTCGCCATTCCTGAAATTGAGACAGACCTTTTCACATTTGAGTAAAATCTGACCAGCGATTCATCGGTCGCGTCACATGCAATAGTTGAGGGCATAGACGCCATTCGGGGACAGGATTGTGATCATGAGATAATTACTGTGTTAAATGCCCCCAGTTTTCCTCCTTGGCCATTGGCGCTTTCTTACAGAGCCGATTAAAGCGGTCCAGTCGGTCAGTGGGACTCGGCCGGTAGTCATTCCTTTCGGTTGTGATCACAGCAGAATCCGCAGGAGAATCGTGGCAGATCCTCCCACCTGCGAGCTTGATAGGAAGCGCATATAAGAGGCGATTTCGATGGCTGCCGCCTCTTTGAAGTTCCGCGCCCATTACAGACGGTCTTGCTTGGTACCTGTTTCAGGCCCAATCGACTGAACAAGTCGTTTTGCTAATGAATACACGGAGCTGTAGCCTTTCACGTAGCTTCAGCTGGCCAGTATGGGCACTGGCAGAGATGCGGGAGGTTGAATGTCAAGTGGTTTACGTAATTAGACCCATAAATTCTCCGAGGCATAGATTCGAGGCCCCATCAACCCGTGGATGCACTGAAAATCCATTGAACTGAATAATGATGTACTTCCGACGGTCTGATCCATTGTACTGGGAAACGATCATAACTTTGCGTGTGTTGATTAAGTTTTTTGAATTGTTGCAATATATTATCAGTTGCGTGGACGAGACTGACTGGTCGACAACAAGGCACCAACCCATGTGGTGTCATTGGGCCTCGTAGACCGTGTTTCCATGAGCCCAATTGGCTTGACTGTTGCGTAGCATGAAGCCGGAAGCTGATCTCATCCTCAGACTGAAACTGCATACGTTTGTAC